TGGCCCGCCACGCCGAGCTCGGGCAAGAGACAGGTTTCTCGCGAACTTTACGCTGGAACTTACCAAAGGCCTCGTGCCAGCCACTCGCTATGCTTGCAGAGCTAAAATGTTCATCCAGGAGGAAAGTACTCCGCAGATGGCATAAGTCGCTGGCCAAAAAAAAAGGCGAAAGCTTGTGCATACGGAGGGCATAAAGGTGCTAATTCTGTTTGCGAAAAGCCCAATATTGAAATTTTAGGTTCAGCATTCCCGCCCCGGGGGGCAATGCGCCGTTCTGCTAGCTGCTGACGGATTCAACCTGTCACATCAAGGAGATACGAAGTCGATCGCAAAACGTTGTAAAATGACTCCGTCCTGGGACACGGATTTGCAAGCGACGGGACGGAGTCCTCCACAGAGGCACAAATTGAGGCCAATGCGATCGTGCTGCACAAAGCAGCTATTCCAATCATGCCGCTGGTTCCGCCTCTGGCCAGGGGATTATTGTGTCACCGTCTGAAAACAAATATTACATATGTTCTCTGCGAGCCTTGTCCTCGGCGTTGGGATAGCAAGCGAAGGTGTGGATTGCCTCCAGCCTTGGCGAGGTCTTAGCACCGCGAATCTTTTGGCTGTCACTGACAGTCAAAGTTTCGTACGCGGTCCTCTTGACTCTGTGTACTCCGTTCTCCGTAAGTAGTATTCCGTACTGACGGAGTAATTATTATCTGCAAGCTTAAACAGATGGTGACGAAAGGCAGCGTCAGCGACCTTCGTCGGCTCAAAGGCCCTTGAGCACCACTCGTTTCTCCAAATAGCCCATATGTGTATGTTGAGCATATGATTCTGCCTCTCTGCTTGTATCTTTCTTTCCTTCTTATGCTCCTTATTTTATTTTTATTTTTATTTTTATTTTTAATTTTTTTTTCCTCTTGCTGGTTTGGCTGCTGCAACGAGCGGGTCAACATGGGCCATTCTGGCATGTCCGGAGTTGAGCGCCGTGCAGCAAAGAGCCCCAACGCAACAGCTGGAAGCGACGTCAACCATAATTCAGAGTCTAATCTTACAGGGTAAATACTAGCGCATTACGGCAAGGTTAGAGTTTTGAGCTAGTGTCTTGGCATTCTTTCGGTACCGTAAGTTATTCGGTTCTGGTGCCTCACGTGGCATTGCTTCCGCCGACCAAAAGAGCAAGCCTTCGCTTCTCCCGCCATTCCTCGCTCTCTGCATCTCGCTCCTCTCTGCTTCTGCACCCTCCTTCAATCCGCCGTATTCGCACCGATTTGGACCCTCGATTGTTACCTAGCCGAGCCGCCCCTTGACCACACCGACCTGGAAAGCCTCGGACACATTTCGCCTACAGCTTACTGAACAGGATATCTCCAATTCCCCAAAACGTACCCGATCCTCCGCAAAAACAGTTGGTAAGTTGCATGCAAGAATGGCGTTCGCTATCCCCCAACGTTCCCAGTGGATTGACTTGGGCGATCTCGCCCTATTGTTCCAACTTTGTAACGCAGAGCCAGTGCTTGGGCTTCTGTTATCTTGTCGGTCTTAGCTTACCAGCTCGAACCTTTTGCGAACCGGGTATAAAGCACAACAGTACTTCATTGCTGAAGATCTGCTTTTTTTCCCTTTTTTTTTTTTTTTTTTTTTTTTTTCCCCCTCTCTCGAAGCTAACAGCCGTCGTCAGTCTAGATCCAGCCTTACGGTTGGCGTGCAGGGCCCAACAACCCATTGTTTGAATTCGACTAGATCTATGAACGATCAACTTGTCTGGGTTGGATAAACCCAAACGAGGATTGCGACTCAAAACACCAGGGCTCCTGTTCGACCGGATAGGTCTGATATTCGGCAAAATGGAAACCTATCATGGACATGTCCGCACCCCGGCGGACGCGATCATCCTTTTCGAGGCATGTCGGCTTGGTCTTCTGCCCCGTGTCCAGAGAAGGTTATCGGAAAAAGAACGGCAATCAATAAAATCGGGATCCGTCTTTGTCTGGGACGAAAGAGAAGCCGGAATGAGGCGATGGACAGATGGAAAGTCATGGAGCGCCAGCAGGGTGTCCGGAAGTTTTTTGACATACCGAGAGATGGAAGGCAAGCGAGGTGGCCACTCGTCGTCAAGGGCTGGGAAAACACCAGAAAGCAACAGAGGAAGCGATGAGGATCAAGCAGATGGTGGCGAAGAAGGTCCAGATGGGTACCGTTACAAGCCGGACGGGCTGATGAAGCAGTCGTTTAGCATCACCACTTCCACGGGTCAACATCTACATCTCATCAGTTACTATGCGCGATCACATCCCAACGCCCCCGGCCTAAATCAACCCTCGACCGATCCAGCTTTGCGGTCAATCCGACCCCAAAAGGGGCTCTACCCAGAGTCCAGCGTTAACGACCAACAAAACCTACCTGTGGTGACTCGTGGGCCCATGGGGGGCGCTGCGTTAGCTGTTCCTCCGCCAATGGCCTACGGCCGTGGCCCTCCCCATCATCCATACGCTTCTTCCCCCTACGCTTGGTCCCCGCCACCTTTGCTCGGGCCGTCACACGTCTCCGTTATACCATACGTTCCGAATTATCTGCCTCCATTGGGTCCTAACGGGCATCCACATTTCCCCTACGGTCATCACCCAGCTTACGCGCATCCTCCTCCAGGCTACCCTTCTCCGTATGACAGGTTGATCCATCCGGCTGAACAGGCAACCATGCCTCCACACATGCACCCCAACGCTGGCCCCATGCCTCCGCATGGTGTCCCTTATTACGGGCAAGGCCATTCCCCGATTATCCCCCGTCACGACTCCAGCAACCCACACGCCCGAAATTCGCACCCTGCTACTCCACCGACTGAAGCTGACTCGCGCATCGCGGCCTCGAGAGTTGATCATATCGGTGACATGAGAAATGGCTCGCAGTCGGCTCAGTCTCCCATGAAAGCTTCAGTAGCTGGCTCTCCAGTCAATGGCGTGCGTAAAGCATCAGATTCTACGTCGTCAGCGAATGTCGTGCCCAGCATCAATGCACTTGTGAATTCGGTGCAAACCCCGGCCATCCCTACGACAGCTCCGCCGCCTAATTCTGAGCACGTCAAGAGCGAGTTCGGCACACCCACCAAGCCCGGGACCGGGCAAGTTGATGGGCCAAAGGACATTCCAAGCGATAAGATTGGCTTTGGAGAGGACATGAGAGCTCTAAGGCAGCTGGACAGAGTCTTCTCTGCATGACCCCCACGTTCACCCCGTAGAGTGGATTGACCTTTTAAAAAAAAAGCCTTTATGTCAAGGATTTCATCTTCAACTGTCGGAATGGTTATTTTTTTTTATTTTACGACATCTATTACGCAGTTTGTATACCCTACTTCTAACCCCTCCCCCTTTTTTCCATCACCCATTTTATTTTCTTTTCCATTCCGTTTAGCGGTTTCGTTTGGGTTTGTTAAGCATTTAAAAGGTCAGGCTGGTCATGCATAAGCTCCTTTTTTTTTTTTTTTTTTTCCTTCTTGCGTTTTAATTCGCTATTGAATGAGATGTTTACCAGGCGCTCTGGAGGTCAGAAGGATAAAAGCGGATCGGAATTGACCGTGTTCTCGCTCACTATTTTCACGGGCGTTCAAGGTGCATCTCATATCTCACCCCCCCCCCAAAAAAAAAATGTTAAGGGGAACTTCTTTGCCTTTCCAGTGGATTATCCCAGGTGGTCCTCACCGGGTCTCTCTCCTGCTTACGGGCCGATTGTGTAAGATGGGCCCATGTGGTTACGGAGGTTTTCAGAAAGTAATTCCGAAGTAATATGGATGACATTACACTCTGCCCCTGCATCCTCGAAGTTTCTATGGCGGCTATTCGCCTTTGGGCCGACCTCCAATCGCGCCATCTTTCCTCTATACCCTTGTTGTATATACATATAACGTGTATGTGTACATGCCCGTCGAGGCAGGCCAAGAGATCCCATGTCCGTACATAACCATTACTAAATGGCCACATTGGAATTTGCATCCAGACAAGTCTTGTAATTGCTCTTTACAAATTACCCGCGGATAAAACAGGTGCAAGAAGGATGATGGCGATCCTTGCTTTTGTATTCTTGAAGACTGAATAATCCATTGCGATCCCTGGCCTTCCTGATTCTAATAGGGTCATACAAGGGTTTCAACGCCACATATATGCAGCAAAGCGTTCATGGTAACAGGGACTTTGAAGGGTCTGCCAGGGGAGTCTTTGTTAAACCGCGTTCGAATGCTTGTTCTGCGATGCTTGTTCAGTCAAGAGGAGCAAGGGTGACAGCCCGGATAATTCTTCCGTAAGAGCACAACCCGCAAAGAGCCCAACAAACCTCACCAGGATTCACAAACCCAACATAAACATGCCCTTAAAAAGGTATCAGGAATGCTATCTCACTGTTTGAAAGAGAAGTATAGCTAAAACACAAGAAATCTGGGTCGACTCTCCCACGGCATGTGATAAGACACATAAGTAGCGGAGAAAATCCTAAAAATCTTAAATTCAGTGTCACATCCCACGAAAATGTCGATCATCTCGAAGTGTGTCAGTTTGTTCTCCTTCTCCTTCTTATCCCCTGTTCCTTGCACTTATAGTACGTCTGGGGTTTGTCCTTCAAAGTCCCTGGTCTGCACTCTGATGTTTTTACGCAGATCGCGAGACAACCTTTACTCGAGGACAAGCCTCACGGATGCTACTTGAAAAAGAAAATTGAGGGGGATTTCTAGCACTCTGGATCAAAATTGCAGTTTTGACTTCCTCGCTTGCCAATTTCTTGGTGCAGCAGCACTACACCTACGCTACCGGACAAGGCCGGCCGGAACGGTGGCTGGAGAACCGGGGATGCTCTCGGAATACCATTTCCCTCTGACGATCAGTGGGTTTATCCTTATTGACCCTTCGCCGTTTCGGCCACTATCCTGATGGAGTTTAACGACTAGTGAAGATCCCCCAGAGGACTGCCACCGCGGCGTGATAAGCACTGGCTACCTAACTTCTACTTCATGCGGTCATCAATATAGCGTCAAATCATGAAGTCATATTGTTTCTACCTACACGCCTTTTTGCTCCGGAGTATCAGCTAAAAAGAAACCCAAGAAAATAAAAACTATATACACATCGAGATCATCACAAATACCAACCACATTCTCGTTTTCAGATATCTAACATGCTTCTGACTCTATGGGCTTTGGCTTGAGACGTAAGTGTTTCTCCAGAAAATGCCGTGTTATGACTGTTCGCACGGCTTAGTGTAGGCGAAGCTTCAGGTTTCGGGCCTGGTGGTATACTGTTACCCTGTGAGGCTTCCGGCTTGTTTTCCTCTTCATCCATAACAACAAATCTGTCTTTTCGTGGCCATTCAAATTCCGCGGAAGGCTCCTCTGCCGGGAGTTCTTCAGGCGGATCATCGTCTCTATACTTGGTAGGATTGAGGACGCCCATTTCAACCATCTTCTGAAGGTTTTTCTTCGTCGCCGTGCCACCGCCCACTTCCGCAACAAGAGTCCGCAATCTTTCATCTGCATCCAGACCGAGAGTACTAGGTGTATAGTCGGTCCTCGATCGGTGCCACCAGTGCGGCTTCCTGTTCTTCCGGTCAATCCCTAGTTCGTTATCTGCAATACGACCACGTTCAACGCGCTGACGGATAAGCTCCTTATCCTCGTTACGATCGAGATAGCCGTAGATGTTCAAGATTATTAGAATAAGCAGAACAGGAGTATAGCCGAGTCCATACAGCCATCCTGGTTCACCGTTATATTTCAAGGGTGATATAGTCCAATTGAAGGCTGATGCAATACCGAACCCAATTCGTGCCCCAGCAAGAAGGATCGTAATGATGAATTTGAACGGTATGATGGTTAGGTAGAAGGCGACCCATACGCGTCCCTGTGGACGGTGTTTATACCTGTATAGGCTGTGGCCAAGGCTGTAGCAGATGAGGAACAAGCAGACAGCCACCAGAATACTTGCGGACTTGAAACGACCATCGGTTGCGGTTGGTTTCGCCAAACTTTCCTGCTGGTCTTCGCTCCGCTGCTTCTGTACATTCGTCCACGATCTTGGAATGGTTAAGAAGAAATTCAGAAACGCAAAGAGATAGAATATCAGCGGGAGATAAAATTCCTGTTTCTCTCGTGTCGTTTCAGCAGCGAAGGCGAAATTATCGCGGTCCTGGATTTGGCGCTCCTGCCACGAACCCCTAAATCATAGTTAGCAATTTCGCTTCTGTCAAAATCCATCATTACAAAATAAGCCTACCAATGCCGAACGCTTTCCCATACCGCCGCCAACACCGTTGGAAGCGTCAAATAATAGAATAAGCTCTGCAGGATGATCGCAAGGCCTTGTAGGTAATCCCGATCGACATCGATGCTCGTGAAGCAACTGATCGTTCCACATGCACCGACGAAGAGCATCCAGTACCATTGCCATCTCCGCCCTACCAAGCTCCATCTCTTATCTACAGGCAAGTATCTCCGGCCGTGCTTCCGAAGGTTGATCAGCGAGAATAAGATGGTGAGAGCGAACATCGACGCAAACGCGATTCCGATACTGCCTCGCGTCCCAACGCCTTCGATAGGAGAATAGCACGATGTACCGTTGATAAAGGTGCCGTTGGAAAACATGATCGGTTTGTACATCTGGAAAGCAAGCCAGCAGTTCGATCCGTTCGACAGTGTTCCGTTGGAATAGAGTGTGTAGTTGAAGTGGTGCAGCGCGCTGCGGTTGAAATGGATGCCGTTGATAACGGTGTCGGTTGCATTGTCCCCGTTGTCGGGGAACTGCAACAGCTCCCTCATCTGGATTAGAGCCATGGTTGATCCGGGAGGGGGTGATGAAAAGCCGCAAATTGGGACTCGGAGGGTGCTCGAAGCCCCGGCGGGGGAGGTGGGAGAGAGCGGGAGTTTCGTCGAATCAGCGCAAGCCCGCTCCCATGCCGGAGGGTGATTGCTGAATTACCTCGAAGTAAACCTCGTAAGGCTTCCCAGCTTGTTTATCCTGGGGGGGAAGAGTGTGTTGCTAAAGCGTGAGAGAGAGAGAAAGAGAGAGAAAGAAAGGTGAAGATGAAGATGAAAATTGGCGTGAAGGTCGAATGTCGGTCCAAAAACGGCTCAGTCGGAACCGACGTCATTGGCTCGGCTGCGCTTGGCCGCCCGCTCTGCCGACTCGCCTAAAGTTACGCAGGGCAAAAACTGCCAGAACTTCCAGCGTTGTTCGACGGCTTCAGCGAGCTGCTCTTCGATGACCGTACGTCGAGGAGCGCAAATTCGATGATGGTACGCATGTGGGTGTTCTAGTGGAATGCAACCTCAAAAACGACTGCATCATATCGTGTGTAGGATACAATCCGATATTGGAACAACTCGCGTCTTTACATCTGTATAGCCCTGGTTTGGCATTGAGAGAACTGGAAATTCTGAAACTTTAGGATCGTGTGTACTTGCGGTCTTTTGAATCAAGCCTTTTAATTGCTTATCATCTTTTGTAACTACTTCCATAGCCTGCCAGGAGCGAAGGATCTCATTTACTACTTCCGAAGACTGACGGCGTAGTCTGTTCGTACATAACCCCCCTTTTTTTTTTCTTTTCATTTTTCCCACGATCGCCCACCTCTCCAAAACCCAACTAGCTTTTCAAGATATCTTACCGAGAACGGCTTCGTAGAAGTCCAGCGGCGCAGGTGTTATTGTACCACCCCATTTGGATATCATCGATTAACCAAATAGCCGGCTTGCCGCTCACCGTCGCAGTGAGCTTGACTCTGGACAATCCCTTCCAGTCGGGGCCGAATTCGATTTTGGTCAGTTTGCAATTCCGAAACCCAGGACAAGGCGGAATCTTAAATGAAGTTGCTGCTTCTTGCACTTCGATTCCATGCTCCGCTGAATACTTGCTTGCAGTCGCCGTAAGCATGCAAGGCGTGTTGATTTTATTTCCGTTATTGCACCCGAAATAGGCTGAGGAAACATTGAACCAAAAGACGTCTTCATCTACACGAAGCCCTGCCCCAATTTCTCCTCCAGTCGTATTTTGCCCTTTGGGGATAAAAATACCAACATGCGGATTAGAAATTGGTGGGAACGGCTGTGCCGGAGGGGGACCGTACGACCATCCGTTAGAAAAGGAAAGATGATGATATGGACTGAATATTGGCGGGAAATCGGCGTTGGCAGGGTTTTTAGGCCTGTACGCAGGTAAATCGTCAAACTGATGGTATAAATGTTAGTAGCAGTCGAAATCTTTTTAGTTTGCAAAGAGCACAATGTCCTTACATTTAACTTGAACTTGCCGGTTCCCACACACCTTGTTCGAGAACCCTGATCTGTTGCACTTGGGGGGGTTTTAATAGTTTTGGTGGCCGAAGGCTTGCCAGTTTCAATCAGTCCTGGGCTGTTGACAAAACTCCCGGTAATGGCAACAACAGCGGAGAGGGGAGCTGTGCCAGACGTGCTTGTTACAAGGCTTTGTGCGTGAGTTTTAGTGAGTAAGGTAGTGGAATTCCACCCTACACCTCTTCCCCCCCCAATACGCATGAGTGGTGCGACAGGATACTTGTGATCATCGCTCGATTTATGTTCCTTGTGAGTCCAGACGGCACCAGAAGGATCATTCACGGGCCTAACGTTGCTTTCCGCCCAATCTGACTGTCAGCGCGCAAGGTCAAGATGTCACAACATGCAATCAACCCATATGTGCACCACAAAATGGACACTTGGATAAAAATGGAATAACCTTGAAAGTGAAGACAGGGTATAAGGTACGTTGAGCGCTGATCGGCTGTAGAAACAACAGCGACATTTTATCAACTTACCTGTTCGGGGTATTGGCGCTCAAAGCCACAGAGACAAATGCAGCAGCATTCAAAATGTATTGAAACTTCATTCTGGTAAGGTAGAAGAGAGAGGTGACACAAACTTGAGTGTCTTTTTGAGAACCAGAGTAAAAAAAACACGTCAAATGAGTGAAGGCGTATGCCGGTGACCAGGAGAAGGGCGCTCACATGCAAAGGGAATGATCAATTGAGCCCGGGATGCGACGAAATGTCAGAAAGAAGGAGATGAAAATAAGAGGGACCTGAAAAACGAGTGAGCAGCGAAGGACAGAGAGGAAAGGAGAAGAGCCTCGAGTGTAGGATGACGAGGCCAAATTAAGGTGATGGAACAAACATTGGACTTTGTGTGACTTTCTTTGTTTTGAGGCTCAATCCCCCCCCACCACCAATTGTCTTTTGGTCTGATACATGCAAGCTGTGCCTTCGGTGAGTTAGCTCCCTGGACGGATAGACAAAGAGATTTTTCTAGCGCTGTGTAAGAGTGTGCGGGATTGTGTGGAAAGCCAAAAACTGGACTCACACGCTGGAATCAAAGCTGATTATATTGAGGACTTTACACACATATATATATAAACATGAAATGTTTCGCCAAGGTGTATAAGATCTTGCCTATAAGGATTGGTTTTGTTCTAGCAGAACCTTGGGTTGAGAAATTATGGGACGAGGCGAGCTTGCGGCCCTTTTTTTTTTTTTTTTTTTTTTTTTTTTTTTTTTTTTTTTTTTTTTTTTTTTCCCTTTCTTTTTCCCGGAGAGAGGTCATACCGCAAGACAATAGGGAATAAACACTGGAAGAAAGTTTAGGAGAGAATAAAATGGGTATTGCAGAAGTCTCTGAGTTGAAGCACAGGGACTACGTCGACAGGACAGCATACATAGCGTATAGGAAACTGAAAGAAATTCTGGCAATGGTTCTTTAGCCAGAATGGACACTCGAACACCCGGTTGCACAAACAGGAGGCAGCTGAAGTCCCTACATACTGCGGAACAGCTCAGGCGGTGATACCTATATCAGTAGCGGAAACTATGTATCACATAAAGAAGCTCACGAAGCATTAACGCTTCCCCAGTTGGGTGAATCCGGACAGAAATCACCACTCTTTCTGGGGGTGGTCAAACATAATCCATATTTCTAGCAATATGGACATTAGAATCCAGAAATAATAGTACTGCACGTCGTAACGCACATCGGGAATCAGACTGCATATTCTGTAGCAGTACTCCGTAAGAAGGCGGCGTTTCAACATTGCGTCTGCGCTCGTTTGTCGCCTGGATGTATGTTTGTTGGACATGGAAGTGCCAAGCCGGCAACGGAATTCGCAAGAACCTTTTTTCCCGTGTCCCTGAAACTTGTTAGGGATTAATTAACTAACTGAAGTAGAACCACCCCTTGGTGAAGTGATCGGCCTCTTGCCCAGGTGGTCTGTTAAAACGGACACTCAGCAGCACAAACCCATGTCTCGGCCATTCTTCATATTCCCCGGCGTTTTTTGTGCTGATTTACATAGGCTGGGCGAGACCGTTGGTGAATCCCACTCTTTTTTCATCACTTTCCCAAATTTCATCTCAGGGCCTTCTTTAGGCCTGCCAACCGGTTAAACTTCCTGGTATCGAATTTTTAAGGGTGTACATATGTGGGGGACTGGTATAACACCTTCGTTATTCCTTCTATTATAATAGTTGGGCGGTTATACAATGCAGATAGCCAATCGTTATCGCCGGCAACCTCAATAGCTGATGCCCTCTCCTTGTTGGCCTATTCATTGGGGTCTTCGGAACCTAGGCTTTCCCAAATGAATTTGTCGACCTGCATTCGCTCAGACTTAACCCCTTGCGTGGTCCCGGAACAATGATGCAAGGGGCATTTTAACGCGGGACATCTATAGACGAGGGGAGTGGAGGGTTGATAATGACAAGGGTCTCATTCCCGGTGCGTTGAGACTTACTTTGATATCGCAAGCGAGCTTCTGGTGAAAACCAAAATCTTCCATATATTCAGTGCTCCCTGAAGGCCACAGAAAAGGCATGTACAATAGTAGTGCATCTGCCGACTTCAATTCCACAAAAACAAGAGAAACATAGCTCAAAAACAAAAAGAGGGGTATATGTGTTGGCGACAGAGACAGAAAAATCCGAAAATAGATGTTGTAGTGAAAACTGCTGTATGTTAAAAGGAAAATTCGACGAAGTTGGGGGGCTTTTTTTTTTTCCAAGCCACCTGGAATCCCAAAGAAAAAACTGAAAACAAAAGAATACAAAACCACCACCCACCCTGGGATGTTTTCCGGTGTCACCAGCAACTCCGTATTGGCACTTGAGGAATGGACTGGCCCCCCTGATTAACATCAACCTGCAACAAGGAATATAAATGTAACATAGGATTATGCGAAGGTTAGTAGCGAGAGGAAACAGGCCGTTCGTAGGTAGTAAGCAAAAAGGGGGGGAAAAAAAAAAATAATAATAAAAAAAAAAATATGAAAACGAATGGACTGATACAATCGGGTATAAAGAGAAAATATGGAATTTTGGGGAAGAAGGATGTTTTCTGCTTGGTACGCCCAACTCCCCTATATGCTTGAAAAGACTAAAGCCGCTGAAATTACCTGTGAATAACTTCCAAATGAAAGATAGAAAGCGGCCGTTATAATGATAAGAACCATAAATGCGATGTTTGGGAACTTGATCTTGCGAGAAATCAAGGGGGTTGAGGCAAACCTGTCGTTATGTAATTAAAAAATCCATTTGCATGTCGTCGATGATCTTCTCCCAATCCCAGCTCTGATCAGGGTCAGTGTCCATGATATCCCATACCCTCTCCACGATACGCAGTGCGGGTTCAATGTTTCGTAGGCTGGAATAGGCCTGAAGACTGTCGAAACCTCTTCTGACGCGGTCTCGCTGATGGGTTTCAAAGGCAGAGCAACCGAGGAGGAATAACGGCATCAAGAGCATGCTATAAGCTCCAGCATTTATCGGTAGCTGATCGAGGAAAAATAACCCGTCATCTACTACTTGGGAGATTTTGTCGTTTGGTCGCGAGGGCCGAATGGTACGATAAAGATAGACCCATGTCGATTGGCGGTACAGCTGGGCCGCAAACCAGTTTTGATGTTCGGGAGGATACGTCGGCTCCCAAGCTCGAATCCGAGAGTCAATCGCGACCGCTTCACTGAGCGTCCGGTAGTCTACCGCAGGGTCAAGTCCTGCGTTGATACGCTGCCGGATTCTGTCCCGAAGCACGGTGATCTCGGAGATATAGAGGAACAGACCGTCGAATATACCCAACAGAGCACCGGCTTGAGCATGGGGAATAAAATCCGGTAGACGAAGGTCTCCCGTGAGACAGATAGGGCGGCGATCTAGCGTGGTCAACGAGCTAGAAACGTCGTGGTACTGGAAGAACTCGACGATAAACTGTCTGAACTTCTCGTTTTTTGGTCTTTGGGTAACAAGTAGATATCTAGCGGCATCCATGTGAGTCCTATATTCGCCTTTGGTTTCTCCTTCACAGATTGTATTTAGACACAGTGCGATTGTTGATGCGATCATCGGATCCTCAACGAGGAATTCTGCATCATCATTGTCGCTTCTGGAAGACCGGGCAGCGATTGTATTCCGCAGGTCGGTGATGGCACGGTCAAAATGGTAATGCTTACGTTCTTTGAAACGAGGTTCCGGGTTTCGTGTTGAGAGATGGGATCCGGCAAGACACATCAAAGAATGCATCAACCCGGTGTGCTGCGTGGCCATCGGTAATAGGATTTCCTTGAAAGGGTTTGAATCATCGTTGATCAATGTAAGCACTCGACTGAATTCATATACGAAGTGATCCAGAAACTGCCTGTCGACTTCAGTTTCGATGCCGTCGATCAGAATGGGAAGACTGCGTGAGACGAGAGCCATGGAGCTTCGGCGCGCAGCTAAACCGGAGGACAATGTCAGCGATCGAAGCTCTCGAACAACAAACCTACGACTGCATGATCGACGGGTCGAGCCCTACCTTCTTCCATCTTTTGTTTCCCGCTTTTCCATATTTCTTTGACGGGATATCCTTCGCACACCACCGAATTCTTCTGACAGTTCAGACACGATGGTTTGGTCTCGTCGCATTTCTTCTTCCTCCGTCGACAGGTGATGCAGCCGGTTTTTGACCTTCCCTTGGTAACTTTGGCCTGACCGGGTACGGGAAGCGGGTGTTTCCGAGGTCTTCCACGTTTTCTTGGTCCGATAATCGGTGCTGGTGGCGCGCATTCGCTCTTTGTATCAGCCGTGTCCGCTTGAACTTGGCTGTTCGTGGGTGCCTTTCCCAGTTCTATTGCGAGGGCCTCGTCATCATCAATCTCCTCGACTTTTGGAACTACATCATCCGAATCTGGAGAAGAAATCATCTGGAAGCCGAAAGTGAGGGATGGGCTCGAGGAGGAGGAGGAGGTGCCCACATAACTGTGGGCGGTAAAGCTTTTCCGGAATTCGCGGTGCTGTTCCTGGGATCTGACGAGGTTCGGGACTGGCTCTGATAGCCGGAAGCTGGGATGTCCAGGTCCATCGTTCTGTGGCGTAATGGTGAGTCGCGAGAAGCTTTCGTTGGTACAAGAGGTGGTCGGAGATTCGAGGCTGGGAGAGGGCAAAGGGGTCGGCTCCGAACGCTTAGGAGCAGTGAGATCCCTGTCGAATTCGGGATGATTCGTTACATTGTGGGATAGGTGGCTTCTGTTCGGGTTGAGCGGGAGTTGGTGAGAGTTGAATGCTGAGGTTCTCTGCATGAACAACATAGACTCTTCCAACATCCAAAACCCGATTGATTTTCTGTGTCTGGGAGAGAGCAGCGTTCCAAGGGCAACCCAAGCACTTTTTAGTTTCACAGACAACTTATTTCTGGCAGTGACTGGCCTCTTAAATACGGCTATGGTGCCGTGGAGGTGCGACGAGTTGCACTAACAAGGATGACCCGATTGACCAATGAAGCCTGTGTCCCCTCTTCCCTGGACCTGGTCAATTTGGCTTTTGCTCCAAGATTGAGGTTAGGAAGGGCAATGCGTCTTACGGAACTAGTCTCTTGGAAGTCCTTGTCGAGGCCCAGAGCTTGCGGGTTTGACAGCCTTCGGGGTCCCTTTAACTGCAATCCTGGTTCCAATTTATCGGGGTTCGCTGTTTTATGTGCCTAGTCAAACCGAGGATTGGGGCAAGGCGGGCGCAGGACTGTGCGCTTGTGCGGGGATACGAAAGAAGCTAAAAAGATAGATCAGCCGCCTATAGGCTGGGGAGACATCCTTCGCAAAGCTCCCGTACTTTTGCTCGCGCGTCCGACGATGGGATTCTGTTGCACAAGGATGATGTATACTCCGTACACAACAATCGTAAACAAAGCCAACGTTGGGATATTTATTGGGTCTTGATTACTATCCCCAGGCAAACGCCCTCTTCCGTCTTCGTAACTACAGGGCTACTAACTAAGTAATTACAAGATGAAGTGGACGTGCAATGTCAGTCTCCTCATCGCACGCTGCTGGCACGGCGAGTTTCTATCGACTCCTCAACCGGAAGACGGGCCTTTCGCATCACCATTTTGCTTCAAGGCGTCATCGAGTAACTCCTTCCAGCCTGAATTCGCAGGGACTGAACCGCGGTGTTGTCGACCCTTGTCAACAATCCGTCGAATCACTTCCTGGGCGGGATTCGAAGAGCATAGTCATCAAATATCACATCACCTGGAGCCAGTCGAGAGCATCTTGGTTGGGGCTGAGCAAATTTCAGTCTCGAGGGATTCGGGGTTTTATGTCACTGAAGCGGTAAGACGATATCCATGGGGAGACCTGATCTTTGGGACAAAGGTCGAGATCGGCCCTTTAAACCAACCCAGGCTGCGCGGGGCGTCGTTTCGTTCCCGTCTCTGTCCCGCCTACAATGCTTCAACCAATACGAGCATTGAAATTTCGAATCAGAGCGGAGAACCATCAAACCACATGGAGTCCCACTGGATCACCATTCTGTTTCTGCCTCTTCTAGGAGGCTGAGGGCGTCGTGACGAAAGATGTCGAGATACCCATTGACTGGCTGCGCAGCTAAAGTTACCGGAAGGCTGTCCTCCGTACTCCGTACTCCGTACGGGGTTACAGGTTCTTGGGAAAGGGGGAAGATGATCGCCCTGCGGATCCTTTTTCGTTGCTCGTATCTTCATGCTTTTTCGTAAATTTGTCCACTGCTACTTTCTCGCGTGCTGCCGTGCCAGCGTTGCATGTGTGTTGGCACGCGGCCCGGAAGCAATGCACTCCCAGGTTCAGAAGAGGCGGTGCGTGGATGTCTGGACACATGTATGTAACTCCACGACAGGGCCGCAAAATCTCCTTCCTTCGAAGTGTCAGCAGGTGGAGCCGCGGCCTGTTTCTGCATTTGACTTTTGCGCAAGAGACCCGGAGGTGACTTGTGAGATCTGCCTCCGAAGCAATTTAGTTCGATCTCATTTTGCCGGAAGGCGTCGATCCTGGTGCCCAAGAAATCCCTGCCAGGTGGTCCAGTGGAACAATACCTTGCCAGGCGTTTTGGCCCTTTGCTGAGCCCAGGGCCCAGAACAAGCCTTCATTGCGCTTGTGGTTCTGCTCGATCTCAAACCCCACTTTCTGATGAAGATCCAACCTGCGGATCGAAGATCTTGAGGTCTCGTATCACGATTGATTTACGCTTGGCTTTTGTGTAGTTTCTCCTGGAGTTTCGTTCCACATCCGTCAACAAGACAGCTTCGGACAATAAATTCTGGTGTCGACAATGACCTGGCCAATGTATGGAGAACGGAAGCTATCCGATTTTAATGCACCTTGTCCGATGGCACGAAGCGCGTGGAAGTCTCCGCTCCTACCCGCGGGCCGCGTTCCCCGAGACAGGGATGGGCCATCTTGCTCCTGGTCCGTGAGGATAGAAAATCCTCAGAATCCCAAGGATCGGAAGTGAAGGTAATCACTTATGCCCTTTTCTCTGGGAGAAAATATACCGAAATATCGCTATTGCTCATGGTGGCCTGCCGAGAAGTTGATGGTATTCGCCCTTGCGGAGTAGCTGGGCAGTCACACGTCAACGCTGTGGCTTCTTTGGCTCTACCAGAAAGCCAATCTCACAATACTACATCAACCTGAGATAGAAGTGCACAGGGACGACTCAATGACTTTTGAGTCCCATCTGATTTGATGATTGCTCAACCTACATCAATTTATTAAAACGTCACGGCTTCGACGATAATCGATCATAGGCTTTTCGTGCGATCGAGATCGAAGCCATGAGTGCTCTGAACCTGTACCTGTTGAATTAACGTTGGCAAGGGGTCCCTTGCTAACAGGGTCCCTGATGACTTGCAGACTCAATTTGAACCTTGATATCGCAGGGAGAATGGCATATTCATTCAGATGAAACGCCAACTTATGTCTCTCGAGACGTATCGGTCGAGAGGATGTCACCGGCTGCATCTCACCGGCTCCGTGGATTCACCTCATTTGAGGATTGTGAATTTGTTTGCGGACTGGTGGAACTTCCATTGTATTCCTGGCTCAAAGAATGCTTGGAAGACGGTAGCAGTTGTCCTGTGATTTCTAGGAAAATACGCGATATTTCAGGTCCTGAAGGACCTGGACACCCTTCGCTCTTAATGATCTAACCCTGCTTGCAGGCATCTGAGAAGATTTCCTTCGGCGAACCTTTTTTTTTTTTCCCTTGTTCGCTAGGTGAGTACCAGGTAGGCATGCAATGGAAACATCATTTTTGAAAGGAGTTGCACCGGAATGAGGGGAAGGCTGTGCTTCAAAGCAGGACAGGACTCTGACATTCCAACTCATCAAACCCAGAGCCATCTTAGTCTACCCTTGCTGCTTTTATACATATATACAAATTACAGGGAAACTAGGGTATAAATATCTCTCTGACCCTTTGCCATTTTATTGGAACATCGCGGGGGATCCTCCTGGGGCACAAGGACAGCTGACACCATGTACCCTACTGATTTTAATTGTCCGAAGTGTACGGAGTAACAACCTCAAGACTCATTGAGTTGTGTGGAAAGCTCCTGTGGGGTTAGCGGATGATCACCATCAAGACCCTCCCTGGTCAGAGTGTACAGGTGTGTCCTCTGTAATTCTTGGACTCACTGAATTTCCTGTCAGCTTAGTTAGTGCACCTGTTTGGTATAGCACGGTGTGTTGGTCGGTTAAGAGACACAAGAGTGCTCCATGCCTGCTCTTTCATCCCAAGGCTTCATTTTCTTCCAACTTTTTCTTTATGCCTTCTATTATATTCGGGGAGTGTACCCCGCTTCTAGCATCTACTGCTTTTCATAATGGCTTTTGCTTCCCAGAGGTCTCGCTCCAGAACCAGCGAAGACTGACTGAGAAATGTGATGGGCATGACTCTCAACCCTCTAGCAGGTTCAAAGGGCATGTGTGAATGACATCTCAGCTCCACAGAAAAAGACAACTCTATTCCCGATATAACCTCACCCTCCAAAGAAAACATAACTGTTTCTCCTCGCCAACTGCAAGTTCACCGCCAGCGCGAGCGAGTCAATATCCGCAGCTGTCCTCTTTACACGCTCTTCTTGCATAGAAAACGGAGCGAACTCGCGAAATGCATAGATTAATGTGTGATTAAAGACCATGCCTACCATGCCCCGGATGGGCCGTTGAATACCTGTGTCAGGGTCCAGAGTATGAAGACCCCGTCACTTGTCTTCGGATCTCCCTCGGGTCCAAGAAGTCAATTCGCTGAGAGCTTCGCAATTTGATCGGGAGCCACTCTGTATAGCTTGTCCGTATTGGATTAGGAATTGTATCATGCCAAAGGAGTGGAATGATATTGGTCCTTCCCGAGTTTGACCTTGATCCCGGTCAGTGAGAGGATACAACCTCCCGTCTCCAATGAAGCTCTCCAACTTGACATTGGTAAGTTCTGATCCCATGTCTGGACAGACATGGTCGCTTTATGCGGTTAGAAAACTGGGAAACAATGGGTTCCCGCTAGATCTCGGTCAGTCTTGCAAACTTCCTGCGGGTATCAGGTTGATCACTGTCATAACCTGATTCATCGTTGATATCAGGAATTTGACGCCATCTTAATTTCCGTCAACCTGTTAATTTCTGTCAACATTTCTCTCCAAAAAACAGTGATCTCACAGTTTTTCTAGAGAAACATTGATGCTGGTTGAACCTGTTTGGAATTATAGATCTATGGTCTCTCTGAAAAATCTATTTTTCTGGTATGAAGGTTAGAACGACTACAAGCTGTCGACACAGGCAGGACAGGTGAGAAATGATGGCTACTCGAATCCCCGTGTTACCCGTGGTACTTAGGTAGCAGTTACACATCTACATTCGTGGCTTGCCTCCCTACGTGTGTAGGCACACACTCCCAAACCCAAGACCAAGCACCGAGTGCAATGTGAATCCCGAATTCTCATTCTATCCTCTAACCACCCGCCCTCGAGCGGCCTTCAAGCCGCAACAACAATGCTGAGGGTGCAAGACTGGAACTTCTATTCACATCATCTCTGCCCCTCATACACATTGTGAAATCTCGGCCCTTTGGGAGCTTCCTTGAGCGTAGGTGCCGTGACAAACTTCCATCTGGGCTATCTAAAGGCAGCTTTTCATATCCTAGCGGCCATCTTGTGTTTGGCTCCCTTAGTCACCCTGATCATTGCCACCAAGGACAAAGTGTCAGCAGGACAAGTTGGAGATGTATACGCGCGGCAGCGAGTGTCCCAAGAGGCTCACATTGCACTTGTAGTAGGAAAGGTCTAATCTCTTCAAGTGAAAAAGGCAAAACGGAGCTGGTTGCTCAATATATTCTGCATTCTTGCAACGGGTCGGACGCTCCAATATCGGTTTTCAAATCGGGCTGGACCTTTTTGCGATTGCCATACTGGTCGCTCGCCTTGTGCTGATGGTCAATGCAACTGTAGATACCCATAGGAGCGAATATTACTACAGCGATTCTCGGGATGCACATCCAGTGACACGAACGATGGCAATCTATATTGCTTTTGTTTTTGAGTCGTTGTTATCGTATGTTGCACTTGACGAAGTATTCATTCCCCTGGTGACTTTGGTCTCGTGGCTGACGCGATGGCTCAGGGGACTGCACATTTGCTTTATGATTGTGGGATGTGTAGAGAACTGTAGAGCATTATCTCGATACAGAAACAGGATTTCTTAGACGATAGGTCTTTTCATCCTTCGCAACCAAGGCAATCGCATGGAGATCCCATGGGGATTCGCTTCGAGAGGTTGAAAAGCCCCCACTGCTGATGATGCGGCCAAAATCCCGTTGGATTTCATATTTCTGCGGGGATCTAATGTGGTCGGACGGGTAGAGTGACGAACCGGGACAAATTCCCGATATTTGGGAGCGTCATCTGGCCCCGTAGGGGGGCTCGCGCGTATTTCTGAGTTATCTATTCAAAAGGAACATCATTGAAGTCAATTTGCTGTTTGCATGGATCGTCCTTACCTTCTTCCAGGCGAGGAGCTATATTTACAAGCATCGTGTCCTGCCTTAAAGCTGAAATCAAACCGAGCAATGTTTTGATCACAATCGGCTTAACCACCAAAGCATCCAGTTCGCTCAAAACGCCAAAGGCTAAGCTTCCGAGCAGGAAGGGAGGATTCTTTAGCCATTGGATCTCATGAAGTCAAACAAGCCCTTAGGGTGATATTAAGATATACAAAATCCCCACAATGACCCCATCCAAGCGACCGTGTGGTCGCGTCAGGGATTTGGCTCTATCCACATCTAGTTGCTGATCCGAGATCAAAACATTCTGGAATTTCAACTCCAGGTTCGATGCGGCAGAACAAAATTACGCTTTACTCATGGCTCCCATCCTTTGGAGAGTTCCTGGGCCAATGGGAGGGTCGACGGCCGTTGCTGAGCGGTTTCAGTGCACGTCCGTGTCACAACGGGCGGCCTTATTGGAACAGGCAAAACGTCGCCCAGACCCAGACAAGCCTTGCACGGTTGGATCGATTAAATTCCATTCCTAAAAGACGGCCAGCTCGAAGACGGTGCTCGATGGTGCTCGATGACGCCCACCTTGCTAACAAGGGCATGCAATCATTTTGTGAACACCCTGTGGAGTTGAATGGGATGATTGAACTTCCTAAGATGGTCCCTGAAAGGGGCGGTGCCAGATATCTCCTCCCGTGGCTTAGCTGCTGCTGTGGAATAACAGGGCAGTCTGTTGTTGGTCGATAAATATCTTGAAAGGTTTGGTAACTTTTATGGCGCAGTCGAACTCATATACCACCTTCCAAGGGGGAACACTGCATCGCTCCCCCACGGAGTAGATATAAAAATGATTGTGCATCGGAGTTTTGAGAGTACGAAAGCACCACCCGGGAATGTTCGCTATCCATTTCTGGCGCTGTCATCAGGCTGGGTTTGAATTAAGAGCGGAGGGTTGGGAGTTGACGATCCCGTGAGAAATGCATCGGGCTTCCGGACTCAAGCAAACGGGGCTTGTTTGTTATCCAAGGCAGAGAGGTAAGTTGTAAGACCGGACAGAGCCCTAAGGCCATTTGAATTTGTTTTGCAGGAAACATTACACCGGTAAAGATCAAATTTCATGAGATATAATTGCATCGAGACACCCAACCTTCGACCAAGTGGTACTCCGTATCACGGTTCTGTGTCAAACCGACCCCAATCCCGACCAAAGTGAGTTTCCTCACCTAGCATGTAGCACACGCTTCTATGGGCGGACATTGGAAGACGTGCATCGCTCCCACTCCAATGCTTCACTGAAAAGAATTGCAGCTGTTCGTGGATGTTGGAAGCGAGGGCTGACAAGGTTGCTGGATCGGGCGGATGTAGGTCTCGGCCGGAACTTTATATCTCCGGCATTACTAACCTTACCGGGAACTCGTTCGCCGCAAGCGCATGAGACCGTTCATAATATTTGTCTCGCACACGAACCAGCCAGCAGTTATGAATGGGGAACAAACGCAGTTCAAACCCCCCCCCCCCCCCTGGTGCAAGGTTTCACCCTTGCATCTGAAGGCCGGCAGGATTCAACCCAGTGGCTGCTGGATTTGCTCGATTAGTCATGAGTTCAGAGGAGTCGGCGGGGTTTGAACCGGCCTCGAATTGGAGAAAATGCCAACCGGAGGATGCGACATACTAGCTAGTGTCGTATGCTTTACCCTATACGATCGCATTCGGTCGCATTCGTACCTTGAATGCCGACGCTAGGAGGCTCTCGGATATTTTGTGACTTAATACTCATACAAATACAAAGTCTTCTTTTCGTCTGATGAAATGCTCTGGACGTTATCTGAAATACCTTATTGGGATTGCAATCAAAACTTTCGTTCAAATGTGGCTTTGAAGTAATACTGTTGTGGTGAAGCACCAAGGATGATCGCTGAAGAGAAAGGAATCTCCCGTGTTGAAGCAGACGAGGAGGCCGCTATCGGCATTGATAGCCACGTTCAAGCTGCAAAGCACCAAAGCCGGACCCATCTCTCTTTCCGCAAAGTCCAGCCTGTGGATGTCCACGTGAAGGAGCTTGTTGTTCGAGTTGACACTGTCCCACCAATATGGCAAAGCTCCCCGTCTTTGCTATGGGATCGGCTACGGAGGAAGACGAAGGGGGAACCCCTCAAAACTGTGCTTGATGGAGTCACCGCGGCGATGCCGAGTGGGAGCCTCACAGCCATAATCGGTGGCAGTGGCTCCGGGAAGACAAGCTTGCTGAATGTGCTGGCTGGCCGCATGAACACAGGTCGCGTCAAAATCTCGGGATCTGCCACATTTAACGGGCACGACAACATCAACAGCGTCCGAAGCGCGTATGTAATGCAGCAAGATGTCCTAATCCCGACGTTGACTGTACGAGAAACGCTGCAGTACTCTGCGGATTTGAGATTACCCCCTCCTACAACCCACGACGAGAGACAAAACGTTGTGAATAATGTGATCCTTGAACTGGGTTTGAAAGAATGTGCAGATACGAGAATTGGCACTACGACCCATAAAGGATGTAGTGGCGGAGAGAAGAGGCGGACTAGCATCGGAGTTCAGATGTTAAGCAACCCATCCGTCCTGTTTTGCGATGAACCTACCACAGGTAATTCTTGCAGCTTTCAAGCAGCACCGTCGGGAAACCAGTCTTTTCTATGTTGAGGCTGACGCTACTCTCAAACAGGTTTGGATGCCACCAGTGCCTTTCAGGTCATCAAAACGCTGAAAGCACTCGCGCGGGATGGGCGAACGGTCATTGTTTCCATCCATGCTCCGCGTTCGGAGATTTGGGGCCTTTTCGATCAAGTCATCTTACTATCACGCGGCTCTGTGCTTTACAGTGGCCCGGTTGATATGGCTTTAAGCCACTTTGAAGAATGTGGTCACTCCATCCCCGCTTTCGTGAACCCAGCAGAGTTCTTGATTGACTTAGCGGCATACGATAATCGATCGGAAGAATCCGAGTTTTTTTCGCGAGAACGTATCGAAAAGCTCCAGAGAGCATGGCGCGAAAGCCCCAACAATCGACTTTTAGACGAGAAGGCCAGCTCTCAAAATAGGGGCATCGCATCGGAAAAGGCCTATCAGTCGATCACGCCGCAAAAAGGTGCCAGTTTCGGTCAACAATTTCGCGTGCTCACAGCCCGTACAATGAAAATGACTGTGCGAGATCCTATGGGCATGACAGCCAGCTTGTTCGAAGCTATCGGTATGGCTGTAATGAACGGATGGGTCTATCTTCGACTAGACCGTAGTTTAGCTGGGATAAGGTCACGACAAGGAAGCTTGTACACGGCCAGTAGCCTCAATGGTTACCTTATTCTCCTTTACGAAGTTTTCCGTCTAACTACGGATATTCAACTGTTTGATCGCGAGAGAAATGAGGGCGTTGTTGGCGTTCCAGCCTTTCTCTTAAGCAGACGAGCTGCCCGATTGTTCCTTGAGGATTTGCCGGTTCCGTGCCTGTTCTCAGTGATATTTTACTTCATGGTTGGCTACAGGCTTGCTGCGCCGGAATTTTTCATCTTCTTAACGCTCAACATCCTCACTCAATATTTGGCGGTGTCTTTTGCATCCGTCTGTATTAGTCTGTCTCGGAACTTTCCAGGAGCAAGCTTGGTCGGAAACTTGTCGTTTACCCTACAAACCATGGCGTGCGGCTTTTTCGTCCAAGCCAACCAGATTCCCGTTTACGTGCGATGGATAAAGTGGATGACTTACACCTTTTATGTATTTGGTGCTCTCTGCGCGAATGAGTTCATCGGGCCCAGTGGTCCACCGGAAGGCCAATTCTACGATTGCCCATTCTCAGATGACCCCTCAGATCCTTATTGCAAGGAATACACCGGGCGATTTATTCTGGAAACTCTAGGCCTTCCATCAAATTGGATTTGGCGGCCTATGGTGGCATTGGTTGGGTTTATTACTCTGTTCTTCGGGGCAGCTTATCTTATACTTCAATTTAGGAAAGTTGATATGGACATTGCCCAATCGCGAAGCTCAGAGGGTGATCTGTCAGCAGGAAAGGAAAAATTCGTCGCACGGCTGCCCGATAAATCCCATCATGTTTCTATCCGGCTTGATAACTACGCCCTTGAAATTCAGAAAAGAAGGATAGGTAAACGGGGTATTGAGTCTCGGCGACTGCGCATTTTGAGACCTATATCCGCTGAGTTTCGCCCCGGTCAGCTAAACGTAATCATGGGGCCTTCAGGGAGTGGAAAGACCTCATTACTATGCTCCATTGCTCGGAGATTACACGGTTCTATTGGCACGAGATATCATCTGAGCGGTCAAATGCTCTATAATAGCTCAGTACCATCTGAGAACGTGATTCGAGCAGTATCGTCTTTCGTTACCCAGGATGACGATGCTCTGATGCCGTCACTTACGGTTCGAGAGTCCCTTCAATTTGCTGCTGGTTTGAGGCTACCTTCCTGGATGTCTAAGGAAGAAAAAAACCGACGCGCTGAAGATATCCTCCTAAAGATGGGATTGAAGGATTGTGCGGACAATTTAATTGGAAGTGACTTGATTAAGGGCATTAGTGGTGGTGAAAAGAGAAGAGTTACCATTGCGATCCAGATCCTCACGGATCCGAAAGTTCTATTACTCGATGAACCTACATCTGGCTTGGATGCGTTCACAGCGACATCTATCATTGATGCCTTAAATGGATTGGCTGCTGAGGGCCGGACGCTAATATTAACCATTCACCAGGCTAGATCGGACCTCTTTCATTATTTTTCCAACATCTTGCTTCTAGCAAGGGGTGGGCATCTTGTTTATGCTGGAAAGGGATCTGAGATGCTGCCTCATTTCAAACAATTGGGATATCCGTGTCCAGAGGCCACTAATCCTGCTGACTTCGTCCTGGACTTAATAACTATTGATCTGCAGGAGAAGGGGAGAGAGGATGCTAGCCGTAAAAGAGTTCAGCGCCTGATATCTGGTTGGGAGCAGAACCCGGTAGAGCTCACTCGGCAGACTTCAGTAATATCAACCCCGGCCGAGCTGGGAAGCTTGAAGAGGAAGATGAGCCCGTTTCATCTTATGTACCCGCTGGTACTTCGAAGATCTGCCATCAATTTGAGGAGACAACCGCATCTTCTTGTGGCACGCACAATGCAGGTAATAGGCATTGCTATTATCTTGACACTCTTTTTTGCGCCACTAAAAAAGAACTACGAATCGGTTCAGTCGAGAATGGGGTTCATTCAACAGCTTGCTGCGATGTATTTTGTTGGTATGTGAAACGGCCTTGTCCGCTCTGTGCAGCAACCAAACCGAAACCGTTCTTAACGAATATACCTTTTAGGGATGCTACAATGTATTGCAATATACCCGTACGAACGAGACGTGTTCTACCGAGAAGAAAGTGACAACTGCTACTCCGTCGAAGCCTTCATTCTGCAATACACATCCCTCGAGCTTCCCTTCGAGATCGCGTCATCCTTGATTTTCGGCGTCGTGGCCGCTTTCGCTGTCCGCCTCGAGAGCAGTGTCAAGATGCTCTTCATCCTCGCATTCAACTGTTTCTGTATTGTAAGCTGTGGAGAGTCGTTAGGTATAATGTTCTGCACATTATTCTCTCACGTCGGGTTTTCAGTCAACATAACCTCTGTTCTGCTCTCTATTTCTACCGTGTTAGGAGGCGTACTGAGTTTGAATGTCCCCGCCGTGCTTCAAGCGTTTAACCACCTTTCTCCCATCAAGTATTCGGTCTCTAATTTGGCCCCATATGCCATGACGGGTCAGGTGTTCACGTGTACCAATGCCCAGCGTTTACCCAATGGAAACTGCCCCATTGAGACGGGAGAACAGGTTCTCATGTTGTACAATCAGGACGACAAAGACCCTGCAATCAATGTGATGGCGTTGGGACTAGTTGCAATCGGATACCGGCTTGTGGCATATTTGCTTCTGAAAGCAATGAGAAGCCATGGTATATCGAAGAGTATCTGGATCGGCCTATCCAAATCTTCCAAGAAACCACAGGCATGATCTGGATGTATCCTGGTGGAAATTACGGGGTCATTTTAGCCAGACTTCACAGAAAGCTTTGTGTGATGTCATTAGGTGCATTTGAGTGAAACAATGGGTGCTTTATGTCATTTTCTAGACTTGTAGCCCTGGAGGTGTACCTTTTTAGCAGCATAGAGTGCCATTGCACAAGTGTTCTAGGATTTTGAATGTTGTTTTAAGTTTCTTGTTGAAGAAGAGGTAGTCACTGGCGTACATCTCGGAGGGGCAACGAGGATCTTTTCCCGAGTTAAAGGATAAGCGGGAACATAATGAAGATGGACGCTTGGACTCTGGTTCAGACAACCAATTTACTTTAGCCTCCTGATTTGAGCGGTATTGCTTACATTGATAGGGACATCAGAGATGAGTACAAGTGTAACATAACATGTTCATGCTGTAAGCCACATAATACTTGGCGTATGTATGGTGATTCAAAAAATGGGATTGTACTCTGCGTTGTGCAGTACATATTCTCACTTCGGATGTGCACAATACTGAGAACATTCGCTGTGTAACAGGTCGAAGCAATATTGGTCTAGTTAGTGTTGCGGGGTAATTGGAATATGCATCTCCGGTCCCAGGGAGATGTGTTGGATATAGCATCATACATTTTGGGCGGGTGAAATTACTCCCATATTAGAAGTATGTGGCGCACAGTAAGCATTGAACATTTTAAAGCTGAATGAACGGTACTGTGATCAATGTGGCTGGGGAGGGTGCATATGTAAGAGGTTTTGTTATACAGAGCTGCCATTGAAAGTCCAAGTCTCGATATCCATTAGTACCAAATCTGTGGGCAGATATCCACCCGTGGTCCCAAGTCGATATAATGGAGGCGGCAGTCTGACAAAGAGGAGAAATCTTGCAGCACGCATATCGGCGGGGAGTTGCTGTCTGGGTAAGAAGTCGATAACCGTGTGACTAGGTTAAGATGCGCATGGATATCATCTTATACGGAGTATAGAACCCAGACTAAGTGATTTCTGTTCTCCACACCTGTAACGCAGACATCAGTCAACCGCAGTTCAGTCGCGCTGGTGTCACTTGGAAGCTCGGAATATTGCAAACCTCATTCACCAAGGAGAGCAGTCAAAGCAGCACCCGTCCGCTAGCATAGAATAACTTTAAGAAAGGAAAGTAAGGGCATCACTACCCGATTAAAAAGAACTTATCAATCATCCGCCTTAACCACGGGTTGCACGAAGCTCGATGCTTTTCGGTTCGGGGATTTATCGTGAGTTCAGGCTTGCTGAGTAAGCAATTTAGAGTTCTCCCATCAAGTGGGTCTATTAGCCAATGGTAGTCGAGAAACGTTCGCGCCAACCACGTGGTCCCCGTTTGAATATGGGCCAAGCTAACTTAATTTTCACGACCTCCAGTTCCACAGACGAGGCACCGCCCAGACTCGACAACCCGCCAGGTCGCGCAAGAGAAAAAGCGATATAGATTTGATTTAGATTTTATATGTCGTAAGACATTCAGGTACATTGTGGTATCTTGTTTTGTAAAGCCAAAAAGTTCCCTTTCTCCAATCTTCCTTTGAACTACTCACGAAATTCTGTGCCTTCAATGCCTTCAAGATCCCAAGTTTCCCAGCTCATCGTTCCGAGCGATGAGTAAACGAATGCAATTAAATGTAAAGAAACACTTCTAATTAAAGGAATGTCACGAAACCAACTGGATATTGTGGGTATAAAATCGATTGTTCCGTATGCCAGGGACGCTGCTTGGCGTCTATTCCGGACGGGCGTGAGGGTGGCGGGGAATGAAGCTTTTCTGCTTGAGTTTGGCGCCCTTCTTCTCAGCACAGAGCTGGACGTGGAGGTCAGCAGTGCTTGCGCAGGCTTTGGTGGCATCGTTGTCATCGGACTTGTTGTATGCTTCTTTGCATTTGGCGTCACCTGCTGCACAATAAACCTTGGGGCAGCTGCTATCGGATGGAGCGATGCTGACACCACCATCTTTGAAGGGGTAGCCGTCGATATTGGAGAGGTCGTACCACACTTTCTGCCCGTCTAAGGTGTACTCGACTTGGGATATATCCTTCATGCTTTTGTCAAGAGACATTTTGATCGAGATTCCACCACCATTCTGGTTCAAGCGGTACTGTTCGGTGTACTTCTCGCCACTACGGAATGTCTTCATTTCCGATGCCTTCTCGGCGGTGGACCAAAGATAGACATCATCAGCGCATTGGTTCTCGATGATAACGGTGCCAGCTCCCAAGGCGACAGGGAAAATAGAAGCGACAGCAGCGAAGGTAGCGAAAATAGTCTTGGGATACATTTTTTAAAGCTGACTCTTATGTCGAACGTCCAAAAAGCATATAAGATAGCAAAACAAGAGAGATATCTGGCAGAAGAGAGTGTCTTAAGAACACTGAGTATCAGATGACGGTAAAGAGTGCCTTTAAAAGTTATATGTCCTGAGCGAAATGGTCTTCGCGGAGGGGATCTGGGCCATTATTTATAGATAAATCCCCCACAGCAATTGAGCTTGCGTGTATGAGCGCTGCGGAGCAAGGTTTTGCGGCGGGGCAAAAGAAGTTTCCGCAGAACCTGAGGCACATAGACCGATCGGAAGGTTCATTAAAGAAAAGACCTTCGTTCAATGAAAATTTCTCACCTTCGAACCGTGGAATACAATCTAGGGGCAGATCTGTTTTCACGGATCAGTTCCTGCACAGGCCCAAAGTGCACGATCATAAACTCTGGCCAGTATCTGGGCAAGCCGCCACTGCACTCTCGTAGGCTCTTCGGGGAAGCTGATGACAGAAATGGAGAATCAGAATGCTTCCATTCCCAAGCAATGACCATTGAGTGATGAGACAGGGGAAGTTAACGGTGCGAACCAAAAGTTGACCAGATTGCTAGAAATCTCATTGGTGGCAGGTGCCGGCGAATATCTGGTACGTTCTGGGTTCCTGAACGCGAATCCAGACCCAAGTAAGGCCCACGGAATTGCCATATCTTCTCTACCATGGATCGAGAGATATCGTGAAACCCTATTGCGCGACAAGAGCCGCCCACATAACCCAGCTAAATGGAACGGAGCGCCAGGGTGACCCGGATATTCGGTGTACGATGGTAATTGGGGCAACCGTAGCGAGAAATCGCGGCAAAGAGCTATCCCATCAACGTCGTAGGCCTGATCCTAAGCAGCGAGTTAGGGACAAAGCTTGAAAAGTGCAGATGTTAGCGGCAAGCTGGCCTGACAGCTAGAACACTGTGCAATGGTCCCTCCACGGGGAATGATGGGGTGAATGCCTGCAATATCTAAATGCAGATATTTCCCGCGCATCGACAAAGGGTGCGAGCGGGCCTGTGTCCCTCCCTCAAACAGGATGTATGTGTGTAACCCAACACAAGCGAAGACGGGGGGCCGACAGTCGGGATGTTCGTAACGGGCAAGCCACAAAACGCACAGCAACGTTGGGAATGTGTCGCTTATGTTGTCTGGCTGGAATGGCTTCCCAATCTGACGGATCTCCTTGGCTCCTATTCTATGGTTCCGTGTGATGAGATTGGCGTTTCCGAATGGTTCTTGGGTTCGGGCGATTTTGCCATTGTACACGCATCGCGATTCACATATGATGGAACAAGTGGCCCAACCTTTGCCGCACTGCTCGAGTTGGTTTCGTATGCGCCATCTCCACTGCTCCATCTTCCTATGATGGTTCTTACAAACCGACATCTGTTGGTTCATCAAATTATGCAGCTGGAAGCCGGAAGCGGTGCCGATTATGTCAGCTGCCACGACTTCCTCTCCGAATAAGGAACGACTGGTGCGAAGTTTTAGCGATTTGATAAATATAAAGCCTATTATATAACTCGGCTATTTCAGGGGCTCGCTCCACTCCAAAAGGTCCCAGAACGTGGTCTGGAAATTATTTAGAATAACTCTAAATTATTATATCAGCACGGTATTGCTCTCCCGAGAGGGGCAAACGACGCTCGGAACCGAAGTGCGGCGGGTTTATGATCAGGAGTCCTCAGGTCGCGGCTTGAAGGATTTAATGAAATAAAAATAGTCGTACGATAGACTATGGTTGGGAAAGCTCTATTCCCTGAAGTCGAACGAAAAGGTTTGATAACGGAGCGGAGTCTATACGGCGAAAGGGCCGGCCATGAAAGAAGTGAATAAATATTGCGTACGTATGGGAGCCAAAGGAAACGGAAAATATACGATATGGGTGTTTAACTAATCATCACCAGTATGGTGGTCGTAACCCGGCCAGTCCCGTCAAAGTACTTTCCATCCCACTAACTCCACCCGCGCCGCTGTCTTCCTTTTTCCGATGGCCACCAATTTCAAGTTGGATCTGTCGATGCAGGTGCACCAACCAGTCCACGTAATTCTGAGCTTCATTATTCCTATCGTCGACTAGCAATCGAGCAAACTCATATTCGGCACCATCCATGCCCTGTCTTGCCAATTGTACCGTGACGGCCTTTGACCCACGAACAGTAGCCAGGTACTGAAGGAGATTTCGAACTTGAGCATTCAAGTGAGATTCCAGGAGAGGAAGAGAGGAAGTGCTGGGGTCGAGCGACTGTAATGATGTCTTTTCAGGCCCAAAGAGATCTTCTAGGAGATTGGGCGAAACGTGAGCATGTATCCAGAGGAGACAAATTTGCCCGTTGTCAACAAGGTAGGCACCGCCCTCTTCAATCTGGGAGAATGATGCGCGTATAGAAGGGGGAACTTGGAGTTGACCGTCCTTATCTGCGAAGCCGTCTTCGGGTTTCATGTTATGGATAGGTATGATGCGCGGGTATAGGTAAAGGGAAAGCTCCCTACACCCGAACGACCTGAGCATCCGGAGATCGTGCACCCGGCGGTCCGAAGGCTCATGTCCTCCTAAATTCTGGGTAAGCATAAAAGAATATTGGATCACGCAAAAGAAAGCTCCCACTTACCCTTAAAAGGCCGCGACTTGATCAAACTCAGGATATACATAGGAAACTCTTTCAAGTGCTCTGGTAGGACAAGTTGGCCGGGAGGCTGTGATGTGGAGAAGTGCCTCCTGTAATTGGCTAAGATATCGATTGTTTTTTCCGTTAATGACGCACGGATGTCTTTCAACGATTTTTCAGGCATTTTGGAAGCAGCTATGACCACCACGTTAGATTCAAATAAAAGCACAAATGGGACGCTGAAGTACCTTCTTTAGCCATGATATTGACGATGGCATCTTGATCTAGGTACTGCATAGTATCCATTCCACCTTCATTAACACCTGCGACAAGATTAACGCATCGCACACGTCTTTGACCTCCAGAAGTGGTATAAAGTAGAGCAGCCTGGAAGTGTGCGTCGAGTTTGGGATCCAGTTTTCCATCATGGTTAAAGGTGACGCCAAACGCTTTGTCGGCATCGACTGTTCCAACTATAAGATCGGCCCCAAAGGTATGCTGGAGGAAGTTGCCGTGATAAGCTGAAACCTGCAGACCATTCGAGCATCTGACTTTGAGTAAGGCCTGATATCCAGTTTCGCGATTGACAGCATGGGACAGTTCGTTAGAAAGCTTTAACACATCGCGTGGCGCTTGGAAATTCGGATAGAGGAAAGTTTCTCCTCCCGAAGTAGCGGCAGCATGGCCTGCCTTCTATTAGTGTTTGGCAACGTCGATCGTGTAGCGTGTGCTTACCAATGGTTGCTACATCCATATATTTACCTCCGCCAGCTGCGATGAAGAAATCGATGCCAACGCCGCTTTCAGCCATCTTCGTTGCAACTTTCTTCCAGCCAGGGTGTTCTGTCGTGAACAGCTTCTTCTCAGCATCCGTCCCCTGACCTTTGCCGTCTTCTCTCATAAACAGCCGCCCAGGACCCCACGTCGGCAAACTGGCCAGGGAACAAATAATTTTGCCGCCTGTTGCTTCTAGAGCTGAGAATGCAGCATTTATTGTTGGAAGAAGAGCGGGTTCAGGGTTTTTAATATTAGAAAATAATGCGGGTATCTGCGTTAGAAGGGAGCAAATGACATGCCTAATTTCCAGTCAATACTTTGAATATCGCTTGCATTAACATCTACTCGGTGCTTACTTTGACTCTTGAGGATCAACAAATAATCCTTCACTCAAAGGAACGAATGGGTCGTCTAGGTCAGGCATCACAATCATCTGAGCTTGTTGGAGGGAAGCCTACCAACTCACATGAGCCAAAGAATGGTCAAGGGATAGGGACAATAAAATCTTACACTGAGGTTGTAGAAATGCATTTCCTTATCAAAGGTAATTATGCCGACTTTCGCGCCAGCGGGAAGTCGTTCGTTGGAGGCCTCGCCGTTTTCATTGTCAACAGTGTGTTGGCCTCCGTACAATGCACCGATTATCCCTTCACAGCATGCTTCCAAAAACCCTCCATTTACTGCTTCTTGTGAAGTATCGAGAACAAAAAGCCACCGCAGTCCTACTGGCTCCTTATTCCAGTATTCCTTTGGGACCATGAATTCAACTGTTCCCAACATTAACTCGGGTTGTTGCATTCGATCAACGCGTATTCCGGAAGGATCAAGTGGCGCATAGTATTCTGAAGGGACATCGTTCGGGAATGTACACATATTGCAGACAAATTTATTTCCTCCAGCTTTGAATACCATGAAGGGATTAATGTATGCTCGGCATCTGCGACACCGTGGTGGACCAGCATCACCGAAGTCTAATACGGGAATGGTCTGCTCCCCTGGGTCCAATGGCGCCAAGGGCTGGAGTACCATGCCCAATGGAAGGGAAGTAGAGGAAAGGAGATCGGCCGTAGATGGTATGTTGTTTAGTGTGAGCCGTGCAAATTTCGGAGAGGAATTTCCCTGATCGTGTGCTATAAAAGGGATCGCGGCTGGAGGAGGGCGATGTCGTTCCATGGTCGGATAAACATGATGAAGGTAGTACTGTGCGGGGATATCACGCGAAGGCGGAACGCCGGGTACGTGCGCAGGATCGACTTTGCCATGTGTAGCTACGGATCCATCTCCAGTCCCGTGGGTTGGCTGAAGGCCCGGTGTTCTTTGGGCGGGGGTTATCATCGGAGATGTAGGTTGTGGAGGTTGATTGACACCAGTGTCTAGGTACTGCGAAGGATTCTGTATTTGGCCTTGGGGCATACCGCCAAATGCCTGAGAAGAACCTGCTGGTGGAATTATATCGTGGTAGGCGTGGCGATGTTTCTTTTTATGGCCACGAACGCTGCCTGCCATATCCCCCGATATCCCCAATCCCCCCATCTGGCTTGTCAACCCTTCAATCGCACCACCTTGAGGACTGCTTTGTGGTGGACCCTGGAATGGCTGTGGCGGTTGAAACCCCGCAGGAGCAGCTTGCCCGTGGATAGCGCCATACTGTCCTGGTGGAGGAGCAGCACCACCTTGAGGGTAGCCGGAAGGTTGTTGAGCAATCGGAGGTATGAATTGAGGGGCGGCAGGCTCGGTTCTGATATGCTTGTTCTGGTCGTCTTCGCCCTGACCCAAGGCATGGTACATGGACCAGTCAGCCATAACGTCTCATCCGCAACAGAGCCAACGCAGACAGAAAGGATGGTCGAGAATCAATTTCACCGCAGGCAATTCCGTAGATCAGCTGCCCCCTAGTTATCACTAGGCATTTTAAAGCCCCCAATTGTACGGGAGTAAAACTGGACAGGTGTCGAGGAGCTCCCGCAACGGATGCGCTCGACTGAACTGACCACATTTCCCCGGATGTCGGGCGCACATAATTCCGATCACTGCAAGTTAACCTATCACGTGATGCGTAGTGCAACCGGTGCAAACACGACTCTGCCGTCTTGCCGTTCGCCTGGTGCTTCGGTTGTTCATCTTCAAGCAACAGTCAACCTTCTGCATGGATCCAACTGCTTGGCCTGTTGCGTCCAGCTAATAAACTCAGCATCAAAGGCAGCTACTGACGACATTTTTTTAATTCCAATGAATATTGTATATAAGACGGCAGGATTGCTCCATACAAAGCTCGAAACGATAGAATCTAGCAATGGAGATTAGGGGTAATGCAGGGGAGACGGAAGCCAAAACTTTCCATCATGGAGCCTGATCAAGGAATCTGTCTTTTCAGCACACGTCAGCGCCTTTTCCGGGATATCTATTCACGACCCAATCCTTCCCAATTGAGCTATACTTGAGCTGTTATATCACTAGATATCGGTTCAGATTTTAGGCTGCCAGAAAAGGTCGAATGAAAGGGGTTTCTGCTGAAGTGGCTGAGTCTACGTACGAAGGACGATTGAAGTCTAATAATATCGAGAACGGGATGCATTGACGTTGGACTTGAGGGTGACTGACCTCTCACACAGAAAACTTGCAAGCTTTCGGGTTACAAAATTCCACCAGACTTAGCTCTCGGCTATCCCCGCTTATGGGCACCCAACTTCTCGTCCCACAGCCTCTCGCATCCCACTGCTGCTGAGCGGGATCCGCCTACAATAGGCGACTGACAATGGCGCTCTGTTGTCGATATACATTTCGCCCTCATTGTGGCCCCCGTGCTTTCATCCATCAGTCATAGAGGATGTGGTCTATTTGAAGTCTTAAGGGCCTCCTAACTAGCACGCAGATGGAAACTATAGATCAGAAAACTGACGACGGGCCTCAAACTGATTTGACTACGCTCGTTAACCACATAGAGAGGTGAAGGAGGGAGAACCAGGGGCCTTGAACATGGAGGGCGGAAACTTGTGTAGCGATGCACTGCTCCACAGATCTAGCCTCCGAAGAGCTTGTCCTAACGACTTGCAATGGATGCCTGGCGTTCGCTCTGAGGTGCATTTGGCAAAGCTCTTCGATCAGATACTCCAATTGCAGCTCAGCCGCTTCAGCGTAAAGAGGGCCCCTACAAATGGAGACATCCCATTCACGTATTTCCTTGCAACTGGAAGCCTTTCCACTTTTAATGGTTGTCCTTTCACCACGAACTCGACACGAAAACAGCCAAGTTGTTGGTAGTGATTATTCTAGTGTCGCAAGGAATTCTCATTTCTTTTTGGGAGAGGGGTTTGATTCAGGCCTATCAGAACTCAAGCTTTTCACATCCCATGTCAGCAGTGACTGTCGATAGCATTGATGGGGATTCAAACCTCCTCAGGAAACGAGTTGATGCCTTCTCTCGTGGCTCGTCAAGGATTGGTTTGGTCCCACTGGTGAGAAACCCAAACACGTGGTGGGGATAACTAGCCAGTTATCCCGCGGCCAATATATGTTTGGCACATTAAATTTCGGGCTCGTCAATGGGGAATGCAATTGCTTGGCCGCAGACTCCAACCTGTGGTATTTTTGAGACGGTGAGACGTTGCTATCTGATGGGGAAACTGGTTCCCATTCCTGCCCCCTGGATACCAATCATTTTGCAGGGTGCCCCACAAAAGTTAAAATAAAGCTGATGCGAGTGAGTGTGCATCTGCATTTGTCACCGTTTATTATGATGTCAGCAACGCCCTTTTATTCTTCGGAAAGCCCTCCAGAAGTCAGATTGTGCGAAATATCATTAAGATCGGATCCGAATCCTGACCGCCACTTCACGCTTATCCAACAGATTTCTTACTTCATGATTTCTCAATCGAAATTCAGAGAACTCACGCTGCTTACCGATAATTAATCGATATTTCTGGAAAATCAGCCCCGTTCCAAGACACAGCACGGAATGTGGTTTTCATGCTCCATCACAGTGGCTCTGCGGATTATTTCAAGCGCTGACTTGTTTCAGCCAATCATACCATCGCCTCAGATCGAGTTAAGCAGCCCATACGTTGGGCGTACGGGTAGATACGATCTGCCATGAATCATCCACCCACTCTGGCACAAGACGACCCCATGCCAGTGTCGGTCGGGCATATCATGCACTGTGACGAAATGTTGCTTCTCCCTGCATATTTCACATCCAATTTCAATATATCCCGAAACGAATTCCTTTTTCTGACCAAAGAAGCAAAATCCGGTACGGAGTCCATTATGTATATGGGTCGATCACAACGTCCTGTCACAAAGTTTATCCATCCATTGTTTTTGACAAGGAACCCCCACTGAACCTCCTGATGAGAAATTATCTGATCGCGCAAAGTATTTCTATTTTTGGTTTTGTTTACCTGAGCTATGGGAATCGACTCGGGATGATTTGTATCCGACATTCCCCCAGCATTCTGGCAGCCCCCAAGACCACCCTTTCCGATAGAGAACAACAGTAAAGAATTCTCGGCATCGCAAGCCGCCATTGGCTTCAACCGGGGCCTGCCATCTCAACTGAGTGAGAAATCCAGCAACATTGGTATAAGTTTGGGGATCATGAAGATCATGGATTTCTGATATCTCGATGATTCGCCAGGATATATCTTTCCTGAAACCCAAACATGGGTTGGTAATAAAGGAGTAGCGCTCACCCCGTCAAACGGGAAGGGAACGGAGCCCTCAGAGATTTAACAAACTCCGGCTGATCCCTCTTCCTTCATCCACTTTCGTCTCTAATGTACTGAACTATCAAGGGGAAGAGTTGGGTCTAACATCGTATCCGTCGCCAAACGCCAGGATACAGGCTGTTAACTCGATTGCTGTAAAACTCCATCTCCACCTCCTCGTCCTTTCTGAAACAGCCGAGGAGAAGCCACGTGTTCGCTGGTGTTTCCGCATTACGCTTCCGGCATCGAACCTTGAGCCTGCTGGCAGAGCATGAGAGAGATTCGAAGAGCAAAGTGTCACACTTCACAAGTAGAAAAAACAGCGCTTTTGGCTCCCAAGTTGTGGTCAAAGAGAAAGCAAAGGCCACGCCATCAATCCTCCAGAATGATGCGAATAACCGTGGTCGCAGTTGTTGTGGGGCGTTCAAATTGAGCAGCAGATTCCGGTGCGGTTTTCCAGCCTCGCTGCAACCGAGCTTTTGGGCATCTCCCAATAGTAACAATGTATTTCCCCCAGGCTGCGGAGGACGGCGTAGTCGACATTCAACCATGCCTAGTGCTAACTTTAAGCCTCTTGAATCCCGTGATCCACCCCCTTCCGACGGGTGGTGAAGCCAAACGTCACAAATCCACCCGGCCGCCGGCACCTTCGCGGAACACAAAAGCAAATACACCACCTCTGTGCAGAGTCAACTCAGAAGATTTGAAATGCTTCGCGACTAAACATGCTCCACCGCGCCAAAGCTAAATGTTCACAGGCTCCTATTCTTTCTTTCTTGGGTGGTCACCGCCAAACTGACGGAGGCTGACCTTTTTTAGAATCCTTGGGTAGGTTGAGTACGGCGAAGATTCCCAGAGAGAGTGCTCTATGTTCCATTTTGTACAACAGTGCATCCATGACTTGTTTAAATCCTCCTTACCCCCAAATGCCTTTGTCTTCCTGCATACCTACCATGCAAACTCACCGCTAAGACATCATATTGACATAATATCGTCGTGTCAACATGGATCTGACTTCAGCTTCTCAGGAACGGTCCAATTCCGGCGGCGAGGTATCTGAGGCCAGGGAGAAATCTGCTGTCAAAGGAAGGTTCCAGTCCAGGGATCCTCCGATGGCTACCATTGGAGACGATGATGAACGCCTTCTCGCCAGAATTGGTTACAAGCAAGTGAGCATCATCTTCCAACGATTGTGTCGTTCTGATGTCTCACACAATTGACAACCTGAGCATTAGGAACTGAGGCGCGAGTTCTCAAAGTGGTCGACAGTTTCCTATGCCATCTCCATTCTCGGGGTGCTGGGATCAGTGCCAGCCACTTTTGGACCACCCCTGGCTGCGGGCGGACCTGCAACGGCTGTGTGGTGCTGGTTCATAGGGTCGATCATGGCTATGTGTATTGCGAGTTCTGTCGCTGAACTCGTATCAGCGTATCCAACCGCAGGAGGAATGTACTTTGTGACAAAACACGTGGTCCCCGAAAATCAGGTTGCGATATTTTCGTGGATCCAGGGTTGGTGCAACCTATTAGGACAGACCGCTGGTGTTTCCAGTGTGGCATACACCGTAAGCCAGATGCTATTGGCCTGTGCGAGCATGAACTCCAACTTCAAGGACGGAAAATACGCTTATGCACCGTGAGAACCCAATCACCTACTCCGATCCCGTTTTCCATTCAAATGCCGATGTCTCTTGGCTAACTAGTATTCAGAACGGCTCTCCAAACTGTACTTTTGGCTATCGGTTTGTTGTGCATTATGGGAGTTATTTGCTCCTTGACCACGAAAAGTTTACATCGGATCATTCTGTGGTTTGCTCCTATCAACAGTATGTTTCTCACCCTTGAGATAGTTGGTGAAGTTTTCAGCTGGAACCCTCCTATCTAGTCCTTGCATCCATCGGAATTTGCGTGGCTCTCTTGATCCTTACTCCCGATAAACAATCAGCAAAATGGGTGTTCACGCACGTAACGGATGGGTCTGGGTGGCAGTCCAAGGGGTTCTCTTTTCTCCTGGGATTCATATCTGTAGCTTGGACTATGACGGACTATGATGGGACAACACAGTATTTTACACCCTGAAATGCTCTTCGCTTTCTCTCTCTGTTCTTCTTCTTCTTTTTTTTTTCTCCTCAGTTCTGATCGTATTATCTGTGGCAGCATGTCGGAAGAAACCCACGATGCCGCTATACGTGGACCAGTCGCCATTCAAACGGCAGTTTTGGTTTCTGGCACCTTTGGCTGGATGCTAACTGTGACAATGTGTTTTTGCTTAACTGACCTCGATGCCATATTGGCAACTCCGACTGGCCTTCCTGCAGCGCAGATATTCCTCAATGCTGGTGGCCAAACGGGTGGGACTGTAATGTTTGCATTTAGCATCCTTGTGCAATTCTTCACCGGATGTTCCGCAATGCTAGCGGATACCAGAATGGCATACGCTTTTGCTCGTGATGACGCCCTCCCCTTTTCGAAGTGAGTGCTCCGGCCTCCGCGCCCCAGAACCATATCTAATGGACAATAGATTTTTTGCTAAAGTGAACCAATATACCCTGACTCCAGTCAATGCGGTATGGTTTGTGGTACTCTTTAGTATCTGCCTCAACCTGATTGCCATTGGATCTACCGAGACCGCAACAGCAATTTTCAACATCACCGCACCAGCTCTCGATTTATCATACATCGGAGTCATTTTAGCGCATCAAATATATAAAAATCGAGTTCGCTTCATCGAAGGCCCATTTACTCTTGGCAGATGGGGTACTCCTGTTAATATCGTTGCCATTGTCTGGGTGCTATTCATTAGTGTGGTGCTGTTCTTCCCGCCACATAAGCCGGTCACACCAGAAAACATGTATGTGAGTCTTAAAAGCCTGTGCTGTATGATTTTAATATGATTTTCTAGGAACTATGCCATATGTGTGGCTGCATTTATTGCTTTATTTGCATTGTCTTGGTGGTGGTTATCCGCTCGAAGGTATGCTCTGTGTCTGGTCCTACTTGCGAATGACATTAAGTTATCTGGGTCTAGGAAATACACCGGTCCTCGCACGAAAGATTTAATTCAAGAGGTTCCTGATGAGGATATTGACCCAATAGCCTACCATGACAACTTCCAGGTTTAAGTTTGTAACCATCAGGGATGTGGTTGTGACATTGACGACCTGCTCCTTATAATGGTTAGCCCTCCTTGTGTATGCATGGCGAACTTTCGAGGAAACACTTACTTTGGAATGTGAACTGCATTACAGGAATATATCTTTTGGCGTCTCGGCGACGGACATTCCAGAGTGACGATCGGTTTATTGGCGAAATCTGGTGTTGATTAACTGGCGACCGGTCTAGATTACATTCAAGTATTACCTAGCGGTCTCCAATTCCATGGCCTTGTCTCTCGCTAGCTTGCTCAAGAGCTTTTGGCCGTTGGAGTTCTATCTCCTTTCCCCCAATTTTGTTTGATACTCCTCACGACGACTTGTGGCGTGCAAATCTCCGAGTTGCAAGCTCCGTCCGCTCTATTATTCTACTCATGTTTGCGTTTAGAGCCAGTTTTTTAAGTTCTTCCCATTCAATCATTTTTTTTGAAGAATTTAATGGCCAGTGCAAATTATTCGAAATCAACTCCCATCTCAGAATGCTTTTGCTTTTTGGAAGCTACCTAACCCATTTGGTTTATTCTCTAGGATGCCGAGAGTTCCTCTCAATATGGACTGACGTGTGCAAAAAAACCCCTGACAGAACGGAGGTCTAGTCTATTTCACCATCGGGTAAATGTAAGGGTGACAATAACGGCTTCATGCTTGGCGCATCAGCGAAGATCCCCCTATCCGTTTTCTAGATACGCCATAACAGTTTCGCTCTTCCGGTTGAACATCATTCATACCCGAGACAAACCCGAGCACTGCAGGGTGGTTGGCGAAGTAATTGATGACAATCACTGCCTTGTCTGCCGGAAACGGCATCCTCAAATTGACAAAATTCGAGCCTCTAGGCGACGTCCGTGGATAATTGATAGTTCTAACTTCTTGACATTACATTTTCAAGTCTCGCCACTGGAGAAAACGGCCTCAAAAAGGTTCAGGCTCAATACGGGTCAGATTTCATGCCAACCACTAGTGAATCCGGTAATTATACATGTCTAAAGAAATTTCCAAAACAAGAATGCAAAAGCAATAAGACTAATCCACCAACATCCCATATATCCCTAACCTTGGGAAGCGCTCAAGGGGATTCATCCATCATATTGACAACGTATCAGATTACCCAGAGCCTCTGGCAATGAAAAAAAAAAAAAAATGGGACAATCTAAACATAGACGACGGACATCGCCAACCATACCGGTCGAGATTCGGTTCCGCGACTCTCATCCCATCCTACTTCACTCAAAGTCTGGCCAACCTTGCCCTTCATTGCATCGCCCTTACCCTTCTCCCCAACCCAAAACTCCGCGCCCTTCAACCATGCTCCGTCCCCAAGTTCAAGACACTCTGTGATTCCGCGACTAGTCACCTTTTCTCCCTTAGGGCCCTTGTCAGGACAGATTTGTTCAATGAGCCCCTTAAGGGTCAAAGTGATAGGGGCGAGGAAGGATCGCCAATGGAATGGTCGTCCCGGGTTTTCCCAAGGTGGAAAATTAGATTCAATGATATGGAGGGTGGTATGGGTTTGTGGGAAGATGTAGCCCTGTCCTGACGGGAGCACAACTGGTTTGTCGGTTGTGGTAGGGATGTGTGCGCCAGAGGGGAGCGGAGGACTGGTAGGTGTCGGCGGAGGTGGTGATGCTGCTGCGGCTGCGGGTGGTGCGGCGGCAGGCGGAGCAGCGTTATATGGAGGAGGGATGACACCAGGGGGCTCTTGCCACGGCTGCCAACCAGGAACGGCGCCGATGTCTGGCCGCGGCAAGACGGGGATGAATTGAGCTTGCGCAACGGGTGGCACGCCATGTTGTTGGCCCGTGGCCGCGACAAAACAGGGTGGCATGCCGCCAAATGGAACCTCCAAATTAACCGTCATGTACCGCATATCGGCCATTTGGCAACGGTGTAGCAGGGAATCGGCAGCAATGTAGATCTATGTAAAAGAACTCGATAGTGGGTACGCGCGTGGTATCGACAGTAAATTGCCTGCTGGTCAAGTAGATATGAAGAGCGGGTGGCATCAGCGTGGGAGATAGGTGAAGCCGATATTGCGATGCACCTGGGGCCCTGGAGTAGAATAGCAGACATGGCGATAGATGGTCTTCATGAGCAAATATATACCCTGAGACCCTGACTCAAAAATAACCTGAAGTTCATAGTAGCCTCCGTCATGGTGACTACACAAACATTGACTGTAAATTCCGCCATTCTGGTGGTGAATGCCCAAGCATCATTAGACTGTCGCCACAATACATGTTCAAAAAAGCCAGGAGGATGCTTTGTTGCCAAAAAAAAAAAAAAAAACAAACAAGACAACAATGCCTTGTAAAATGGTAAACACCATTAACTCCTGGAAGAAATGCCTCCCTTGCCAGTGAGGTATCAGGCAAATAAAAAAAAAATTTAGTGTGTGATAATACAATCCACCATGCATCATGGATAATATGACAGTGTAGATCATTCATACTTTCAAACGTCTCCTGTGACAAAGAAGTATTGTAACCTCGGCAGAACGATCCGTTAACCTCGAGCGACAACGGCAAGACAGTCATAAATCTTTCGTTTCACTGCCAAAAAAGTTCCTTCACCACCTTTTGATGCTTTGGGATTGACTGTGGCAGCACGTGCGGAGCTTTCGATTTCAATTTTTCCAGCCCCAGATTTCCTCACAACGACGAAGCCATCGATAAGTAGTGTGCCGTCTCCTCGAAACTCTGCAGAGTGCCCAGAGGCTTGCATAAGTTTCCTGAGATCGGCTAATCTAAGGTCGCCCACATGAAGCGGCTTGGATAAGGACCTGGTCGCGGCAGCAAGGTTTGGCGGTAGGACGTCGAGAAGGGGGAAAACTTCTTTCTTGATCAGGGTTTCATTAGCTCGGCTTTCCACCACGTTTGGTCCTTGGATGTCGGCACCCTTTTGCAACATAGCCTTCTTCTTCGACGGTTCCTCAACGTCGTCGTTCTGGGTAGCGGCATCGGGCCCTTGCAGATTCGCGGTAAGAGCAACCACTCCTAATGACCGGACATTTTGCCACCTAAGACGTCGAACCAACGCGCGGCTAAGCTTAACCATCCAAGCATTTGTATCAACACTAGCATCCACGGTGTCTCCTAGTTGAGGGGTGAAAATATCAACGCCTGGTTTAGAAGTGGCACCATCCAGACCAGCGTTTGCCGCTAGCAAACTTCGACATTCCGAAGCAAGCGCGATGGTTTCATCTTTCATTCCGCCGATAAGAATCAATTTCCGCGGCTGAATCAGGGGAATCAACATCTCCAAACTCCGCTTATCGTGCAGGCCTGCAAAGTCAACGTATGCAATGCGAGCGTTCATATTAACTGCAGAATGCACCAACGTAGCTTTCGTCGGCCCTGAAACATCCTGACCCGCGGACTCCTCCTCAGATACCTCGGAGTCTTCTACGCCATTCAAATCCAAACTGCCAGACAATGACATGTCCGCCTGCTGGTCTTTTTGGGGCTGCTGCCTTTTGCTAGGGCCAAGTCTGTCGCCATTTCCAGTCTCGCCCCAGCGTCTTTTTTGACCTGGGGCGGGCTGTATCCGGCCGTCGGGGCCCCGCTGTACCTGCATTTGCGCCTCTTCACGCTCCTCAGCCCTAAGATATTCTTCAGGTCGTATGAAATCTCCGTATTGATCACCTCTTCTTCTCGGAACGACGTATGGAAACATTCTTTCTCTGCCTTTCTTCCCTCGAACGTCGTAGTCATACACATTCCTTCGTCGAAGAAGGATGTTCACACCCAAATCCGCATCCGTTAGAGCCAGTTTGCTTCGATTGGAGTGAGCAAGAGTAGTTGAAAAGTTCAAAACTTTGCCTTGCTGTTCCGATTCGGAGTCTTCAGATGACGTCGAGCTAGAGGCATCGTCTAGCGCATCTGGAGCATTTTCAAGGTCCGTTTCCCCTCGTCCTTGTGCCGTATTCTGTAACTGCCTTTGGGTGGCCAGGTACTGCTGATAAATTACTAGCTCGTCAGGGTCTAGAGGAGCTTTTTGGACATCGATGAATGTCAACTCTCTTCCACCGCTGTGAACTTGTTCTAACAACTCTCCATCAGAAGCTTTTTCCAGGGCAACACCATCTTTCCGCTCTCCATACCATTGCCAAATGGTATGGCCCAAACTATCTCTAATCGTTGCGGTGCTATCCGACGATGACGGGTTGGCTGGACCAGCGGATGATTCTGTGAGAATCACCAAATTTTCAGCGCCTTGCGCTACATGTCGCAATATCTCTTTGCTGAAACCCCAATCGAGAGATGCATCCGATGCGATGATAACTTTTGGCCCCTCTGATCGTAAGATATTTTCTAATTTTGTTTTTCGTTCAATAATTTTGAGATGCCGGAACGTGAAAGGTCCAAGCCCTTTATGTGGCCCTGCACTTTTCTTATCTGACGTTTGGCCTGGAGTTCCCTTTGATTGCTGTCCACTTGCTGCGCCTGAAGATCTTCCAGCACCAAGGGACTCACCACCATCACCACCTTCAAACTCACGAACTATACTTTCATCCATCCATTCTAGCATACTACGAGCAAGTCTCATAGTACTATGAACCTTTTTCCCTGCCAAATACAAGGTAGCATTTTTCAACGAATTCTCTCCATCTGGACCATCAGCTGCCTCGCGCCAGGCGTGTTCCAGAACATAGGCCAATTCCAAAACTCGCGCGCTTGTGTCAGTAGGAAGTAAAACAGTTCCTTTTTTCGCGATGCAACTTCGAATCATGTCAAGCAACAAGTCGTCTCGTTTCTTTCTGCCTCCACCAGGGGCGAATTTATCACCACCTTTCGCACTGCAGACAAGAGCCGTTGGCTTCCGAAGCTGTTCGATAACGTCTGTGCGATTTGCACCGGAACTTCCGAACCAAGCTGCACCGGCAATCACATTTTCTCTCGCCTGGTTCCAGTCAACTGCGTACACAATCGATTCCATCCCGTGCTGAATGTGCCATATTGTGCCGCCTACTGTATGACCAGCATTATAGGCGGTGATTGTAAGACCGTTAAGGGGAGGAGAGAAGGGCGATGGTAAAGGCTGATGCGGTTGTGAGTATTTTAACGGGTGGATAAGAGAGAAATGGCGAGCGATGTCCTCAGAAGTAGGAGAGGGCAGTAAGATTTTTCCGGCTGTAGTGGAATTCAATGTGTCACCTTCGGTCAAAGCGCCTGCAGGGGCTGTTGGGTCTTGCGTGGGTAGTGAATTAGAGCCATTCGAATCTGATATCGAAGATGTTGTCGGCAAGAAGGTCGAAGCCAAGGGAGCAGAGCTGTACAGGTCTTGAAGGAGGGACCTTCCAAATGATATAACTGGGTATGTCGCGTACACTGGAATTTGGGCAAATAGAGGAAAGGTTTTACAACAGTAGACGAAGGCTCCAATGTGGGACGGTGTGGCATGGGTTAAAAGGATCAGCGAGAGTGTTGGAATATGCCTATATTCCGAGTGGTTAATCAGTCACTGAAACTAAGAATTGCGCAGGATGGTAACGGTCATCAAAAGGAAACAAAAGGTCGGAACAGTGACTGTAAGCGTACTTTTCCAATTCTTTGAGAGCCGACGGATCAAACGTCTCATCCCATCCAACATCGATTAAGATCTTGACACCTCCATCAAGTTCCAGAATGGACTGAGACGCCTTCGAGTGGGAATACTGGGCCCCAAGAAGCGGCGTAAACGTAAACATATCGACGGCCTCGAATCACGGAATAGCTTTATCGTAGTTAGCTTAGCTCTGAATTCAAAGCCTGTGCAAGGCCCAAGGTCAGCGGAAAAGAGGCGTCCGAAAGATCTGGCGACCAAGCAATCTTTTAGAATATAGGCAAAGAAAAGGCGGGAGGTTTCATGGTCCTCGTGACTGTGGGTACAAAAATGGGTGTATTATGCGTAATTGACTTTCATCACCGTTCCCCGTCATTAACTGATGGTGAACCCCAAGTGACGGCGTCTTCACTGCTTTGACGGCTTTGCGGAATGAAGACGCAGACGAAGCTTGTGAATCGGAGCTCTTCGGGAATTTGATAATCCGCTTCCGACAGTAGGATTACATAATTAGCCTTGGCAATCTTATCTTATCTTATCTTATCTAGTATGGCATTATCTGTCTACGGAGTACGTTATGATTGACAACACCTTACGGAGTAGAATTCATTCAAAATTCGATCTGCAATTCATGTGCAATTCGACAGCTAAAAACAAACAAATGACCACGAAAATGCAACAAGGATGCATATCGCTCGAGACCATACGAGATACATGTCGACCAGCGCCCCCATTCGACTGGCCCTCGCTACTTCTTTTTCCCACGTTTCTTGGGGGCGGCTTTGGTTGGTTTCCTTGAAGTCTTGCCTTTACCCTTCCCTCCTGCTTTGGAGGCGGTAGCTCCCTTTTTAGCTCTTGATGAGGTTGTTTTCGGAGTAGGGTCAATTGCTTCCTCGTCATTGTCCTCTTGTTCGCTCTCGCCTTCATCATCGGCCTCCTCGGTGTCCTCAGTAGCCGCGGTCTTCGCACCGCCTCTTTTCTTTGTCGCTGTCTTGGCCGCTGGTGCTTTAATTTTCGCCGTTGCTGCAGTGGTTGTCTTCTTTCCCTGTCCCCTTTTGGTCGTCGTCTTGGGCTCTTCTACCCGTTGCTGTGGGTCCTCCAGTGCCTGCACATTCTCTTGAGGAGGATTTGCCGCTGCTTCTGCCGCTGCAGCAGCCCTTCTCGCTGCTGCACGAGTATTTCTGGCCACTGGTGTTGTATCTGAGACGTTTGTAGTTAGTTTTGCCTTCGTAGATGCCCTACCCGTCATTGGAACTGCTATTGTAGCTGGCTCTGGTTCGTTATTCGGTTGGCTGCGGCTTTGAGGTTCTCTTTTCAGCGCAGTATTAGCTTCATTGACAGTTCTTGACTCGCCAAGCTCTGTGATAGTTTCTGTCGGTTCAATTGTGGGAACGGGGTCCTGGGCGACTGCTTCTTGAGCTTTGCGTTGGGTCTCCACGATCCCTGCACCTTGGCTAGTTGTCGCAGTATCACTTGGTGCTGTCACAGTGGGCGCGATATTCTGCTTTCTGGCTTTTCGACCGGGAGGTGGGCCGCGTCTCGTGTTTGCTTTACGACGAGGTGCACCGCGACTTACTTCTGTAGCTCCCACTGGATTCTGGTTGGACGCAATGGCAGCTGCAGCGGGGCCAGAGGCTTGGGTTGCACCATCAACCACCCTTGGGGTCCCAGTACCACTAAATTCGCCCTTAACTTTAGGGCTAGCTGGTCCTCTTGTGATATGGCGTGATGTTTCTGATAATGCGCGCAGTCGTGATCTATTCCCTCGACCGCGCGGCGGACCAATTCTCATTTTAGGTCTTCTTGGTGGCGTTGTAATATCGATGGGCCCGGCGTTCGGATCATATTCGATACTGGGGAACGCTATATCTCTAACATGCCTATTCGGCGCCATTTCTGGATCTATCACCGCCGGACGGGGTGGTGATGGTCGGGGTGTCCTGGCTGATGGGCTTGGTATCGGCAGTGGTGGAGAGACAATTTCGACATTTCGTCGACAAGGCCTGGTCAAACGGGGATTTGGCGACAGATTTATCGGATTACTCAACCTTCTGATGCTTGGCGTCTTGCCCGGTCGTCCTGCCCAGGTTCGAATCCGCCTGAAATGTGTGATCCTTGGGAAAAGCTCAAGTAGTGACCCTTTCCTGAGTCCTTTTCTAGGCATCGGTGAGGGCCGAGGAGAGGTAGGGGTCTTTGACCGGCTTTTCTCTCGGGCTGGACCGGAGCTAGAATCATGACTCGAAGGGTGGTTCGTGTTCCCCTGAGGAGCTCCCGACTTTGAAGCGTGCGTGCTGCTGCTTCCACTCGCAGCTTCATCTGGGACGGAGAGTTCTTGGAATCTTCTACGGCGCCGCTGACCGGGAGCGATTGGTGAAGAGGAACTTTCTTCCGACTCTCTTAGATTGGAAGAGCTGAATGTTGCCACGGAGGAAGATGCCTTCAGGGACGAATTTTCTTCTTCCATCTCGGCATGGAAAGCCATTAGCTCAGGTAACTTTTTACCGCCCGTTTGGCCCGCCAATATTTGGCTGTGCTTTCGCTCATGATTGTCTTCCAAAGCTCCTCTTCTGTTTAATTCCATTTCTTCTCTCTCATTTCCATGCAGTTCCACTCCCTGAGATCGCTCTCCACGTTTTAACTGACTACCTTCGGAGGATAATTGCGCTCGCCCATCTAGGAAGAGGGTTGATGTCAGTACACAATTCTAACTGAAAAACAATGATCTTAGCAGTTCCATGCAGGGCATGAATTAATCAATCGATTGAAACGATCCAAGAATTGTAATGAGAAGCCACGGATTTCCTAGGGTTAGTATCTTACAGAAAAACACCCGCAAGGAAAGGCTCAAAGTCTCAAACTTTAGAAAAAAGGTAGACTCACTCGCATACGGTTCGCCCTCTGATACCTGCACACGTTCATTTATAGGAGTTAAGGGACTTATTGGCGGGGCCTTGACGCTCTCATCGCTCTGGTCTTGTCCACCCCGGAGTTCATTCAACTTCGATTCCAGATTCCGCTCATAAGCAGATTTTGTCCCGTCGATCCAACCCTCATCCATGGGCGTTGGACTTCGTGGCTCAGGGGGCTCATATTTTAAAACGACCGCGGCTCCAGGCCCCACGTAAGATCCAGTGGTCCTGCTGATGCGCTGAATCTGGTCATATAGTTCTGGATTGTGAATCGGTGGCCCAAGGCATGGTTCTGTAACTGGCATATCTAGGTCGAAATGCTGGCGGCGACGCTTTCCCCCCGAGTGGTCATCACCTGGATGCTGATCATCGTCCGAGCTCTCGACGCTGGAGCACCCTCTTTTAACACCCCTGTGGTTTGTAGGACCATCGTCGAAGACTGTTTCGCCTGAGAGCGATTCATCGTCTGTCGGATGTGGAACAATTTCCATATGCGTATAGTCCACGGTCGACATTCTTGTCGGGACTTTGACATCCGCCGTATCTCTAATATAATTTTGCTTCGGAGAGCCAAACTCAAGTGAATTTGGGATTCAAAGATACACGAGAGTCACATCAAAATAGAGAATCTATATGAAGGTCCTTCAACAAGGGCTCAGATAGTAGTTTAGCGGCTGGAAAAGAAGTAGTAGGTGGGTAGTATACACGGACAAAAATGTTCCATGATAGTAAGTAGAGACGAACATGGAATGTATAAAAGCAGAGCGAGAAACGAAGGAACTAAGAGATACTCTTCAAGAGAGAGAAAAAAAAAAAAAAACACCTCCAGCTCTGAATTGGTTCTCAATGGCGTGCTATGAATCGGAGGCACAATAATGACAATTAGAAAATGACAATGCAGAAGCCAGGCCATTGTCTGATTCAGGAACAATGGTGAGACCCTGATAACTTCTGGTATGAAGATGATAAAATAACACTCAACATCACAATGCAAACCCCAAGTGGATGTAGAGACAAATAGAGGCTCTCTCTACCTATCATCGACTCCTTTTAACCACCGACAATGCCCTTTAACATCCCACAATGGAGTGACCAGGCGTTTGCTGCGGGTGTTGCCTGCTTGAATTCCAACCATGGCCTGCTCCTCTGACCCATTGAAGGATTGATCCCTTCCAAAGATTGCTGTTTCAAAAGAGACAAACATCCAAGCTTCTCAGAAGCTTGCATTTTGATGAGTGACAAGCTTCCATTAGCCTTTTACTTTGAATGGGACATTTAACGCCATAAGATTAGACCATAGATATTGCAACACGGTCATTGATCACCTTGGTGTCTGTTTTAATCGTTCAATTTCGAGCTGATCCGGTGGTTCGTCCAGCCAGATGGACGTGCAGCGCGGTCATGTGACCACTAAGAAACCTTGGCGGCGGGCCGGGGCGGAAAATCACCTCTTGCAAGTCGACATTCTACATGCAGGCTTTTCCACCAGATAACTAGAAACCGGAACTTTGTTTAGGCATTAAGAAAACAAAAAAAAAGGAAAAGAAAAAGAAAAAGAAAGAAAGACTATAACAACTAACACAATTATGCGAGATCCGGGTTTGTGTTGGAAAATAACAAATAGGACAAAAAACCAAAGATGATCTGATCCGAAGCAGTCAAACCTTAAGGCGGCCAGGCGAGTTTTCCTAGACTACGGAGTAAGAAACCATTTAAACACCACAGAACCCAGGCACCGCAGAATCCAGACGATAAGAGAGTAGACTGCCTAGAAATCATGTATAGCATCTTCATTTCGAGTATATGACAAACATATATGCGGCCGTAAAGTCATGTCATCATCGTCAATCCCATCCGCAAAACAGAACCGGAAAAACAAATAAATAAAATAAAATAAAATCAAAAACTAAAGGTCACAGAATACGGGAAAACACAAAAGGCATAAAGTAAGAGAAAAGAAAGAGGAAGTTAAGCCAAGCATCCGAAGTAAAGAAAAGACGCAATGATAATAACAACTAATAATAATGAAAAACACTGTGTAAAAAAACAAAGTGAGAAGAGAAAACAATACAAAAGCATACATACTCCCTTGACCCATTTTCCTCACATATCCGCTCATGTGCTCATGACCATAAAAGAAAGCGTGGATGATAAAAAAATGTCCAGGATACTAGATAATCAGGGGACAAAGCGGTCACCAGTGAACCCGCCTGCTCTCAGCTCAGTAAAAGGAAAAGTGGAGAGGGGTCATTGTCATTGTGTTAGGACCTTCGGGAATAATGTGGAGTGAACCTGCCTCAAAACAAGAAGCTCTAAGTGATTCAGGAGGGGGGGGGGGGGGGGGGGGGGGAATAAAAATGAAGATAAAAGACAATCAGCAAGGCATTAGGTAAACGATAGTAGGGTATCTCTGGCCATGGGAAACGACTTGCAAAGAGCTAACTGAACTGACCAAGGGGAAAAAAAAAAAGAACCAGAGGAATAAAAAGAGAGCAGCCAAGGCTATATAGCCGAGGCAAGCCAAGCGTCGTGTACTCGTTCGTGTGGAATCAACGGCATAACTTTCTGGCATTCACACCGGTAGAAAGAGATATCTCGTGAGTGGTTCGAAGGTTCGAATGTTATCAAAACATTCTACCGCTGCTTTCGCTCGTGGCAACAGCAACAAGTGCCTCAAGTCGTCCCAGTCCAGGATCATTAGTGGCCGGACCAGGATAGACTCCAGAACGTGGCTCAGAACTAGCATCAAATGTGTACCTAGGCGGCTGTGGGGGCTATCAATATTACCAAGTAAGCATATGTAAAATAAACACTCAAATAGGAACATTCAAAAGTAGATATTTAAAGTACAACTCACATTCTGGCTACTAAGATCTGAAATAGCGAGTGAACGCCGACGTTCCGCTTCGCTTTCGTTCTGTGCGACGGTTGCGAGGAAGTCGACGCTCGCCTTTGGGGTGGCCTGGACGCTTTCAGACGTCTTTGGGTGGGAAGACGGGGCCCTAGTAACCGGTACATTCGAGTGTGAAGGGTCGGCAGACGAAGTGATGAACCAAGTATGTCTCTTGGTATGATCATTCGCATTGGTAGCATCAGCAATAGGCTGCGGCTCCTTGGGCGCAATGGGAGGTAAAGCTTGAACCGGAGCAGGGGGAGCAGTGGATGAAACTGAAACACGTTCCTGCTGGTTGGTTACGGCACTTGTTGGATGGGTTGTCTGTTGACTCCATTGGCCAGCGTTCTTCTGAGGAGGACTCTCACGGAGATCAAGTTTGGTTAAATTTCTGTGAAGCGACAGGTCCAAGGAAAGAAATCCTCTACGATGACCGGGGCCTGAAATGGGGGGCTGTGGTCGTGCCGCTGGGGTCTGCGCATCGAAAGAAGTTGGAAATGGGGGAGCACCAGCTTGTTGGTGCTGCTGCTGCTGCTGCTGCTGTTGTTGTTGAATGGGCTGTTCTACCTGACCAGGACGGTCGATCTGCATGGGCGTAGGCTCGCGCCGGGGCGGTGCTAACGGGCTCTGCTGCATCTGATCAAAACTCTCGATCCCCGGTAGTCTCGGTGGGTTTTGATTCTGCAATGGTTGTAAATTGACCGGGTACGCGGACGGGGTCTGTTCTGCAGACTGCTGGAACCAGAGACCACTGGTTATTGGTCGAGCGAACCCGGAGCTTGGGTGCCAGGTCCTCCGTCGCCAGTCAGAGTCGGAAGGGGATATTCCTTGAGCAGTCTGCGGTGTATGAGGAGTTGATGGACCACCTAAAGGAGTTTCATTGTTAGGATATGGGCCGTGTGCGGGTGCAAGCTGTCTAAGGTGTACAGGCGAGAACGAGCTCGCATGAGAAGAAGGGTCGAATGGTCGACTGTCTGTGGGGACGGACAGGCGGCGTGAATGTATACTATCTCCCCAGAATCCTGTGGTTGAGGCTGGAGATGCGTAGAAAGGGCTCGCTGTATCGTAGTTCGCTGACGACGGTGTAAAGACGGCTGTGTTTGGCGATGGTCCCTGGAAGGGGTGGATCTGCTGAGGAGGGGTCTTTGGTGGTGAGGCTGTTTCTAGAGATAGCCTGGCTCTTGCATTGCCGTCGTTCGCCATCATTAGCGGCGGGGGTCTGCGCCGGAGCTCCTGGGTCTGACTGAAAGATGACACCGTGGAAGCGATACTGGACGTAGACAGATTCCTGCTATGTCCACGGCTATGACCACCCTGGCTACCACCAGTCCCAGCACGGGCTCTCCCTGGTGGGCGTACTCGGTCGGTTCGAATCTGGCGTTGAAATCGAGTTCCTGTGGCAGCAAGGGAATCGCCAGGAATGTCTTCGTTGACATGGACTGTCTGTGCATGCTGTCGAAGGTTATCTAGGCGTGAAAAGCGCCTCGAGCAATGGCACTGAAACGGTCTCTCTCCTGTATGTTTCCTATTTTCTCACGGGTTAGCCGTTTTTAAGGCACTTCGCAGAGCAGGCTAGAAAATGGCAAACCTTATGTGACGAGCGAGATGCTCGCTTCTCGTGAAGCTCAAATTGCAAGGTGGAAAATCTTTACAATAAAACCGTTGGCCCTTTTTCTTCTTCGATGGAGGAGCGGTCTCCCCGTGATCCGCTTCGTTCTCGCTTCCATAGTGTTCGCCTTCCGATTCATGCGCCGGTACATCCTCAGGTGCAGAAGACTGTGTTGACGACCCTTCCCTACTCGCGTTTCCGTTCGAAACCGGACGAGGATGCGAAAGATTCGACTTGTTATGGTCGTTCGTGCCTCCGGCCACGGCAGGGCGTTTGTTGTTGTCACTTTGGGTTTCGGTCGCGTTTCCAGTCTGGGATTGCTCCTGGGCCTCGCGCTTGACGGGCCGTTCCATGCGAGGCAAGAATGGCGTGGCTGGACTTTTCTGCTGAAAATCCATTTTTATCTCCGCGCCGGTATGGTTGATGTTGACAGGAAGAAAAGTTGTCATGGCTCTCGCGTCGCAGACTTTTTGACCCTGTCGATCGTCGACGATTGCGAGCAAGGATGACTATCCTTTTTGTCTGGCTTTCCCTTATTTTTATTTTTATTTTTATTTTTTTTTTCACTTTTTGTTATTTTACCCCAAAGGCCCGTCGATGGTTGACGTCGAGAGGACGTTTCGGATCAGGAACGAGGCCACATCAACCTCCAGCCGTCCCTGAAACACGGGAGGAGTCCAATGAGGCGAGGTTGCTTAAAATAAACCAACCCCACCGATATGCAGTTGACTAGGGCAACGATCGCTTCGGTCTGAGCGAGGGAAGGCGGCGGGAGCGAGGTCAGGATGAAGCCTGTTTATTCCCAAAGAGGATGTTTAGCCGGAGGGTTCCTTGAAGGAAAGGCTACCACCGGAACGCGGATCTTGGAACGAAAAGCTTACCACAGGACGACAAGCGCCAAGTAGGAGAAAGAAAAGAAAAGAAAAGAAAAGAAAGGTGACAAAGGTACAATGATTCGGACAAACAGAAGAGAAGAAGAGGGATGAAAAGAAGGATGCTCGCCTTGCGGGGTCGATTAAGGCGCCGACGCTCGTAGAGATTGTCAGATAAAGGCGGCGAGGAGGGATACAACGTGCGATGGGTTTTGGAGGATTGGGTGACGTTAGACCATCGGGATTTGCAGGAGTCCCGATCAGGATGGATGCAGCGAGGACCCTGCTCGAGCGATGGCAGCAGGACGGATGATGGGAAGACGAGAGCAGGAAGATGTCTTGACGGGTGGTGGGAGGGATGACGGCCAGCGCAGGGCTTAAGAGTCGATGGGGGGAGAGTGGCGGTCGGCGGCGAGGGGTCTGCCTGGCCGGATCTCCTTGTTTTTGGGGAAGGGCGGATCTGGTGGGTGAATAAGAACTTAACTGTGTCTCAAGTATCGGAACACGCCGAAAGGTATCTGTGATCCGCCACGAGGCTACTTGTCTGGGCAATCCAGCCAGAGAGTATTAAAAAAAAAAAAAAAAAAAAAAAAGGGGAACCGTTAAGATGGTCGTGCTGATATGAGCAGCAGGTACGGAGTGCACAGTAAGACAAGACCAGAAGAAAAGGGATGGTTAACCTGTCGGAAGAGGGGCGGGGACGACGATGAAACCTGCGATGAGGCCCGCTTTGTGGGTTTTCTCGAGGAGGGCTGAGCGGCTTTAAGAGAGGGACCGGCCAGTGTTGCGCCTGGGTATGGACGGGAAAGGGGAAGATCGGTGGGATGTGGCTGATGGGCGCGTTGTTTTGCCCCGGAGAGTCTGCCTGGGGAGAAAGGGGAGAAAGGGATTGACAGCTCCGTGCCTCGCCCTCGCAGCTTGCTCTCCCGCGAGTTAAAAGGAACACACGACCCGCTCTCTTCGCACACACCCACTTTGACGAGAGCAAAAATAAAAGAAAGTAAAGGGTTGAAAAAAAAAAAAAAAAAAAGGAAAAAAAAAAAAGAGTCAAGGTACAGTACTCCGTACTAACTCCGTACGGCGAGTTTTACTATTTGCTAAATACACTGTACCTCCGATCTCTGAGATGCGTGCTCCGATTGACTAGTTCCCGAATGCGGGACTCAATTATGGGTTCCTGTGCAAGCTCTGATGGACAATTGGAAAATCCACGGCAGACTCATACGGATCACAGCTCGTTTAATTTATACGAGGCCAGACTCCCGCTGGAATCGCAGCCAGTTACACATGATCGACAAGAGGCCACTCCGACCTGATTGTTGCCCGCCGGTTGTAACGAGCTCGCATGGGGAAGAAGTGGAGGACAGCAGGCAAAATGGCCGTTCCTCACCGTTTGACTTTTCTATGAATCATCATCCAGACAAACGAAAAGGGGTCCCCACGCGCCCATCTGGTTAATCGATTGCCTGAGAACACTGGCCCCAGTGGCGACCGGGGAACGGGAGGAGGGTCCAACCCTACAGCGGCTGATTTTCGGCATGAACTCCCCAGGATCCATATCTACTACATAGAACTACCATATCGACTCCAAAAGCTGCTGGGATGATGAACCATGTGGAATTAACAGCAACTGCCGACGGCCGTTTAAAGTCAAGTAGCTCCGTACTCCACAATACATGCATTGTTACAGGATGATGGATGGGAGAAAAACAGGGCTTCTTTCGACACCGATGCAGGGAACTGACGAGAGACGACTGTGATGTCGACATGTATATGTACAATTACCAGGAGGAAAAGTATAATAATACCCTATCTACTCCGTATAGGGGTGCGAGTGACAAAAGAGGAACGGCAGACGCAGCCAAGAGAGACCGGGCTAGAGCCACCCTCGCCTGGATGACGTTGATGATGATAAATTCGCTTTTTTGCATGCGGCGAACTATCCAGGGGGAGCCCACAGCTCTTGGTTCGGTGGAGCTGCGCTTCTCTTCGCCGGCTGGTTAGTGAAGGGGGGGAAGGAAACGGGGCCTGTCCAATTGAACCACGCGAGCCCGCAAGCCGTACAGCCCAGCCTGTTACCCCTCCATCGTGTTGTTTTCTTTTTCTTTTTTCCTTTCTTTTCTTTTTTTTTTTTTTTTTGGCCTTCTTTGTTACCCCGAGCGGCTGCACAACAGAGTTCAAGGCCATGTCAGACAGAATCTTCCCCCCTCCTATCAGGGAAGATGCCTGTGTGGCCCCCCGGAATCTGCGATCGAAAAGAAATTCATGGCACGTTCCTGCTGGCAGCGGTCGCCTCCCCCAACTCTGTCCCGTCCCTGGGCTGTCAAAAAACGTATACATCGTGTACTGTACTTGATGTACCTCCGTGCCTGGAAGAAGCCATTTTCTACCTCGTGCGCATCGCCAGGTACCGGTACGCCTTGTCCCAAATCCCCGGGAAATCCACACGGCTCACACGCCCAGGCTTAACTTTTTCGACCAGGAGAAATCGCGCCTCGGAAGCTCTCCTCTGGTTACAAATGCATCATAGATCACCTTACGTGCGAATCAGCGGTCGCGATCCTCCTGACATCCAACCAAGGTTCGTCCGCTCTTCACGGTACCTGAGGATTGCCATGCGGCGGTGTCCAACTTGCCCCAGAAACCTTGTCCAACTTTGACTCTTTGAAAATGCACAGTTTCGGCCAATGAACGGCCTCTCAAGTGCCGCTATCTCCTTCTAGTCAAAATCTCCCTCCCTCCCCCCTCCTTCTCCAGGAAAAAAGGTCTGGTCTTCTGGTTTTGGAAGCTCGTTGAGAAAAAAGCTTCCTTTCATGCGCTTTTCAGTGCAGGTTTTTCAATAATTTGGAATCTTTAGTTCAACGGACCCCCAACTTTCAGGTTTCGAGAAGCAAATTTAACCCTCAAAATCGCTGATAGCCGGAATACACGTGGCAAGGTATCTGTGCCTCAGGTGCGCCCATTTTGCGGGAAGACACCCCGTAGTCCACGCTACGTTTCAATATGCTGTTCCGGCGTCCTACGTCCGAGGTACTTTAAATGCCCTTCCTCTCAGGCCAGTTATATATGTTGAGTCCGGGACTGGCTTGAGCTGGGCCGAGCTTACTACCACGGGTGAGCCCATCCATGGCACGACTCTCAGGATATTTTTTGCTCGAACCTGGATAAAATTAGTGCCCTTGCCAGGACATGACGCTTCTGCTCTGAAAAGTCCGTAAACGGTCCTTGCATCCATGTGTTCTGTTTACTGCTACTGAGTACGGGAATTATACATTGCAGATTGGCCTGGATCCTGACATCATGATGTTATATACGAACGAATGAGCGTTCTGGTGACCTTCTTAGGCGGAAGTGGAGCTAGGGACCAAGCTCAAGGGACCAATCGACCTCCCTTCCCTGCAACCGATTGATGATTGTATATTATTGAGAGCATCCATTGAAGGGACTGGATCCACCCCATCCTACTGTTGAAAGATCGGTATCCGGCCAAGTTAGTTCTGCCCAGAGTCACCTGCCCACGCACTTCCCCAACTAACCACCAGAAGTTGCTTCTTCCCATTCATTTTTACCTTGACTTCCTTTTTTTGCCTCAGCATCATAGGCGTCCGCCGAGGCAATATACATACTTTACCCCTGTCCAAAAGTAATCAGGCCGAACAATTCCGCAGTAGGCAGGATGCGTCCACGTTTTGTCGCGCCAATCAACTCCGGCTTTCTTTCGAATAGTTGTGGTTCATTTTCTTATTTTTCTGATCCCCGACATCAGAGCCTGCTCCGGTTTCTTCGACCATCGAATCCAGCTCTTTCGTCGCCCGTATGCGGAGCAGACAGCCCGAAAAATAACCCCTCCCCCCCCCAAATACTCCGAACAAATGGCGAGCGATATTAGTGCCAAGTCCCCAAGATAAAGAAAGTGCCAGCACGGTGAAAAAGGCCCATTTTTCCCCCGAGATAAATGCAGCAGTCGGCATGGCATGGATGAAGGGCTGTTGGTCTTCTTCCCACCCCCTTCTTTTCCTTCTAGCTTTTCGGAAAGAAGGGACTGGGTGAAGCTTAAAATATCAATTGCGCCGGCGCCCGGATCGCATGCCCCGTGGCGCTTTTATGAGCCGAAGCCTTTTCCCAGGCCATGTCCAGCAACCTATCGTTGGAACGCTTCCATAGATAATTGGTTAGTTACCGTTTGCCGCGTACATCACTCAATATGCAGAGGGAAGGTAAGGAGTGTGCTCGGTAACCACATAAGTATTCAGGTAAGACTTAAGCGAGGCCAGAGCCAGTTGGTCCTTTACCCCGGTTCAGGGATCATTAGAACACCGGTATGGCGTAAAAAGTCTTCCCCAGATCGGAATTGTTGGTAAGTGGGAAAGAAAATGGATGTCAGATGGATATCGTAACAAGAAAAAGGAAAAGGGTCCTTCCTTCGATCTATATAAAATGCGTTCAACAATTTTTCAATTCCCAAATTTTTTGTAAATCGGGTAAGATGGCCGAGCGGTCCAAGGCGCCAGGTTAAGGTCCTGGTAGGGGAAACCCTGCGTGAGTTCGAATCTCACTCTTATCAACATTTCTTTTTTTGCAGAAAATCTTTTTGATTCGGAAAAGCCTTGATAGTGGGGATGACGCTGGAGAAGCGGTGCAAACGTATCCTTTATCTTTCCCTTTTTCTTTTTTTTTTTTTTTTTTTTTTTTTGGGCTTTTTACCTTAGGCCACGTCACAGAATTGCACCAACCATTCGCCAGGTCGGCGCTCCACGTTTTGTCATCATTGGCTTTTGTTGGCCTCGCTGAGCCGCATTCCGTGGATGCGCTCTCGGGCCGACGAAAACCCGCACCCCCAGCCAAACCTGGCGTGCAGGGTGGAAATCGTATCGGACCTTGCTTCCAGAAGGCTTCTCTAGCGCCGAGGGTCTGAATCATGCCTCAAGGTTTCAATACATTCACTTGAGGCCATACGTACATGCGTTGTAGATATTTCATCTGAGATACGACAAGAAGCTCCACCTCCACAAATACTCCAGAAAATACATACAGCTGCCCAATCATCAACCCCGCCGGTCAAACACTGATGATTAAGGACAGCACGGATCCTACACCAACAAGGTACGCCAAAGCAAAAGGGGCTCCACACACCAAGACAGGGATAAAAAGCAATTCCATTCAAACATTACCAACTGCCATCTCATCTCCCAAGGGCGCCGATCACAGAGCTGACCATTACAGCAGCCTCACGCTCCCAATTTCCAACAACTTTGGGCGCCATCGATATCATACTTTCCCTCTTCAATCCGGGACTTGATGACAGGGAGCCTCGCAGAACGCATGCACGGATATCTTCACGGAGCCGGTCTTGGTTCGACCTCATTGTACGAGCAGAGACGCCACCACGAGACACAATCTCTTGGACGGCAGGCGACAGAGATGAAGCCAGCGAGCGCCAAAAGTACGATGGAAGGGATGATGTGTCCAGAGCTTGGAGAACAGGCTGAAGGAGATTAGACTTTTTCTTGTCTAACGCTGTCTGCGTTTCTGTTCCGTCCTGTTCACTAGATGGGTAGATTAGGAACGGGTGGACTGGAGGTTTCACAGTCTGCAAGAGACCCTCGAGGGCTACAATATGTTGGCACCGCGTAGACACCTCGAGGAGGGCACGATCAAGTGACGGAAGCATGGATAAACCCCGCGTCAAAGCAGCTAGTGATGCGGACAACGATGTGTGAATGTAGCCCTTTAGAGTCGCCAAGAGAAGCTCTGGGGAGAAACTGGTAACCGGGATGTTACTCTTTGGCGTTGGAGACAACAGGTACAGAGCAGTTATAGCGGAGATAACTCGCGCTCTTAGCTCCTCTTGCTGTGCGTACGTCGTTGCTCCGGAACTCCGAGCTCGGGGAACCGGAGAAACTGTGGGGTGTTCTTCATCCATAAAGACAGCCTTCAACGAGAATTTATTGACGATCTGCTGCGCTCTGGCCTTGACGCTGTTCTCGGCCGGAGTGATCAAATCGCTTCTCAGTGTTCGAATGACCCTGACTCGGTCCAGTCCGTAACCTTCTTCCCCGTCTGCCGTTGTCATGAACATCCGTCGCAACATCAACAAGGTATGGGATGCTCTAACAAGCGCCCTGTGATCTTCCCTCATAAGGGGTGCGGACTCGTCACCTTTGTTATCTACGAATCGCGGGGTGAGCTCCACGAGCTGGCCTTCAAGTTGCCTGCCCAGCATAAGACATCTCCCAACGGCCCTGGCCAGTCTCACGGTCGCCCAAGACCTCTCAGCGGCACCCCTGACCTCTTCAGCCGCTTCCCACTTTCTGAGAACATCTCTCTCCAGTCTTTCATACCCCTCCTTTAAGACAGCGACTTGCGCCTCGACTGCCTGCAAGACTCGCTGTCCGGCATCGTTCTGATCGCGAGTATGTGTGAGCAGCGGTAGAGCAGACTTAGTGGTCGAGTTGTGGATATGGGTATCAATCTCTTGGATGTCGAAGAGGACTCGCGATAGAGGGGTAGAGAGATCAAGCGGGGTGTCAGAGGGATTGTTGGTGCTAGTGACAAGATTATTCGCGAAGGACGTTGGGGAGAACGACGGGTCCAGGAAGGCCTCGTAGTCGATGTAGGACGGCTCGGGTTCAGCCATGTTAACGGAGCTCCTCCTGCTGAGAGGGAACGAACCGCTTGGCCTGCTCTCTGATTGCCATGATGGCGGAGTTGATCAAGCCTTAGCTAAATATTCCCACGCCGGTTCGAGACAAAGAGACCAGACAAGGAGCGGGCAGAGATGCGGGGTTGGCATGGAAGCTTACTGGAGAGGAGTATGCTTAGCGATCTGAGGCAGCTCCGCGCAACTCAAGTGTTCCCTGATGTGCAACAACGAAAAAGCGGAAGATATAAGCCTTGAGTCGATACAATTCATAAAGGAAAACCAGACAAATACAATCCTTTTCCCTGAGCTTTCCAGATGGTGTCTTGAAGAGATGCTCCGTCGAGGTGGCGGCCCGGGTGATGGAATGTTCGCCGAGTGAAGCTCATGTGGGCGGTCACGTGGATGTCGATGAAGTCATCAACGGTTGGGCTCTCAAAATAATGCTAACTGACCCGCGCGCCGGCCAACGAATCGAAGCAGCCAGAGCAAGCTTAGGCGCGGACAGTTTGGATGAGCAATTGGAACGGCGGATTACCGCCAGCGTGGCGAATTACGGGATGCAGGCTTGTGAAATGTACTCCGTACGGCACGCAGGCACATGTATATACACCACGCTGTAAAAATAAACGGACAATAGAGGCCCCCAAAAAAAAAAAAAAAGAAAAAAAGAGAAAAAAAAAAGGAACTAAATAAATAAATAAATAAATAAGAAATCATGTGAAGAAGAAGAAGAAGAATAAAGGAGGGATCCAGCTCCCAGCGTCGTCATTACGAACTAGGTAGGCCTTAAGGAATACATGGCACCACAAGCGCGCAGAGAAGTACAGCGTCTTCCAAACTCCCCAACTCCCACAAGTACAAATGGAGGGTATATAACTTTGTGAGCGAAAAGATGAATGTTTGATCCAGAATAGTAAAGAAAATCTCTATACGGGTTCTTCTGGAGGCTCCTTCACCGAAACCATCTCGTATTCTCCACCTCCGTCCCGATCATGCCCCCGGCTTCGCCCTCGAGAGAAGCCTGCGGCTTCTGGGTCTTCGTTGTCTGCATGTGCATCTGGAATGGTCCGAGCGGTTGCTCTTCGATTGGACGAAACGCCGCCGAAAGCGATCGGCCGAAGCTCCCGGTATTGGCATGCCCACATGCCAACGAATGTCATAAGCGCCGAACTTGCGCCTTGTAATCCCCACCATAAGAGGTTGGAAGGAATCTCGTGGGTATAGAAAGATGTGATGACGAGGTGAATAAAATGTATGGTAAGTGCGAAGTCGGGAACGAGTTTTGAGCGCGAAACTAGGAGAAGAATGAAGATGACGCTGGCGATAAACCCCGCGAGGTTAGTAGATATAGATAGCAAAACGTTCCCACCGCGGCGGTTAGGGAAAGCAGATACGCACCCGAAGAAGCTATTTAACAACCAAACAAAGCTCAACGTCCATCCTATCGTCGTATCTCCTCTTAGCGTCCGCCAACTTAGGATGAGATCGGGTGAAAATGCAGTCCCGGCCACAAGAGCCGCAAAGAGTATTAAGATTGTAGCGCAAACATAAAACGCGACCTGTAAAAGCAAGATCTTCTTAACGATGATCAGCGGCGGGAGATCTTTCAGAGCACCAGCTCTCCGAGGTTTGCGCTGACGGGGTTGCATGGAATGGGGGGGCAAAAAGAAAATCGTCTCAAGGTGCGTCAGCAGTAAAAGTGGGGGAAGGTCATATCTGTCCCAGGAAAAAGAGACAACTAGAAATGCATATGAAAAGGGCAGAAAGACATCGGCCTTTTGTTTTGTCGATCCGCGATCGGGGCTTGTTTCGAATCGAAATTCATGTCTCCCCTTTGGAACAAGCCACGATGACGACGGCCAAAATTATTGCCCCGATCGAAAAAAATTAAAGTCACGTGAGGAACACGATGGGCGGGATTCCGACTTGAACTCGATAAACTGTACGGCATTGAAACAACAATAGCCCGCAGCCCGCTTTCAAAAGAGTACCTATTCAATCGTTTTCCTCCGTTTATATCGCCCTCTGTCAAAAACGATGGGCTGGTTCTCAAGTTCCTCAGATGCGCCCCAAAAGGCCTCCGACGGCGGTAAAATTGCCCCCGATCGCTCGTCCCGAGACAAATGCTACAAAGGCCGAGACCTTTTTTTTAAATGCTTAGACCAGAACGGCATCATAGACGCTATAAAGAAGGACGGAGAAGCACGAGCGAAGTGCGCGAAAGAACTGCAGGAGTTTGAGAATGCTTGCTCGGCAACATGGGTAATTTCTTCGCCTCTTATGCGCCGCACACCGTGGAATTTTATGTCGTGTTTCATGCACTGGGTACTGATTCGGGCTGCTTTCCATCTTAGGTGAAATATTTCAAAGAGAAGCGAGTAATGGAATACCGACGGGACATGTCGATCGAACGGATAAAACAGGACGAAGCCGCCGGGAAGAAGGTCGGAAATTAGAAAAAAAAACAAAAAAATCCCAGAAGTTATTTGAATGTTCGGCATGTTACATATATCATGGAAAAGGCGCACGGGTTGAGTTGTATATTATTGTATTGTATTATTTGGGAGGTTTATCAGAACAGCTCTTCTCTCCACCTCGACACCTGGATGTGGGCAGGCATGGAATCGCCTTTCCTCAAGGATATGTAGCATGGGTCCACCACTTGTCATACCTTTCAGACCCACCACTTATTTTGTATATTATTGTCCTTCAGATAGAACTAAGTCCAACAAAGTTATTCCTATTGTTCAGTGTCCGGCCCCACTGATCGGGGTTTAATAAAAATTCAGATGCAGAAAAAAAGAGACTCCAGAAGCTTGGTTGAGTATCGCTAAATGAGTAATCATGTGTGTGAATAGCAAATGGTTAAAAAACAGTTTTCAAAGCGTCATCGTTTCCACTTCGCCAGTTGCTCATTGATGTATTGGGTCTGAGATGGGCCCGAAGGTAGCTGTCCCTTTGCGAGCAGAGCGGCCAAGTTTGTTTCCGCCTCGAGAGGAGTGTGGGCTGGGGGTTGCCCAAAGGACTGAACAGGGGCTGGATGCTGGCTTGGAGGAAGTACAGATGGCCCCGAGTTGTTGTTGCGAGTGATATTGCTCAGAAGGTTAGCGACATTGGCTGCCGGCAGAGTAGACGGCGGATATTGTTGCTGCGACGAGGCGGTAGGCTTTTGTTGTAGTGCGCTAAGAAGGGATTGGAGAGCCGGAGCGTCAAGACTTGATATGAGGTTTGCGACATTGGACTGAGGACCAAGGGAGCGATGTGGTGGGCCGGCTGCCTGGGTACCTAAGCCCTGTTGCATGGCACCCTGATTTGATGTACCAATGGGGATATTGCGTGCGTGAATGGCGACCTCCGCCGCAACTTTCGGTTCAAGCCCGGCATATTCTATAGATATCAGTATTGCATACCAAAATGAGTAGTGAAAAGTGACCTTTACCATTAAAGCGAACATTATCAGCACCGCCACCACGGTCGAATACTTGCAATGGTATTCTGCCTGAATATTGGTTGGTCTTCGATAGCTTCACTATGACTAGTACGCCTTCTAGTATCTGACGCCGGATTACTGCGGGAAGACTTATGCGAGGGCTAAGAATTAGGACGTCTGTTCGCAAGCCACGGTCCCTAAATGCTGTCTCTATTCGATACACAAATTCACTACAAGCGCAAATCCGTTAGTCTTTAATATATATGTAACAACCAAATTAACTTACTTGTCCACGTTTTCCAAAACAATTATTTGGACATCCGGTACATGACGTGGCGCCCTTCTCGGGATTGGAAGTTCTGAGTCGCTGTCATAGCTTGGACCTCTGGGAGTAGGGCTGCGGTAGCGGGCCCCTGGCCCATATGGGGACCTCGAGCGTCGACGACTCCGGTGATCGTATCTTTCGACACTCCGATCCCGAGAGCGGTACCCCTCTCGGCGAGAGCCCCGCACCGGCGACCTTGTCGGTCTGTAATTATCGCGGTGGCGATGGTCTCCGTAGTCCCTACCCTCGTTCACAGACGATTTTCTGTCGCCTGCCACTCGATCATATCGTTCACTTCCCAACCGGCCACCTCGTCCAACGTCTCGGTTCCTAGAATAATCGGGTGACCTTGATCTCCTAAGCCCGCTTGGCTTGGATGGCTCAGGGGCGTTCCTGGAGCTCCGTTGAGGTTTGGAGATTTCCAAATCTACTGTTGTCAGCAATCCTACAAAACTCCCCAGGCGCTTCAGTTTCGCGGCTTACGAATTTTCCGGCCCCTTATAACACCGCCTTGCTCTGCTTCCAGTGCGTTACGGCAGGATGTTGCATCCATAAACTGGACAAAGCCATACGCCGGCTTTATCGATATCTGAGCAAGTTTTCCATATTTATGAAACAGGTGGAAGAGATCTCGCTTGGTTACCCGTTCACTGGGAAGGTTACCTACAGGTGGTTAATTCGCCGCATTCGTGCGGATACCTCAAGTGAACATACCAACAAACAATCTTGAGCCGGGAGCAAAACGATCCCAGACACCTTCTGTAACGTATACTCGTTCGTCATGAAGGAATTCATCATACTTCTTTTGTGTCTCTGGACCCCACGGCGCCTCATCATCACGGTCCTCCCGTGTCTTTGAGGTGTGAGGTTCTGGGACTCCACTTCGAGGAGCATGAGATGCAGCCCCGTCAGCTTCCTTGGTGCTTTGAAAACTAGGAGAGTTGGGCTGATGGAACAATGCAAGTAGGGAAGGCAATCCGGTGTGAGCGGATGGCAAGGCAGAGGTATCAGAACCATTCGACTGTAAAGACGTCGATTCATGAAGATTACTTTGGGAAGGTTGGGAGACTCCATTTAACGCTGGCAGATCGTGAAAAGAGCGGATATCATCAGTGGGCGAGGAATTAGGGTGAATTTCAGGCTTTGCTTGTGGAGGCGGACGTGGTGGCAGGTTAGAAGCAGAAGATAATGAAGACTCCGTGTTTGATAAACGGGGGTTTGGATCAGCAGTAGGGCTTTTTATGGTGGCAACGGCATCACTGGTATGCGTGCCAGTGGAATTTGGCTCGCAAAGGTTATCGAGAAGAGTTTGATAATTGATCCCATTTTCAGAATCATTAAGTATGGCTTGATCACTATTTGGCCGGCTTTGATCCTCCCTCGAAAGGCCAGAATGCGTTAAGTCACTAGGCCCAGTTGAAGTGGAAGGTGGGCGGGGTTCCCTTGGGGATGACTCGAAGGGGTCCGCATGGTTCAGAGGACGATTCGCGGATGAGGGGGCACTTGCGGAAGTGTCTTGGGCAGAGGTAGCGGTCACTGTAGATGAGATTTGGCTGGCTGGAAGAAGACTTTGAAGAGCTGCAATACTGAATTCATTCTTTGCCCCTTGGGGCTCTGCTTGGTCAGAAGCAGGAAAGCTACCTGTGCCTTTGTCTGGATCGCTGGCATCCGCCACCTTGTCATTCCTCTCGCCCAATAACGAATAGATGCGGGCATATTGTTCCATCAAATGAGCGGTGTCGCCGACCTTTGCCAAATCAGATACGGCCTGCGTTGTTCTCGGTACATTTTCGTATGTCGATGTGTCGTTGAAGATTGGGTCCATCTGATTCTCGAGTACCGGGATGTTGGATGGCTCAGGAAAGTGAAGAGGGCGTGGGCTCTCCGGGGTCAATGTCTTGCCACGAAAGTGAAGCACATCATCCGGAGGCTCGGATGCCATGTCTGTAGTGCCTTTTCTGACGCGAAAGCATTCAAATTTTGTGCTTGGTATGTCGGCCAAAGCCCAGGGGCGACAGCAAGAGCTTCAAGACGGACCACGCTAAAAAGTTCTATGGGCTTTTGTCTGGCTGGAGACGGCTCAGTCTTGAAAAGAAGAACAACCCGACAGACTTCACGAAACTGCAACAACGGCAGAACGGCAGCAGGATGGCTCTCGAGAAAGTGGGTTGTCGAGGATGAAAATATTTCTGGGACGTCGGCGTGACTTGACCAGCAGGTTGGCGGGACAGACCTGTGGCCAGAAGCTCTCGGACGCAAAACCTTGCTCTCCACCCAGAACCATCAACGGCGCGACAAACTAGCAGGTAGTGCTGGGTGAAGTCTCGACTGATTGGCTGACTGGCGGGCACGGCCTGCTTACTAATCGGGGGCTGCCTCTCGACGTCTTACAGTTTTGCTGCAGCCAGCACCGCATTTCATCGGCGCTGGCTGGCTTGTTTGCGAATGACCCGGAGCATGTTTGCATGGCGAGGCTGTCGGCAAATCCCACTCCTTGACCCCCCGCATTGGCTTGCGATTAGACCATTTCTGAGTCGTCGTGCCTTGCGCCAGTCGCCCCAACATGGCACCCGACAAAACGCTGAGGATCTTCAAACCGCGAGGTCCTGGCTGAGTCGGCTTTCATCCCAGACCATTCCCAGAAGTATCTGCGAGATCTCTTTCAGCAGGTCGAGTGGTCCAGGCGGTCAGAATGTGAATAAGTGCGTTACGCCATACCCGTCTTGAGCACTAGGATCATCAGCACTGACTAGGGTTCAGGGTAAACTCCAAGGTGACGCTCAGGGTGCCATTGGGCCTTCTTTTCCCTCTCGTCCCTTCGGTCCTACACCACGAAATTCGGTCGTCGCGATATCTTGCTGGGAGGACGGATAGCCTGGTTATCCAATCGGACGAAACGCGAAAGCAATCGCAGAACCTCGAACTCTGTTTCGAAAAGCTTCGTGATGTCCTTGCCGAAGCCGGCAAAGCAGCCATTCCTGGCGAGACATCGGCCGAGCAGAGGAAGAGGGTGAAAGAACTGTGGGTAACCTGTCAAGTGCCTCCGCTGTGAACTTGCTAATCCGTTGGTGTTAAAGCCAAAACAGGGCGAACGAGGCGAGAATCCGGATGAAAAAGGTGCACAGCAACAAAAAGAACAACCGTAAAGGTAAAGGGTATGATGATTGATCTCTATAGATATCAACTATTGCTATACAAAAGATAGAAAGGTGGATTCCAACTGAATCCAACATCCATGTCCGTTATTTTTGTGAACGCCGAGATGCTGTGTCATCCGTGCATCAACCAGAAACGCCTGCCCTTTTTTTTTTTAAAAAAAGCTACCGTGAAAAATGAATAAATAGTCTCACGAAAAATATGAAGTGAGCTGTCCTGGCTGTTAACCCCTCCCTGCAAGAGCTGAATTTTAAGTTGATGTTCGCTCCGCATTTCTAAGGGTGGCTTCTACAACCTGACGAAGAGCTGGATCAAGACCGTCTGTTGAACTAATCGAGACCAGCCATCTGGCAACTTCTTTTGATAGTTCCTGGGCGGAGCCAGCTCCCGCAAGTTCTTTTAGCCGGCTTAGAGAGTTCCCGAAGGCACGAGGGAACTGTGGAGATGTTGGTTTGATTCCCTCGACGGGGAGTCTAACGTAGCAGATTTGAGCTCGCGGATTTGTAGGACAAGTCTCCATTAAATGCTCAACGACATGAGTGAGCACGCGCCTAAGACAAGGCATGTCTTCAAATTCGGTAAAAATGCTGAAGAAATCGTAACCGAGGCCACTGTCTTCATTGAATTGTTTCATTGCCGCGTCGAAAACGGCAATCGGGATCGCTCCGGACAAGGCAGGGGTAGAATTTAGCGTTTCAAGCGCAGCTTCATCAACTTCGTCATTCTCCAGCGTCGGATTGACATCTCCGTCATTCAACTTTGGTGCATCTGTCTCTGTATCATCACCGGACCGAATGGCCTTCGTTTGGGTTCCGCTGTCCAAACCGAGGATCTTATGTCTAGCGGCAATCCGGGCTATATAGATCATCTCCAGCTTCGCATACTGTAACCACATCGTTCTCGAGCTCTTGCAAAACCGTAGCCCTCGCTGCATGTAACCACGGGCCTGTGTCATGTCTGCATGTTCGTCGAGAGCGTACCGTGCAGCGCCGATCCACAGTGCTGCCTCTGTGGGGTGGAGGCGCAAAACATTGGTGAAGATTTGCGCTAGCTTTTTATGCGCGCGCTGTTTTCGGGCATAATCGATGTACTGCATCCACAGGCCAATATCACCGTGGAATTTCCGTGTTGCCCGGTCGAGAATGAAAAATATTCTTCTTTGCCCTGAATGCGCCGGCGCCTTGATCCCTAGGCGTTTTACTCTCTTCCGCCGAAGAGAGTCCAGGTTCATCTCGTATTCGGCATAGCGAGCAAAGTCTACAGGTGACGGAGCACGCGCATTGATCTTATGTTCGAATTCGGATCGTTTCTTCGTGATCGATGCGATCTCATCCTGGAGAGGCATTTGGTAAGTAAGGTTTGCACGGCTCTGCTTGGATTCAGCATGGGGAGCTGACCTTGGAAAAGATCTTTTTGTTTTCATACTCCTTCAGCTCTGGGATCGACTGCTCGAGATAGAATCGAGCTTTGTCGCTCGCTGCCGCCATGACTGACTCTGTCACCCGCAAGTCAAGAGCTTCTCCCGCACTCTATCGCTGTTTTTTTCGGCTGGCCGTTTCGCTGCGCCCCGGAAGACCTGAAGAAACATTAGGTAAAGTTGTGCATGTGCCGGAGCGGAACAACATGGCATTCCGAACCTATATCGGGCCTAGGCTCTTTTCCCGCTGGCTTTGGCCCTTTTTCTCCCCGTTCGCGTGCTCCACGACAAGACCCCTTCCAATAATCCCGGAAGCTCACGGAGCCATTGGGGTCCAAAGGCCTTTTCAGCTCGTTTCTGCTTCTCGACGCTCTTTTCATTTTCTCCTGTATTTTATTTTAATAGAGTCTTAATATATGTCGTTCCTCCTAGCCTGAATCCGCTCCTTTACCATCTCTCTATCGCAATGGGTTCCAAATTCAGGGACGGGGACACGGTCCTCTCCGTGAGTGCTGACTATCGTCGCAACATTCCAACATCTCGATCGCGCTGACCTGTGTAGATTAATGGAAAATGGGTCTCTTGGGCACATACAGCCGTGGCCTATTCGGCCTTCGTCGGCGCCTTGATTGTCGGATTGTGTCTTCACTTCCATAAGATTGTTGAAAACGAGTACTACGGATACCCTCAGGAATGGTTTCCATCTGTCTCTGCCACCATCGGCGATCGCTACCCCGAGCGATCAGTTTTTCAGGTGTTCATTGCGATTACATCCGGTCCTCGATTTGCCCTCGTGTTCCTGTGGTATCTCCTGACCTCTCGGCCCAACTCCTCGCTCCCCAAGATTGTCGCTGGCACGGGGCTCTTCAGAACCTTGACATGCGGCGGCTGGACCTACGTTACGTCGACCGACGACCACGATTGGCACGATATCTTTATGATTTCATACCTCATAGCCACGCTCCCGTGGACGCTGGGGTGTCTCGCGCTTAGTCCAAACAACAAAAAGGCCTTGAAATATCGCAAGATGCTTGCCGGTCTCTTTTTCGGTACTCTCGTTCCTTTAGTCTATTATTTCATTCAGCATAAAGTTCACAAGGTCCCCGGCGGTAAGTATTGTCTTGAGAATCAGTGCGATCGCGGCATGGTGTTTAGGCTAATTTTGGAGCAGCATACACTAAATATGCTTTCTTCGAATGGTCGCTCATCCTGTTCGATGTTGGATTCGATGCGGTGACCGCCCTTGACTTTGAAGGTTTTGAGCTTGTAGTCAAAGATGTCAAAGGTGTAAGCAGAGGGTATGTCCAACGGCTTCCGAAATAAGACAAAAAAAATGTACTTTCGCTGCATGCGCCTTGGGTAGTGGAACTAGTTCTAAGTAAATGGGCAGATCTACCAAAACAGCCAGAGATGCCGTGCTCGAAGAACAGTATGCCATATTCCATCACACCTGATGCCAAAACCGTCACTGATCAATTTCATAGAAAGGATATTTCAGTTCGACAGTCCCTTGGCGAGGGCTTCCTATTTTCCGAGGCCATTGACGCTGCAGCGGACGTCTATAATGGGGTAGGTGACATGGAGATACCCTGGTCCATGACACTCCAAAATCTAATCTCCACTTTAGTTCGTGTTCTGGTCTATCCTTACATCCCTTGGTGTCTTGGTGTGGTGTAAGTAATTCCCTCCCCGCGGACTGAGTTCCAACGACTCTTTCTAATTGCCAATTCAGATTTCCCCTTGTGGAAGATGGGCATATCAGGTTATGAAGCCCTTGTGATGAGCACCATTTCACCATTTTTGCTGGCCATTCCTTCGTTGCGATCGTTTGCGATGAGAAGCCCCAGGGTTCTACATCTGTTAACTCTCTCTGGCCTTCTTGCATACCTTGCCCGTAATCCAGCTTATCGACTTTTCATTGTTGGATTTGCCGTGTCCATGGGTTGCCTGGCATGGAGCGCGACATGGTATTCGGAACGTACCCAACCGGCGCGTCTGGAGGCTCGAATCGTCGCCTGGACTGTTGGATTGCTTGCATCTAGTGTTGCCAAGTATGCCTTCCACACTAATAATCCAGTATGGCCCATTCTTCATCCTGGAAACGGTGGATGGAATAAAACTGCATTTGTGCTTGCTGTGCTTTCAGTATTGCGATCGACTCGGCCCAAGAATACCGTTGATTATTTTTCGTCGAACGGGAAGAAGGGGCCGTCTCTACTCGCCGCCCTGGGCCTCGGCGGCCTCTTTTTCGCCATGCACTCACTTCTGTCGGACTCTAGCACCATGATATCCTGGGTGTGGGAGGGATTCCCAATCAGAGGCCCAATTGCAGTGCCACACGGCTCTATTACTATCCTCACAATGGGACTTGGCGTAATCCTAGGCTTGTCTTATCCTCGTCTGTCTGGCAGTTGGACCGCTTTCGGCCTAGGCTCGCTCGGTGCGGCCATGTTGACCTGTTACTCCCATTGGCGAGGCTTCTACGGAGCGATTACTCTATCCACGTACCTTATGGCTGTCGCGCCGGTCCTGATTAAGTCTGCTGTCAGGCATTCTCCTGCGATGACCTTTGGTCTCGGGTTCCTTATTTACAATTTCATGGTCCTCTTCCATGTCTGGGTGGTCGCATATGCCTTTGTTCCAGGAGGCCCGCTTGTACGAGAGCATACGGATTGGGTCATGGCTACCACAATGCTTCTCATCGGAGCTGGAGTTTTCTCGGCTTCAGTTTCAAACTCGTCACCTTATAAGAACAAGAAAGCGACTTCTTCCAACAAAAAGCAACGGTCGTACTACTATTATGTTGTCGCCGTCTTGCAGATAGTTTCCATCGCTACGTCTTTTATGCGGTTTCCAACAAATGACTATACCCCTCACCATAAGGACGAGAAACTCGTTACTGCAGGAATCTGGACTGTCCATTTCTCTCTGGACAACGCTATGTGGTCGTCAGAGAAGCGCATGCGTGATCTGATTAAGGAGCTGGAACTCGATGTTGTAGGCTTGCTGGAATCGGACCTTCAAAGGATTATCATGGGCAATAGAGATACAACCCAGTATCTTGCCGAAGACCTAGGGATGTATGTTGATTACGGACCCGGTCCCAACAAACACACGTGGGGATGCGCCCTGCTATCCAAGTTCCCTATTCTTAATTCGACCCATCATCTGTTACCTTCTCCGGTCGGCGAGCTTGCGCCAGCCATCCATGCCACTTTAGATATGTATGGAGAACTTGTCGACGTCGTCGTTTTCCATTCCGGCCAAGAAGAGGACCCCGAGGACCGAAGGCTCCAAACAGAGTACTTGTCCAAGTTGATGGGAGAGTCACCGAGACCGCTGATTCTACTCAGCTATCTCGTCACCAAACCACTGGAAGGTAATTACAAAACTTATGTTAGTGAACTCAGTGGAATGAAGGATATCGATGCCAGCGATTGGGACCGGTGGTGCGAGTATATTCTCTACAAAAACATTCGCAGGGTTGGATACGCCAGAGTGAGCCGCGACTCCATTACGGATACCGAGCTACAGGTATGAAATCCCCGGCCCTTTCCCTCTTGTTTTCGTGCATTTTGGTACTAACGATGTTGTATATAGGTCGGAAAGTTTGTCGTCGGGCAGCCAGAAGGCACGAGCGAGCGAATTCCCGAAGAACAAGTCCCCGTTGGAATGCGGTTCCCTGCAATGTTCCGCGACCAAGGTGTTCGTGGGCATCGGTATCACGTTTTCGATGAGCCAAGATACTATAATTAGACGTCCTTTTGAATTTCTTTTCCTTTGCGGTTGAACCTGAAAGGAGCTGTTTTTAATTCGACTTCCGGGTTTATATTCTTCTCGAGGAGGTTTCCTTTGCATTTGAACTTTCTCACAACCAATGTACAGTACATACATCGATATCATCGCCGTTAGTGAATAGGTCTCCAGTTAATGATTTTTACGCACACCACGTTCCCATGCTATAATCGACATGCCTTGTCATGTCTTGGCATTCAACTCCAACTCCGCCCAAACATCCACTGATGACGACCGTTGCAGGCAAAAAGTAACGTGTTATGGGACCGGAGCCACTACCATCGTTCTCTGCACAGAGAATCCGCACGATTTATCACGTGCAGCCAACCAAAGTTGCTGGTTCCTTGGAAATCGCGGGCGATCTCTAACGTCATTGCTCGCCCATGCTTGGAACTGGAACTCAAGGGAGAGGTACGGGGCACGTACATGCTTTCTGTTAAATAGATGGCGATCCCCTCTCACTCGAGATCACAGCATAAGTATCGTCGCCAGGGTCGATTCTCGAGGGCATTCATCGATTGCAATATCTATTACTTGCTTCAATTCGCTGAAGAAATCCTCTACAGGCATCTTTTTGGATATTTTACAAGTCCTTTCTAGATATACTCTAGTATAATCATGGCGGCCAAGTCACGTTTGCCTCTGTGGATAGGCTTGGGTGTCGCCGGTGCAGGTGGTTACTATCTGTACTCTGCCGGCGGAGATCCAAGGAAGGCTACGCGAAAGTTCGAAGGTGGGTGAACTCGATGAAAAGAATGCGCAAGCCACGAGCTATACGAACATCTACTTTGGATGCTAATTTGTGCACTTCGATCTTTATAGAGGATGCCTCGCGGGCGAAGCACAAAATTAGAGGCGATCTTCATAAAGATGCGGAAGATATCGGTGCCCAAGCCGGTGCACGGGTTGATGAAGGGGTAAGCACATGCGGTCCCCCGCTCTCGATCCTCAAAGAAACTCAGTTTTAACGTGTCGATTGAAATAGGTCGACAAGGCGCGAGATACTGCAAAGCGTATAGACCAACGGGCCACGGGCTATGCGAAGGAAAAAGCCAGTGAACTCGAGAAAGCTCGTCAGGATACTGCAAGAGACTTTCACGAGAAGATCGACAGTCTAGAACGGGATGTCGAGAAGAAAGCCGAAGAAGCAAAGAGCGGCGTCTCATCTTGGTTTGGTGGCGGCAAGAAATAAAATACTTGGACTGGGCCACAAGTGGATAAATGGGATGGATGTGTATAGAGACCAAATTACTGTTGAATTTCGCCTCCGGGCATGTGGTGCTACGAATTCCTCAGCGTGCTACTCTGTCACGGCTGGAGAGCCTTTGTTTGGAGGTATTGTAAAATTAACGACCTCCAATATCAACCGTTATAAAAGCAGTGAGCTGCGGATGTCGTTTGCTTTTGCATGTGGTAACTGCTTATCCTTTTTTACTTTTTCCCTTCCGCTTGCAAATTGGAACGGGTGTTATGAAATCGACTACGGAGTTCTTTAAATATATTCAATTCTCACGGAATGTGATCAAACACTATTCGCCGTTTTTGCTTTTTTGCCTTGAGTGATTCTTGCTGCTGCCGGTTTGTCCTGCTGCTCGAGTGACGTCACCGTCATTACCACTCTGACTAATTTTTTGTGGCAGTTAAAGGAAGTTCCTGCCACATGTGGCTTGACCGTCTGAAGCAGCGTTGATTGGCCAGATCGAACGGCACTCGCACGCGTGACGCGAACCCGCCGCGCGTCAGAAATTCAATTAACGCGAGTCGCCGCGCCTGAACACAGCGAAGCTCGAAAGGCACATCCGATGCATTGCAATGTCCCTTTTCTCACACTCAATCGGTTATCACTTCCATATATAACAAGAGTATATTTTATCACAAGCCGGCTTACAGGAGAAGGAGGCGACCATGTCCTCGAGAACTTTGCGCAGTCGCGCCGCGAAACCGGCGCAATCTCTCCTTCCGCCAGCAAAGACGACGCAGGCAGGAATCAAGGGATTTACGCGGACAGCAAAAGCCGGCGTTGGGGCAGCGGCGGTTGCGGGCAAAGTTGGCAGCTCTTCTTTGAAACGGAAGCTGCAGGATGCGGATATCGAAGAAATTACGACGACCAAGGCGCCCGTTAAAGAACGGAAGACTTTGAAACCCGGAAAGACCGTCTCGAAGCTTTTATATAAACCTAGCGCTTCCGCCAGCGTTCCCAAAGAGGAGGCAGAGTCGATTGAACTCCATCTTGATCATGACGCTCCGGCTAGCAAAACCGATGAACCTGTCCGTGAAACAACACAGGCAAGCCCTCATACCGAACACGAACAGCAATCCGAATATTACCAACCCCCCCGGTCATATAATGAACTTACCAACCTATACTCTTCCTTCCTCAAAGCATTATCGCTACATCTTGCACACAATGGAGTTACGGCAGCAGCAGATCTTAGAGAATTTCTGCCCAATATGGAACGGGTGTGGAAGAGACGAAGAGTTGTCACGGAAGATATTCAAAGGCTATTGTATGTGGAAAATAGTGGAACCAACAAAAGCGCCAGTTTTAGACTCATTGATTACGGATCGAGAATCCTGCTTGAAAGGATACGGGCGGATGATGCTACGATTCCGGGGCATGCTTTGGATGAGGATGAGCTAAATGCGAACTTTGGAAGAAGCTTGACACGCATCTTGTCCGAAAAAAGAAGTGCAGTATCTGATTTTGACTGCATGCGAGACCTCCCCCTGGCGCCGATTTACAAGATCCCAAAGACCTTCCTTTCGATCAAAAAACAAAAAGCGTCCAATATACGGCGTGAAATAGTCGGCCTAAAGACACCAGATACAGTGGCTAATGTCAAGGAGACGACTCCCGTTCGTAAATCGTGTACAACTGAGCGGCGGAACGGCCTCTTAGAAAGAATTAGACAAAAGGCACTGCGGCAGTCTACGTTGGCCCCGCCAATATCCAAAGAGACTGTTATGCGAAGGGCGGCTGCTGCCCGCATCCCAGATATTGTCGGCGTGCTCCTTCTACTGGCACCCTCTGCATCTACGGGCTTGGATATGTCTCCTTCGCATGCAAAAAAAGCCTACAAGTTGGATACGATCGTTCAAAATATTCAAGACTCGATGCATAATCCCGTTTCCAAAGACGAGGTCTCAACGGGTTTGGATATCCTGTCCCGTCCGGAAATTTCAGGGGACTGGGTCACAATCATGTCTGTCAACTCGATAAAATCGGTGATTTTGAGACCGTCAAGGAATGTATCTCCGCAGGAAATAAAGGATAAGGTCAAAAAATTAAAGCTGTGAAATCTAGGCACAGCGTTGTCTATAAATCTTTCTTTTTCCCAAGCATAGCAGTATGCTTTTGGTCGGATGGCTTTCTACTTCGAATGATTTGCATAAGCGAAGGCGTCTTGGATATAGTTAACTGCTTTGGCTCGAGATAGATTAGTTATATTGTCGGATATCAGCATGCGAGCATAGCTGTTACGATCGCTATAGAACAATAAACAAGCGTTGCATTTTAACATGCCTCAACCAACTACATGCTGAGCCGAAAAAAAAAAGAAAAAGAAGATTTCCATTGGTTCTCTCCCGCGTGCAAATATCCCTTTTTTGTCCCAGCTCAACACCAATTCACGTGACCACTTTACGCGTCGAGGTCGCGTCTATCAGCTTCCTTCAAATCAAGATCGGGCGACGGCTTGACGGACGCAACATCGAGACCAGGGTTCACTGAGGAGGGAAAAATGTCGTCCAGGCCGGAGCTTAAGGTCAGTCATATGTTAGTATATTCTTAAAGTCTATCATCTCACGCCTGTCTAGGTCGACGACGAAGTCGGTTTCATTCGATTCTTCCACTCGCTACCATCAAAGGATGACTCTACAACCGTTCGAGTTTTCGACCGCGGCGACTGGTATACAGCTCATGGCACTGATGCGGAGTATATCGCTCGCACGGTCTACAAGACCACTTCTGTCCTCCGGACGCTCGGGCGGAGCGATACAAGCGGATTGCCCTCCGTCACGATGACGGTGACAGTGTTCCGGAATTTTCTTCGAGAAGCTCTCTTCCGTTTAAGTAAGAGGATAGAGATATGGTCGTCTCAAGGTGGAATGGGTAAGGGAGTTTGGAAACTGGTCAAGCAAGCAAGCCCTGGGAATTTGCAGGATGTCGAAGATGAGCTGGGTTCTGGTGGTGGGATGATGGATACAGCACCGATCATCCTTGCCGTTAAGATCTCTGCGAGAGCGTCTGAGACTAGGCATGTTGGCGTTTGCTTTGCAGATGCGAGTGTTCGGGAGTTGGGTGTCAGCGAGTTTGATGACAATGATCTATATTCAAATTTTGAGTCTTTGGTCATTCAGCTCGGGGTTAAAGAGTGTTTGGTCACTACGGATGGGCAGAAAAAGGACGTTGAGCTCGCGAAGATAAGATCAATTGCGGATAGCTGCGGGATCGCGATTTCGAGCAGGCCGGCTTCTGATTTCCACACGAGAGATATTGATCAAGATTTGTCGAGGCTACTGAAAGGTGAACGTACCGCCGGAACTTTACCACAAACTGATCTCAAGCTGGCTATGGGCGCCGCGGCTGCCTTGATTAAATATCTTGGTGCTATGTCGGATCCGTCTAACTTTGGCCAGTATCAACTTTATCAACATGATCTCTCCCAGTATATGAAGCTGGACTCCGCTGCACTGAGAGCGCTGAATTTAATGCCAGGCCCGCGTGATGGTGTGAAAAGTATGAGTTTGTATGGGCTTTTGAATCATTGCAAAACCCCTGTGGGCGGGCGGCTACTTGCCCAGTGGCTGAAGCAGCCTTTGATGAACCATGAAGATATTGAAAAAAGGCAGCAACTCGTCGAAGCGTTTGTCTCAGACACTGAACTAAGGCAAACAATGCAGGAAGACCACCTCAGATCCATCCCTGATCTCTACAGATTGGCGAAGAAGTTTCAACGAAACGCTGCAACCCTTGAAGATGTTGTCAGGATTTACCAAGTTGTCATACGGCTGCCAGGATTTATTAACACCCTTGAGGCTGTCATGGATGAGCAGTATCAAGAGCCGTTGGAAGAAGAGTATACTTCGAAAATCCGCAATCTTTCAAACAGCTTTGGCAAATTGGCGGAAATGGTGGAGACAACAGTCGACTTGGAAGCTCTAGATCATCATGAGTTTATTATTAAACCCGAGTTCGATGAGAGTCTGCGGATAATCAGGAAAAAGTTAGACAAACTGAGGTACGATATGGACGCTGAGCATAGACGTGTGGGCCGTGATTTGAATCAAGATACCGAGAAGAAACTGTTCCTCGAGGACCATCGGGTTCATGGATGGTGTTTTCGATTAACCCGAAACGTATGTCAAGGATCTACTTGTTTCCGTTTAATCGATAGCTAACTCTGTAACAGGAAGCGGGCTGTATACGCAACAAGCGGGAGTACCAGGAGTGCTCAACCCAGAAGAACGGCGTCTACTTCACAACATCTACAATGCAATCTCTTCGGCGAGAACATGACCAGTTATCTCAAAATTATAACCGGACGCAAACCGGTTTGGTTAACGAAGTTGTCAACGTCGCAGCATCGTATTGCCCTTTGCTTGAACAGCTTGCAGGCGTGCTGGCACATCTCGACGTCATCGTCAGCTTCGCTCATGTTTCAGTCCACGCTCCTACTCCGTACGTTCGACCAAAAGTCCATCCTCGTGGGACCGGCAATACTATCCTTAAAGAAGCCCGTCATCCGTGCATGGAAATGCAAGATGATATCTCTTTTATCACTAATGATGTTTCCCTCGTTCGTAACGAATCCTCCTTTCTTATAATCACCGGTCCTAATATGGGCGGTAAGTCCACCTATATCAGGCAGATTGGTGTGGTTGCGCTCATGGCCCAAACTGGCTGCTTTGTGCCGTGCTCTGAAGCGGAGCTCACGATATTTGACTGTATCCTGGCTCGTGTTGGAGCAAGTGATTCCCAGCTCAAGGGCGTCTCAACGTTTATGGCCGAAATGCTCGAGACCGCAAATATTCTGAAAACAGCAACATCGGAATCGTTGATAATAATTGACGAGCTCGGTCGTGGGACAAGTACATATGACGGATTTGGGCTTGCTTGGGCAATATCCGAGCACATAATTACTGAGATTCGATGTTTCGGCCTCTTCGCAACCCACTTCCATGAATTGACGGCCCTTGAGGAACGATATCCCAACTCGGTCAAGAACCTTCACGTCGTTGCATTCATCGGGGACAATGTAAGCGACAAGCAGAATAATACAGCGAGCAAGAAGAAACGAGAAGTTACCCTGTTATACCGAGTAGAGCCAGGGGTCTGCGATCAGTCGTTTGGGATCCACGTGGCCGAATTGGTTCGCTTCCCGGAGAAAGTCGTCAATATGGCGCGTCAGAAAGCTGAAGAGTTGGAAGACTTCACGACAGCAGCTGAAAAGGGTGAGAATTCCATGGATATCGACAAGTATTCCGCCGAGGAGGTGGCAGAAGGAAGTTCTCTGCTCAAGGCCATGCTTGTCAAATGGAAAGCCCAGCTGGAAGCTCCTGGCAATGAGAATATGACGGTGGAAGAGAAGAGACAATTAATGAGGGATCTAGTTGAGGCGGATGGCAGACTAAAGGCCAATAAAGTCTTTCAAGGGATCAATGCTTTGTGAGAGCGCAGAGGGAAATGCTGTGCGTTGTTCCAGATGACCTGGAGATCTAGTCGGAGGAGTATGGAGTTCGTTGGTCTGGGTGGCTGTAATAGTTATATGTGCTTGAAGATACCATGGCCAGTGCCTTTAATCGACGCCAAATCCATAGTAAATTTCCTACAAGCGACTACTAACTGGTTATCCTCTGCTTCAACCAGACGTAGCCCAAAGCATCGACGAAGATCCTGTAGGGGTTGCCGGCGGCCTCTCATTGGCCGATCCCTTGCCTCCCAAGAAGCTCGCCAGCCGCTCCTTTAGCGAAAGTCACCCTTGTTGTCTTCGGCCGGCAGCTTCAAACCGCAAACTGCTTTGAGCGGCATTGCCGTGTGAATATTTCCACTGTCTTGGCCTAAAAACAATTTCTCCGAGCATGCGCACCGTCGTCCCTGATTCATGCACCCTTTCTCGGTCTTCGCGTTCAGCATCTTCGTAGCTGGTTACATCACCGCGAGGTGGGATCTTGTCACCAGGCTTTACGAATTGGCAATATTTGCCTGGGATCACGGTGTTGTGGTATGTCTCTTCCGGTCTTGATGTTTGGTTTCTGCCCTGTAGCTAAATAGGATTTTGAGCACTAGACCCGCGCAGCGAAAGGCTTCGTCGTCCTCTCCGTATTCTACTTCCTACTCCTGATCCCCATCAACGCAATTGTCACGCAGGAGATAAATTGGGTAGTTATAGTCCTGTCAATGCGAGAGTACTGGCTTTTTTTCTTACCACTGCACTAGCACCCTCGATCTGTGAGCCACGGAATATCCGCTAGAGAACAGTTGCGACGGCGAGGCTCGTTTTAAGCGAAGGGAATAATGACAGCATGGTTATGAATGATGGTTTGCTGCGCGTGTTCTGGCCGTACGAATTTGCCAAATCCACTGCTCCCGGTGTAATTGTGGGCTGGAGAAACTCCGAGTTTGACCTCTTCGTGGTCTCCGTGTTAGAACATGTCGAGGTACGTTGGCTGGTTCACCTGCGAGGCGAAAAAGTTGTCTAAGCGACCACCCCGGTACACTAGGCACGGAATGTCGACAATGCGCTGCGGACAGGTATACTGTATCGCAGCAGCCCGCATCCAATTTCACGGCTGTTGCATATCTGTGGGAAATCCGCGATGCACGTCCTAGGCTCTACGAATGCGGCAGAAATCCCCACGGCGTTCACTCCGTCCCATCTTTACGCCGTGACGAATCATTCGTCGAAATTACCTCGTATATACTGCCCACCAGAGACGAAGCTCGCGATCCAGGTTATCATGTTCCACCGTCCTCATCCCACGCGCATGCAGTACATGTCTCCCTTTCCGATGTCTCTTGTGCTAGGCGATAAACGTGCGACCGTCGACACGGCCAGTGGTGCTTTAGGCGACGTTGATGCAGCTGAAGAAGCGGCCAAAGTTCAATCCGCGAAACTCATCAATAAGCTACGTTTGCACACCGTGGTCAAACACTTCCCTACGCCGAAGGAACAGTCTCTCCCAGTAATTATCAACCAAATAAACTGTGCCTTCGAGGTGGACAGGTTGCTTCAGAAGAATATCGGACTGATTGGAACTCGTCCCAAGCGAAGTTTAAGTGTTGGAGAACGAGTGGTAGAGTCAGCAACGACTGCCTGGGATCTATTTGTTATGGGGCTATCTTATGTATTCACAGTGTGGATTTACCCGATCATCAAGCAAGGGCTTATTACAGGGATTATAGTGCATCGTGTTATCGCCGAGGTCGTATTAACAGTCCTAGAGTGGCGCGCTCGACCAGACGCAGCCGCTTTGAAGGACATCTCCGCTACCGCCCAGCAAATAGACATTCGGCTGCAGCAGTTTTGCTATTGGCCAATACAATACTTGACCTTGCGCAAGCGGAAAAACGATTGGGAAAGCGTTACGCATAGCCATCCTGATTATATCAGGTTCTACAACAGCCTGTGGCTGGTCGCAAATGATGTGATCATTGGGATTGCACTCGGCTCATACCTTATTGATAACGCCGACTGGGTTGCGTCGCAGATGAATTCTATTCTCAACGGGTCGACTGTGGAAGGTCTCCAGCAAACAATCTCCTGGCTGATGGACTGGCCGGCGGGCTTGAAGCTCAACAATGAACTGGCGGCGTTTCTGGGGGATTTGTTTCTATGGGTCATAGAGCATTGGGCCAGTAAGTCACTCATCGGTTCTTCCTCCGCCGTACTGTAGCTCATCCATTATTTGTTATAGGCGCACTCGTCAGTTTGCGCCCATTTCTTCGTCATGTCGTCTACATGATCGGTTGTTCCGGCTTTGCCGGAGCAAGCATGGCCCTCGCGATGTTTTCCGATCTCCTATCGCTCTTCACTATCCACATCTACTCTTTCTACACGGCCTCTGCGCGCATATTTCATTGGCAGTTGACAATTATAATATCCCTCTTCCACCTCTTCCGCGGCCGAAAAAGAAATGTGCTACGTAACCGAATAGATTCATGCGACTACGAACTCGATCAATTACTTCTCGGGACGATTCTGTTCACACTGCTGTTTTTCTTACTGCCTACTATACTTGTATTCTATATTACTTTTGCTTCTGCCCGTATGGCTATAATATCGCTCAAGGCGACGCTGGATACGTGCCTTGCTATGTTGAATCATTTCCCCCTATTTGCCCTGATGCTACGGCTTAAGGATCCTAGGAGATTGCCTGGTGAGTGGATTTCTTTAGATTTCTCTCAGCTCATGGCCTTTTTCTAACACACCACAAAATAGGAGGTATCAAATTCGAGCTTCGCAAGCAAAGTACACCTAATTCAGATGACATTTTCCGCTGCGCGCCAACTTCGTACATTAATCTCCAGGTAGGTATCCCTTAGCTATCTCGCGTCAATCAAATGCCATTTCCTTCAACTGATATAAAAACCAACTAACACCGCCACACCATAAACAGTCCGTTCCTCTTTCTCTCCGTTCCATGTTCGAGCAGTACTTCCAACTTGGCCACCGTCTCCGTAAGCATTATTTGTCTCCGCGTGTTATCCTCTGCCTGGTAACCGGTCGATTCGTGCCGCCAATTCACCGCCGAAACATGTATAGTTTGCAGTATAGCATGCTGCCCGCTCGGCGAGTTGGCATTAGCGAGATATGGTCAAGGTTGATGGAAAGGAGCCATACGGCGCGAACGGGTGCAGGTAGAAGGATGCCTGGAGTTGTAGGCGCGGGAGGCGGGTTATCTCGAGTTTCGAACGGGTTTGTGAATTTGGAGAGGAGGAGGAATAGAGGATAAACAGATCTTAAGATCTTTTTAAATAGTTACGCCAAAATCGGCGCCAATGGTGTTTACAAAGAAAAAAAAAATAAAAATATGTTAATCAGCATGTAGTCGTATTCCAGTTATCGAGAGGATTGCAGGTCCTATGTATTTGTCACGGTACGCTCTGCCTTTAAACTCCGATCTCCAAGTGATATTAAGGTATAATGTCTGGCTGGGGAAATTTGCTGGGTTTTGATTGACATAAATGTTTGCCCTTGTATTTGAGACGCCTGATGGCGATGTTGATATTTTTTCATAATCCTCCCAGAAAGAAGTGATCGATTTCGCCGTTGTTATAATATGGTAGGAGTTTTGAAACCAGTAACATTATGAAGTTATGCTGGGTATCGCTGCAGAGAACCATGGGAATCCCCAAGAGCTCTCAACGCGCGATTCCTAGTGATAGAGCGGCTATGCGGCATAGACATCCCACCCATTGGAACGTCTCTTGGTGATCTTGGCGATTGTGGTCCTTCCAGTAGACCCCGGGGGCTGTTTGCAGTAGGCGGGCTCCTAGCAATATCCTGGATTGAGCGTTGAGAGCTAGACGACTGGGGGAGAGCCAATGGCTGTAGAAGACCATAACTTCCAATAGTAACGCCTCACCGGCGCAGGGCATCTCTTGAAGGGAGTTCGCAAATGCGGTCGACTTCTTTGTCAGCTGTAGTGTAATCGCCTGGCAATGTAGCTAGGCTTCGGTGATGTCCAGCTCCTGTAGCTTCCAGTCTTCGGAGTACTGCACTATTAATGTTATTGGCGAACTTATCCCAATCCTTGTAGATGTTTAAGGTATGGCGAAGCTTTTGGGCGGCCCAGAGGCTCTCCACTTTTGGCCAAATGGCGTCGATCCTGTCAATGCCCCATGTAGCAACAAGCCTATCCTTGATCTTCTGCATGTCAATGCGGCGTCGTTCAACATCCAGGGTAACTTTTCGGGCATCGTGAAAGTCGGCTTCGAAGTTAGCGTATGTAACATGTTGCCAATCTCTGGATTTTTCGACATATTGATAGAAGTGGGCCACTAAGTCAGTAACCACATCAGTGACCCTCATAAGGGCATTCATTAGCTCCAGCTGTAGGCCATAACGACGGGGCGGAGCTTGGCTGTCGATACACTCCATAGCTGCGGTCAAGCTATTGAAGAAGTGGCCATCTAAATTGACCCCACTGTCTCTGGTAATAACCAGACCTTGGTTTTCGGGGGCTGTCGTCAAAGGAGGCAAGTTGCTTCGTCCAGCCATGTTGTCAAAGGATATTGGTGATCCACAAAGATATTGAGAGTATCATAAGAGAACACACGAAGATATAGCAACAAAGCTTCAATATTCGCTAGCTAATTCCTTACTGCGCATCTTTGACCCATGCCCGCGGAGATGCACTCTGCGAAGACTATGTTGCCATAGCCTTGCTGAGCTCTCTTGCAGGCAGAGCACTCCTGTCCTGGTGGTGGCTGGGCCCCAGCTCTAGTCACGAGGATCCCCTCGCGGAGCTGGGCGCGAACAGCCAACTGGTTTGGATTGTCCAAACCAGCAATGAGCACGGGCCTTTGGATAGGCCCGCGACACCATGCCCTTTCGCGGGCGGACAAAGCTTGTGCCCCCGTATGGGGTGGAACGCCTGGGAGGGCCACCGGGTTGGCCCGCGAAGTCCCAGCGAAGAAGGCGGCTGGGGGTAACAGGGTGAAGGTGGTCTGGGACCACCATTGTTGATCTCGCGGGGGGGCCGCTAGGCGATCCCAAGCACCCCGCGGGACTACAGCACCCACAAATCCTGCCGGGGCAGGGGGAACGGCAACAACAACCTAGAGAAGGTTAGCCGCGAACTGAAATGTGATAGAGGATACTCACATTACCGGCCGGGGCTGGAGGAACAACAACCGCGGGGGGTGAAGGCATGACAGGACCCTAACCCCACCAGCACACAAGCCAATGTCAGCTCGCGGAAGGCATTTACAGCTTTGGGGGAGGAGCAGCAACGCCCTAGAACTGTCAGTCGCGAGCACATCTCAACTTCTCAAGACTACTCACCGAAGGCCCAAACATCTCAACCGCGAAGGTTGGGGGGAGTTGGGGTCCTCCCTAGGGAGGAGAGCGGGGAGGAGTCGCGAGAAGGTGGGGAGGGGGAACGCGAGCCGGCACGGGCAACTAGCAAGCATCAGCCTCATCCGCGAACGCCCTTTTCATCTGATAAAGGCTTCGCGGCCCTCCTCAGTCATGAAGGCATTGGCGTCTCTCCTCATCTCTCTTCGCGCGTGCCTGCTTAACCTTGCTCCTTCGCGAGCATCACCCTCAGTTGGTTTGCAGTCTCGCGACCCTCCGTGTCATCTAGACCAGCCTCCTTGGCATAATCAGGTCTCCGCGAGGGTCCATCTGCCGGGTTCGTTAAACCATAAACGTGACAGAGAAATATCAACACGTCGCCCGGATTTCGAAGAATCCTCCAGTATTCCCGACACCGAACATCTTCGACAATGACAAAATCCCCATAGAAATATGAGGCTGCATCCGTCGTCAAGGGCGAAAAAAGTCGCTGCAGTTAAGGCAACCGAGGCTCCAGGGTTCCGGTGTATTATGATTGTCTGTGCCGTTGCGGCTCATATCAATCCGATGGATGATGAGAATTGTCTTCGCTCCCGAAACGCGATGTAAGTGCGTCCTCATCTGTTTTTTCTTGTTGTTCTGACATGGGAAACTGTAAACGCCACCACGTCACAAAACCAGGAAACTAACGACGATAGGGTGTACCACGAGGACGCCCCAAGCGCGGCCGCGAGGGAGGCGAGCCAGCCAAAGTTGAATGACGCTCAGGGGCCGCAGGAACATGCGGCACGACCACAGAAGGCACCATGACAGATGGCGCAGCAGCAGACATAGACGAAACACCTGGGGCAACATCAGAAAAACAACAAAGGGCACAGAGCTCTCGCACGACATCACGGAAACCGGAGGTAACAGCATCAGTTAAATTATCGATAGAAGACGTAACATTGGCCTACGCAGAAGTTAGTCTGAGAACAAGTAAAGACAATGAAGCAGACCTACGAAACCAGTTTCTGCGGTGCCTTGAAGATCTTTCATCTCACTCGTCAGACGAGTGGTAAGATGGCTGATCGAAGCGTGAATGTTTCCAATTTTGTTTTGAACCCGAGACAAAACGGCACGAACTGGGGTCGGCGGATGAAGGAATTTGGATGGACCATCCTTAATGGATTCGGTTTCGGACACAAGGTCCACGGTCTTGGCTTCACGACGTGAGGTAGGACGACGACGTTTTGAAGAAGGTCCTTCGAGGACAGAAGTGGCTTGACGACGACGAAGTTTCGCAGCTCCGGAATCGAGACCACGAAACTCTTGTACAAGGATACTCATACACTTCATGTTATAAGGACGACGCGGATCAGCAGCGTCGAAAGTATGATATTCCTCACGAAGACGTAGAAGCCTACGGACGACATCAATGGCGGACTCTGGGACCTATAGCCATGTATTCATTTGCCTTGGAGGGGGTGTCTGCTTCATTATAGGGTCTGTCGTAGAGAGTTTATTACAATCACCTGGTTCTTCAGCGGTCAAGGTTAGAGATCCTTGGATCATGCTGACTCCTCTTCCAGTAGTAATGGCATCGGGAATATTAACATCTATATGGCGAAATCCCGTCTCGTCTCCTGGTTTGGCGTACTTGGCGTAGGTAGGGGTAAGAGATCAATTTCCAGGCATGGTCTGGCCTTGTGAGTACGTGCCACGAAATCTTTCTGTACAATCCTCATCGATGGCTGCGACTGTGAGCTGGCGATGTAGTCCCCGATGAACCGGACTCTGACATGGATCCTTAGATTAATTGATATGTGGAGGGATAAGACTCGTCCGGCGCTATGGTCGTTTGGTACATTGCAGGAACCATAGGGTGGGAAGACCACGAAGAGTGCGTGGTATCGTGCCAGAATGCCGGATCTGGAATCTGCTGGTGTACCGCGAAAGGGGTCTGAGTGGCCTCCATGGCAGACTGCACATGGGGATCAAACATCGCGGAAGATGACACCCGTTGGTGAAGATCGGCTGTAGCTGGTGAAGCAAGATGTGGAGGAGAAGGAGGAGGAGCAAGCAGCTGGTTGGCTGCTGCTGACTCTGTCGAGACTCCAGGAGAGCGAGTTTGCAGGGATTGCTCTCCCTAGTGGGCCCGTCTGTTTCCAACGAAACCCTGAACGGGTTTCTCTTGAGCTGCCTCGCCCACCGATTCCTAGCATCCCCAGGGATAGCCGTGGCATCGAATTCCCTATTGTACACGGATATGATTTCTTGCTGGGACATCCGCGTCAACAGTTTCAGTGTGAACAGGAACAGGTCATTTCGTGTTGGCAAGGCTTTACCCTTTGCAAGGCCCATCTTGAGTTGCCTTGAGTGGAGGAGTGAGGTTGAATTGGTAGGGTTGTTTAGCTTTCTTTGAAAGAAGGCGGTAGATGATAGTAAATTGATGAAAGCCAGAGCAAGATGGAGAAATGGTGATGGTATAAGATGAAGGTGATAGTGAAGGTGAAGATGAGGAGAGGAGAGAAATGAGCAGATCGTGGGCACAAAAATATTGTGCCCTAACTGCGCTGCACAGCGCAGAAACCATAACAGCAAAAAAGGCCGATCTGGAAAGGGCTGGAGCTGCTGCTGACATTGCAGCTAGGGTCGTTCACAGTGAGCGAAGCGGCGCAAAAGTAAAGATGTAAAATTTCAGCTCTCTTGCATCCTCTTTTTCTCTCCCTCCCCCTCTCACGTCACAATCACCACTCCACCACCAAACCACTCTCATCAAAGGACCTCCGCAACAAAACCAACTGCCAGCATGCCAGCAAGTCATGCCAACAGATGGCAAAAGGACGAAGATATCTTCGTCGCTGCCCTCAGACTCGGGACGAACTTCGACTGGAAACAGATCGAAGTCGCATTCCAGAGCATTTTTGAAGGCTCCACCGCCACCAAGAAGGACCTCGAGTCCCGATTCAACAAGAATCTCAAGCCACAGCTCGACATCCCCAGGGAGCAGCGGACAGTCGCCGATGCCATAGATGATTACCGTCATTATGGCAGAGTGACCTATCCTGAGGACCAGGTGGTCGTTGACAAGGCTCTCGAGTATCTCGGGAGCCTAGATCCAGAAGACCGTCTGTGGTAAAAGGTACGTCCTTCTGGAGCTCTCGAAGGGCTCCAGCCTCCATAGCATTCCCATGACTCACTGCGTACATATAGCTTTATGTGAACTCTAGAGTTCCATCAGGAAGTCGAGGGACATCTGTACACAACTTCTGTGAAACAACTTAGCATTCATGATACTGACATTGTGATACTTGGTACATACAGGATCTCTTCATGTGATGTTCGTCATTTTCCTTGCTATTCTTACGAGCGTCTTCCAACATGGTGTCAATGCCGCGGTCTTTCAAAGTTTTCTGTTGCTGATGTCTTAGTGATGCCATCCAGGGAGCAATTTCTCTTTCGCCTTCTTTGATTTCAGGTAAGCCATACCGAAAGACATTTCTTATATTCTTCAAAGACCTTTTCACAGTCGTTGTTGGAGGAGTTGCCACGAAGGAACTCTGATCAATGGTCAGCCTGATGTCCTTTTCAATCACAAAATGCCTAGCTTAGCTGGGAGCACCCACTTTCGCTGTACCATTTGAGAAAACAGGAGTCATAACGCCTAAGGGCTGTCAGTCTTCTGATATTTCTCTTTGAGGAGCAAGCTGTCGAGCATACTCTTTGAGCTCATTGCATTCGGGAGCAAGAGAGGCAGACATGGTGATCAAGGTGATTCTGCTATAGAGAAAGAAAAGGAAGCTTCAGTTTGGAGAGCAGAGGAACGAGACTTTATGTCTTCCTGAATTCTGAGCTGGATGCGCTAAGAGCTAAGCGAGTGTCTGTATTCACGAAATTTCTCTCGGAGATTCCATGCAAGATCGTGAATATTTGGAGTTGATTTAGAGTTGTGGCGCTAACTGGCTTTTGCCTAGGCCTCCCGGTGCAGCTTTTGGTTTGTTCATCTTTGATCTCTCAAAGTTGCTGGTATCCTCCGGCTTTTTTTTTTTTCACCACCAGTCCTTCAATTTGTTTTTGTTTTGCAGCTCCTATCCACCCGCCCACCCCAATTGCCCTGTTCCTTTGTTTTTATTTGCGAGTCCAACCGATGGACCTCGCAACGGAATTTTCTCCTTTTCAGGAGAAATTGACCGCGGCTCTTGTGCAAGCGACCAAGACTACCTCCCAGCTTTTGGCTCAAGACATTGCCTTTCAGCGATCCGTTAACCCAAGTCTCTCGAATTCCCTTGACGAACAAAGTGCCCGGTTTCTTGGCCTGACAAATTCGATTCTTCGCTTTGCGACGTCCGGCTCCGATCTCAATGCTCCATCACTCGAGGATGAAGACGGTGTGGACGACAACTGGAGAGGAGTAGTCGACGTTATCGACGAGCTATTGGAGAAAGCCGATGCTTGTCTCGATGAATTTACTGGGATAATCAAGAAACTCGGTCCGTCGCAAGATGAACGCGGTCAAGAACTCAACAAACGAGCGTCCAAAGCTCAGTTCCCGGGTGCTTACAACTTTGCTTCATCGAAAATTCCGAAGCCGCAGCTTTCCTTCAAGACTCGTCCAAACAATCATGCCTCTTCGCCATTTAGACCAATATTGCGACAGAAACCTCATGCGCTCATCCCTCTACCTCCGGTCGCTGAGCAGACCAGCACTAACGGTGACGTTGAACAGTAAGCTGCGCATAATGAAAATTCGTGCTTGAGGTCCATGCTAACAAGTATCTCTTTTGTCTTAGGAGCGAGCACCCTTACGCCCATGAGATTAAAGATTGCCATTACCCCGCTTCTACATACTCGAGCTCCACCCCTCAGCTATACAAACCTTTCGAGTCAACAACCGCGACGTTTGTGAACACCATAGAGGGTGTCAAGGTAATGCTAGAGGAGTTGAAATCAGCAAAAGAAATCGCTGTCGATCTCGAACATCATGATGCGCATTCATACCATGGTCTCGTTTGTTTGATGCAAATCAGCACCCGTGAAAAGGACTGGATAGTCGACACACTGCTACCCTGGCGAGAGGAGCTACAGATTCTGAACGAGGTTTTTGCGGACCCCCGCATATTGAAGGTCTTGCATGGCTCGTCGATGGACGTGATTTGGCTGCAGCGAGATTTGGGATTGTATCTGGTCGGGCTTTTCGACACCTACCACGCCTCCGTTGCTCTCAACTATCCAAAGAAAAGCTTGAAATTCTTACTCGACAAATTTGTCAACTTGGAGGCAGAGAAGCAGTACCAAACCGCGGACTGGCGACTTCGACCTCTGCTCCCAGGAATGTTCGACTACGCGCGATCTGACACCCACTATCTTCTCTACATCTACGATAACCTACGGAATGAACTTATTGAAAAATCCACTCCCGATACGAACTTGATCGATTACGTTCAGGACAAGTCGAAAGAGGAGGCATTGCAGCGATACGAGCGGCCTGTGTATGATGCAGAGACCGGCCAGGGATCCGGGGGTTGGTACGACGTTCTATCGCGGAGTCCGAGTTTGCTCAATCGCGAACAGTTGGCGGTGTTTAAAGCGGTGCATCGGTGGCGAGACCAGACAGCAAGGACGGACGATGAAGGGGTACAATCAGTTCTCTCGAAGCGAGCTCTCTTTGCCATCGCGCACGGAATGCCATCCGACCAGGCCGGGTTGCTGAAGCTTGCTATTCCTGTATCGCCTTCTCTGAGGAAAAGATTGTCAGAGCTACTCAAGGTGATCAAAGACGCCAAGGCAAGTGGTGTAGACGGTCCGGAGTTACATGAGGTTCTTGCTTCCGGTCCGGCGACGTTGGTTTCGGGGGTGAAAGCTATGGAGCCGAGTCCTGCAGGTGCTGAGAAGGAAGCTAGCATGGCATCTTCAGCAAAGGCGGTGAGGGCGCTTGTCTCTCAATTCTGGGGTACCACGTTGGAGCAGACCGAGTCCACGAACGCATCTGTATACGCCCCCTTCGCTGCCGCCGACGCCCTTGCACTTTCGTTACCGCTGCCTTCGATGCCGATAAATATCTCAGAAGAGGCCCATGGGATAGAAGATGAGGCCATGGAGACATCAGCCACACCTCCAGCTCCAAAATCCGAAACAGAAGAAGATCGAACTTCAGGCCTAGCAGCGGATCAGATATTCACCGTCAAGCAATTCGGCGCAGGGCCGAAACGCAAAGCCGCGCCGGCCGACACGGAGCGCTCGCCTGCTCCGTCGCCGGTCTCGAACTCACCACGTCCAGATGTCGCTGGCCTTGGATCTAAGAAGCAGAAGACCAGTGCGGCAGAAGATGTTGTTGCTCCATTTGATTATACGAATGCGGAGTCTGTGCTTCAGGCAGGGCGGGCGGAGGATGTGCGTAATCTTCCCCGAAAGCCGCAGTTTAATCCCTATGCAAAGGTGTTGGATGCACCGCAGGCGTTAAGGAAGTCGAAGAAGGATATGGGCGGTGGAAAGTCGTTTACATTTCAGAAGTAAGATGGAGAGGGAGGAAGTGTGTGCTTGGGAGGGAATCAAGAGAAGGGGGGAGAGGGTTGTTCTTCGTCGCCTTGTGCGCCTTAGTAAACTGGACAGGACCAGGGGAAATAAAAATTTGGCATGGGCATGGGAGTTATGTTTTCTTATGGGATAACCAGGGATTCGTCCGCTATGTTTTGAATTCTCGATGTGTCTTTGTTTGAAATATTTGCTTTTACGGAGGCCTTTTTTTTTTTTTTTTTTAAATTTCCTACATACTCGTTGCAAATGAAATCGCAGGCATGGCTCACAGGGGGACATGAACTGGCGGTTGAAGATAAAATTTCTTTTCGCAGCAATATATCCATGTATTTATTTTATAGTCAGGGGGTCCAGACGGGAGTCCAGCACCCCCAAGGCGGCCAAAACCCACAAGGCGACCGTTGTGCGATTGCTTGTCGGTGCATAAGTCTGTGTCCTCCGTTACGTTTCTGCAGGACGGGACGCAGGCGAGTTTTGAATCTGACCTGAAGACCTGCTTTTGTTTTTCCTTCTTCTTTTTCTCGAGTTATGACGGTTTTTACACCGTCCATCCCTGCGCACGCACATAACAGAGGATCTACTACGTACCGGAGATATGATGGATGCGTTCGCACATGCATTATTGCGATGGTCAGCTGGATCTGGACTGGTGGTCCTGCAGCACAATCTCATAAACGCCAATTACCAACCAACTAAGGAAGCGCCCGGGGGAGCAGGAAGAGAATTTTTTTTTTTTTTTTAAAAAACAAAAAAAAAAAAAGAGGGGGGGGGGGGAACCTGCATACGAGTGTACCCATGGTGCTCCGTTCTCCGTAAGAGTGCATGCATGGGGCGGAAGGCCGGGAAGAGCAGATATCGACAGATGAAGGTAGACCAATGCAGGTACCGGCGTGCTAAGGGGAGAAGTGGACTTTTTTTTGGGGGGTGGTTGTTTACGTGCATTGAACGGAGGATTTGGGGCGGGTGATCAGCGCCGGGGAGGGCTTTGGCCCTTTTTTTTTTTTTCTTCTTTTCTTCGTCCTCTTCTTTTCATAACAGTGCGTGGGGGGGGGTTCCACACTGGCCATTGATACTCGGTCTTATTAATATGCTATAGTTATGCAAGAATGAAGAATAAGGACGGTGGCTGCCAGGGTCTCAAGGAGCTGTGGGCGGTGCTGCTGTGGTGATTTGACATTTTGGTGATCTACGGAGTACGGAGTATACGGAGCACGAATTCTACTGGGCTGCTCTTCTGAAGGAGGAGGAGGCTGTTGCTTTGGCGGGTGGAGAAATGCTCCGTAGCGTTATGCACAACGGACGCTGGAAGGTCATGGACCTGCTGCAGGCAACCAGAAACCGCCTACCTTCTCGTCCTCCTCCTTACGCGGTGACCATTTAGTTGCGGAATTCCCGGATGAACAAGTCCAGCTGTTCGTGTTGGGGTTTCAGCCATGGATGACCGGCGAAGATTAGCCTGCACGTCGTAAAAGAAACACACACACACACACACAAACAGTCATATATATATATATGTATATACAGAGTATAGTAAACAGTAACAAGAGGCATGACGCCAGATGGAGTATAACTATGCCTTCCTGAATAGGTCTCTCTCCAGTTCCTACCTGACTCGGCAATCGACGGCTGCAGGGAGTGTTTCAAAAGTTGGCAACAACTCCCGCATGACCTGGGAAAGGGAACTAATACAGTACTTAACCCTCAACCCACACCCACCCACTCCTTCCATGTAACTAAATAACAACTCCCCCTCCGAACACACATAAATTAACTAACTAACTCGGAACTAGTTAAGCTCAAGACCCCCCTCTCCCTCTCCCTTCGTACCTTCCTTCAAATCTTATTGAGAAAATGTTTTGCTTGGCGACAAAAGATATGCAGGCAGGAACTACCCACAACAGAGAACACCCTTTCCTGCCGCACGAACTTTGACTGACTGACTGAAGCAACAGCAGCATTAACTAAACAATCCCGCAACAGGCAGTTACCAAGACCATTGTACCTCTTATCTATATATATATATATATATATATGTATAAAAGTTGTCGTGAGTGTTGTTATTCAGTAATTATATTGAGACTGATATGATGGAGTCCCTGATCACCCCAGCTCACTCTCACTCTCACTCTCGCACTCGCTCGCTTGCTCGGCTGTTCTCCTCATTTTTTGACTCTCAAGTTCTCAGGGGGCTGGCAAATCCCCCGCTAATTCAAACCACACCGGCCGACCTAACTGGCTGCTCATCTGCCCCCCAGTGCAACTTAGCTTTGCTTAGCTTAGGCTAGTTTGGTCTCGTTACTCCGCAAAGTCCAGGGAAATAAAACAAAGAGTGCTCTTCTTTTCTTTTTCTTCCCCTCCACACGCTGCTGCACATGCTGCCTCTCGCTAGCTGAATCGGGTCTGGCAGGAAAGGTGTCGAATCATCTCCAACGCCGGAGCTACCATGGTTTGCCCTCCGCCAAGGTGGTGTAGTTGGTTAACTGACTCCCCGTGCGTGGCATGAACCGGCCGGTCGCCCTCCAAAAAAAAAAAAAAAAAACAAGGAAAAAGAAAAAGGAAAAGAAAAAAAAAAAAGGTTCGTCAGCGTTCGCGTAGATGACGAAGGAACTCCCACCAGGCAGCCCTGTGGAGGAAGATTCCTCACTCTCTTGAATTAGTTGGCTAGTTAGTTAATTATTCACCCGAGAAATCCTCTGGTTGAGCTGCTGGACCGTGCTCGGCCTGCGTGCGGATCAAGTTGGCCCCCGGTCGCAAAGCAAAGGGAAGGGTCTCCAGGAACTCCCCCTACATACACTTCTAGTCAGTCCAATTCGATGCAGAGAGATATTACAGAATCATCCTCTCATCGGAGGCGTCGTCGAATCTTAGTATCTATGTATTTATGGACTCCGTAGATTAGGGATCAGGAACCGGGTCGTGGACGGACGGGATGGCGGCTGTTCGAACCTGTAACCCATATTTAACTCGAAAGTTAGCCGCACAAACTCCTCCATCCTCGAACAGGCTCGGTGCCCCCTTTCAAGCATCATCGTTGGCGCCAAAACCGCCCTTTCGCCTCCATCTCGCAACTCCCACCCACGAACTAACAGACCCAAGCGTGACGGGGCCCCTGCTCTCACGAACTTAACTGCTTCAGGTTCCCCTCTTTCTCTTTTTTTTTTTTTTTTTTTTTTGTTTCTGTGTTCACAGCCATCGGTACAGAGTACTTGTCGACAAATTATCCTCATCACTGTCTTCACAGTTTTTTTTTCTTTTTCATCATTGTCACCGGCCATCACTGACCAGCACACACCGCCCAGCCCATCTGCTGCTCTCGTCTGATCTCTCAATCACTGCACTGTAATTCTCTCTGCCGTCATTCAGCCCTTGCATCCCACCACCCACCACCACCACTACGTCCTCCTCTCTGCCTTCGCCGACCACCGACCTGATCGTCCTTCATCCTTTCCTGCACTTATTTTCTTTCCTTTTTTTTTTTTTTTTAATTCTTTGTTCCCGCTCTTGTTTCACGCATCCTCCCAAGTCTCATTTTGCGTTAATTGGCAATTCCACCTGCGTGTCAAAACTTCAACAACGCAAACCGCCCTCGTCACCACATTAGCCAGCAACCTGTCCCACATTAATAGTTGCGCGACCTTGTCTTCCTTGCCCTGCCGTCACCGAGCGGAATCTTGCGCCCGTTCCCCCGACTTCACGATCCCTGACAGGTCTCCTTGTCTCGGTTCGACATCCTACACTATATCCTCTTGGCATCCACTCTCTTCCTCTCCCAGACTCTCTCCCTCTCTCCCTCTCCCTCTCCAATCTCTCACTGTCACGCTCACACACTCTCTCCTCCACCCCTGTCCTGACCTGGGTTCGAAGCCATTCCGCTTCCGATAATACCAGAGACCGGGACCACGTACATACATACATCCTACATACTCACGAGCGGAGAGGGGCTAGCAAACCAACGCGCTTCTCGCAAACCAACGGCGCCAATTCCCACCCCGCGTCCATATAAGCCAGCTCGCCTCTGATCGCCCCAGTTACAGTGGCTTTTCTTTTCTTTTCTTTTCTTTTCTTTTCTTGTGCGCTCCAATGGTGATCTTCTCCGACGGGAACGCATAATAATATGTGGGTTCAACTACCATTGGCGCTCGCCGTGAAGTTCTTTTTTGCTAACAGTTGCAATCGCTTGCTCGGGAGCTTTTATAGGGTCGTGTGAGTGGTGACCGTCTTGTCGAGCATTGGTGATTGTACTGTGCCGTCGTCCTTCGTTTAACGACTTCGCTCCTTTTGCATCTATTGGCTTTTTTCTTTTCCCTTTTTTTTTTTTTTTCGAAAAAGAGAAAAGGAAAGCTGCTGTTTGTTGAATAGCGTTCGGCATATACCCTTTGCTTTCTTTTTGGCCTTCGTTTATCGATTTATTTTGCCGGGAATAATAAAAAAAAGAAAAAGAAAAAGAAGGAAAATAAAGGAAGCAACACCGCAGCCATGTCAGTCGCAACAATGCTCCAGCCAGCCTCGCGGGCGTCGAGGGCGTCTACATCTTCATCCTCTTCATTCCAGCCCATGACCAGACAAAACACCATGTCTTCGCACGATGCCCGCTCTATGCGACAGTCCAAGCGGATGTCCGTCACGGCTCTGTATCTGTCCATGTCGGCAAAGGATAAGGATCTTGAGATATCAGATGAGCTGGCAAAAGGTTTGACGAGAACCCAACACCCACTCTCTCACATCCGGCCGAGCTTTTTGCTGACGGTTTTATCTCTGTCTCGGTGTATAGCGCAGAAAGCTCTGAGGGAATTGAAGTTGAAGATATCGTCGCAGTCGAAGAAGAACTTCGTGCTTGAGAAAGACGTGCGATATTTGGATTCGAGAATTGCGCTTTTGATTCAGAACCGCATGGCGTTAGAAGAAGTATGTCTTTTTTCTCCGCACATATACGTCGAGCCTTTTTTTTCTTTTCTTTTCTTTTCTTTTATTGTTCTTTTTTATTTTTTTATTTTTTTCCAGTATTATCGCAACTGACTCGTTCTTTACTACCAGCAAAACGAAGTCGCTAGCCACCTCGACGATTCAGCCGAACTCCAAGAGGGTGTCTTCCCGAACGACGATAAAACTCAGAAATATGGAAATCTCTTATTCCTCTTACAGTCCGAACCGCGTCATATCGCACACCTTTGCAGACTGGTTTCGATGGCTGAGATCGACTCGCTGCTTCAAACCGTCATGTTCACTATCTACGGTAACCAATACGAAAGCCGAGAAGAGCATCTCTTACTGACCATGTTCCAATCCGTCCTCACATATCAATTCGACAACACCCCTGAATACTCTTCCCTTCTACGTCAGAACACTCCGGTGTCTCGGATGATGACAACGTACACCCGAAGAGGCCCCGGACAAGCTTATTTGAAGCAGGTCCTTGCAGATCAAATCAACTCTCTTATTGAATTGAAGGACGTGGATCTTGAGATCAACCCGCTGAAAGTCTACGAAACAATGGTGAAACAAATCGAAGAAAATACAGGATCCTTGCCAGACTATCTGCCAAAGTCGGTGACGGCAGAAGTCGCTGCTGCAAACGAACAGGTCCAGGCGATTATCGCGCCGCGTCTAAAAATGCTGAGCGACATCGCCAATGCTTTCCTTGGGACGATCATCGAGGGACTCGAGGAGACCCCGTACGGTATCCGTTGGATTTGCAAGCAGATCAGGAGTCTTTCGAGACGGAAATACCCTGATGCGCAAGATCACACGATCTGCACCCTGATTGGAGGGTTCTTCTTTTTGCGATTCATCAACCCCGCTATTGTTACTCCTCGATCCTACATGCTTATCGACGGAACGCCCGCCGAGAAGCCGCGGCGTACATTGACGCTTATCGCGAAGATGTTGCAGAACATCGCGAACAAGCCATCTTACGCGAAAGAGCCATACATGGCCAAACTACAGCCGTTCATCCATCAGAATAAAGATCGGGTCAACAAATTCCTGCTGGATCTCTGCGAGGTTCAAGACTTTTATGAAAGTTTGGAAATGGATAATTATGTTGCCCTCTCCAAGCGCGATCTCGAGTTGCAGATCACTCTAAACGAAGTTTACGCCACTCATGCCCTCCTTGATAAACACAGTGCCGCCCTGGCCTCCGACCAACACTCGCATCTTCACGTCTTACTACAGGAACTCGGTCCATCCCCGCCCCAATTACCGCGCAAGGAGAACCGAGTCATAAATCTACCGCTGTTTAGCAAGTGGGAGACCCCGATCGACGACTTAACCTCGGCGTTGGATATCACCCAGGAAGAGATATATTTCATGGAAGCAAAGTCCACATTCGTTCAGATCCTACGTTCACTGCCGCCAAATTCGGCCGTTACGCGCCGCCCGCTTCGATTAGATCGGATCGCTGAGGCTGCTGCGACGCTGAAGAACGACGCTGTCATGGTGCGCAAGGGGATTCGTACGATGGAGCTGTTGAGCTCGCTTCAAGAACTCGGTGTCATCGATAAGTCTGATGACTTTAGCCTGCTTCGGAACGAAGTCGAGCAGGAGCTCGTCCACCTGGGCTCGTTGAAGGAGAAGGTTATTGAGGAAACCAGGAAGCTGGACGAGGTGTATCGGACGATTCGCGACCATAATACGTACCTGGTCATGCAGCTGGAGACTTATAAGTCGTATCTGCATAATGTGCGCAGTCAGTCGGAGGGGAAGCAGAGGAAGCAGCAGAAACATCAGGAGCTGGGGCCGTATAAGTTCACACATCAGCAGCTGGAGAAGGAAGGGGTTATTCGAAAGAGTAATGTTCCCGAAAACCGAAGGGCTAATATATATTTTATGTTCAAGAGTCCGTTGCCGGGGACCTTTGTTATTAGCTTGCATTATAAAGGTTAGTAACTCCCCCCCTCAAAGTGTCCCTTTTGTTTTCTTGGTTTGTTTTGAGTTGATGGATTTACTCACTTATACTTTACCCGCTCTTCAGGACGTGCGCGTGGTCTCTTGGAGCTTGACTTGAAACTTGATGATCTGCTGGAGATGCAGAAGGATAACCAAGAAGATCTGGACTTGGAATACGTTCAGTTCAATGTCTCCAGGGTGTTGGCGCTGCTGAACAAACGCTTTGCTCGAAAGAAAGGCTGGTAAAACGAGGAAGCCAAAAATGAACAAAAGGAGCAGGCTTTAAGCGCTTTGTGTTGTCGATGGTACGACAGTCTATCGGAAGATATGAGGCCCCGATTGAAGCCCGCTTTTATTTTACCCTACGAAAAATTTCGCACGTTTGCGTACACATCACTACTTGGGAAAGGCGAAGGCATCTTCCTCAAATTCCCCCTTTTTACTGTTTTTGTTTCCCCTTCCACCCTCTCAAGTCATGCCCCGTATTATTTTTATGCTTGACTATTCTGCCTACCCGCATCCCACCCGGATGACGCACTCTACTCCCGACTCTCACTGGCTGAGAGAAAGGGGAAAGAGCAGAAAAGAAAAATATCTAATGCTGTAATCCATCCCATAGTGGCTTTTATCCTCCCCTTGTGTCTGCTAATGGAGACCACGAGTTGCTGCTTCTCCCGCCCCCAACCGCTGGCCGGGGAGGGGAGAGGAGGGCTGCAGATGGTGGTCATATTTGTTCTTTGCGTGTCGGTTTTGAATTTGATATGATTGAGTCGACGTCCCGCCCCTCCTCTTGCGCCCCCGATGCTGTTTGATTGACTTCTTTTCTTTTATTTCTTTTCTTTTTTCTTGTTATATTAATTCACCGTATTGTGCTTATCAGATTCCCCTCCTGTGTTTTTTTTTTTAGTCTTTTGTGTTTTTGTGTGTTTTTTTTATCTGCAAAAAAATTCCTCTGAATGACACCCCCCAACCCGCCCGGGCTACACTGATTATTGCCTTCTGACGTTACTTGCTTGCTTCTGAGCGGGTGCTTTTTCATCTCACACTGGTTTTTGATGTAGTGATGGTGCAGATGAGAAAGCGATCTCTCTGCAACTCCTGTTATGTATGTATGTACTTATCATAGGGGTCTATTGGGACATAATAATTACTTTTGAGCCGCTGTGATATTTCTGGCTGGCCTTCGCATTTAGCTTCATGAAGATGGTAGTTAATTCCAATATATTTGTACTGTTGGCTAGGTTAATGACTAGCACCAGAGTAAACTCCTTTTAATAACAATAGTTTTATTTTTGAATGGCTCTGTGATTCATGTTAAGACCTTCAAGTTAGAGTTAGTTTCACCCGTGGGAGTCATGTATATAAACTCAACCTTGCTTGGCTCAGCTGTATCTCTCGGAGATGGCAAGTTCATTTCACCTGGATAACTGTACTACTGTTGGTATGACAGCAACAGGAAGAAATATCTGTCAAGACTCAACAATGGGTCATAAGCACACAGCGTCGACATGCACACATGCTCCCCGGAGGTAGCTGTTGGAGGGTACTCTCTCTTAGATTGGCTAGTTATCACTTTTTTTCTTTTCTTTTCTTTTTCTTTTTTGTACACATTGATGCAGACAAAGTTCTATACATAGCCGGGCGACTGCCCGCATATCTTCAAAGGCCTCAGCTATGTGGGCTTCTTGAAGCAGCGTTAGCTACCCTAAAGAGCCTATAGATTCTTTCTTACACCTCCTCTCTCAACCACAGCCTATTAGTGACCCTTGTGTATCCATTTGGGATTCGGCACGGTTATAGACCACTCGTGTCCTTGCCAGCGGTAAGTGAAGGAAGATTCATAGTCTGTGAGGGCAAGGAGTGTCATCTCTCAAACTTGATACATGGAATGTATCCTATTTCTAGTCACAGTTGCATGATCGACTTATTCTAGGCAGCCATCCAGATACAACTGATAAGACCGTTGCACTATTTTGATACAGCTAGGCAAGTTGGGGCGAGAATTCTATCGGCGAACAGGACTAGAAGCGTGCAGTAAGCCGGCAAATGTAGAACACCTTTTACGAGACTGATATGAGAATCAACCTCAAGTGCATCTGCTCAGAAGCCGTCTTGAAAACATTTGGCCATTTCCATGGCTTCTTCAGGTGGTCCAGAGATAATAATTGGAAGAGAAGCGGCTGCGACCATCTTTAAGATCAAAATCAATCATGGGCGCTAGTTTGCCATTGACAATTTGCACGAAGGCATGTCCTCCGAGGTCGGATGAAATGATACGATCGAGGGTTTTGAGAAAATGCGTCCAGATGGCCGGGGGACCGGTTGTTGACGGCAAAGTGTGGCCGGCATTCGTAGTATTGAGAGCCATGGTTTAATTGAAGACGGCTCGATCCTCGATGCGGCGACAGGGACAGAAATGCCGTGTTTTCTAGTTCCTTTTCTGTAACTACTCTTTTCCATGAGGCTAAGGGTAACGTGCCCATTACGTTCCTCGATTGGGGGGCCCGTTACAACCGTCCATTCCTGCGCGGTGAGATAGACAGATGACCTGTACGTCCAATTTTCACCCCCGACGATGCTTCCGTGCATGCGGAGTAGACGCCTTGCCCTCGAGGGGTGAGACTCAAGCACGGTTTGGATCTGGCAGGGAGAACTCCTGAATTAATTGTCTCAAGTCATTTTGGTTAAGCTCCAAGCTGCCGAGTCAGGGGAAGCTGACCGTGGCTCACCATCTGGACGGCAAAAAAGGGGGGGAAAGGCATGTGGGGATTTTGTATGTCATTCGTTATCCCATCTCATGACGATACGGTGGTGGGTCGCGGCCAGATGAGGATGTCAAGCTGAGACGAAGATCAGTTGATGATTACTACTTCTCTGAGCTGGCATTGGACTTCTTATATAGCCATATTTTAGGAGTAACTGAGCTTTTGTAAGCCCTTTTTCGCCGGCAGGGGAATCTGTGTCTGGGTAGGCTTTTCCAGACGTTGGAATTGCCCCTCCCGGAACTCCATCCGCCCTTCAGAAGAACCAACTTTGGCGCCACAGCGTCTTTTCACCGCTTGACGATTGCTCGAGCCAAATTCTCGGTCACAAAGCCCCGACAGGGAGACTAGGCTCGGCTAACCCTAAGTTTAGTTCATGTCAAAGGGGACAAAAGGATACTCCAGCTTAGCGATCGATCTTCAACGAACCTCCTTTCGCATAGCAACTGCCCACGGACCCACGCCCAGATCCCAGCAACAGGAACCCTCCACGATCACCGCCCCGCCGCCCCCTTGCCTGCCCGCCCTCCCGCCGATTCGTCCTCGAAAACTCAGCTCTCAAAACTCAGCTGTCAAACTCATCGCTCGGTCTGTGTGCTTTTTTCTCATTCTCGAGAACAATACAAAGAAAGAGACCGTCTTCAACCGTTCGGGTTTCTTGGAGCCTACAGCAGCTTGAGACCAAAATTCTCTCTCTCTCTCTCTCTCTCTCTCTCTCTCACGCACACAACGCACACTTCCCTCATAATAATCGCATTAATCATGTCGACTACACCCCCGGCTAAACCTACGAATCCTCTTAAGCTTGATTCCAAGTACGACGATTATGATTTTCCCACCACGGCTCCTGTAGCGCAATCCGGGCACCCAGGCCACACGACGCCGGAGCAGGATGCGCAGGTTGCTCAGCTGAGGATGATGCTGGAGGCTCTGGGGTACACTGATCGCCTGGATACTTTGACCTTACTGAGGTTTCTCAGAGCGAGGAAGTTTAATGTAGAGGCTGCGAAGACTATGTGAGCTTTCTTTTTTTTTCTTTTTTTTTTTTTTCCCTCTTTTTCCTCTTCTTGTCCTTGGCCAGGAATTTCTTTTGGCAATTTTTCTAGGATCTGGTGCTTTTCCGTTATTGTTGTTGACCTGGATATGTCCTGTTTAGGTTCGTCGCCTGCGAGCAATGGAGAAAAGATTTTGGAACAGATTCGCTGGTGACAGATTTCCATTATACGGAAAAGGAGCAGGTGTTTGAGTACTACCCCCAATACTATCATAAGACGGACAAGGTATGTTTATTATTCTCCGGGGCCCCCTATAGGGAGTTGGCGACCGAACGCATCCACTCTAACAGTTCTGGAACCCCTACACAGGATGGACGACCCGTCTACATCGAACAGCTTGGCAAAATCGACCTCACAGCCATGTACAAGATCACCACCAGCGAACGCATGCTCAAAAGTTTGGTTTGCGAGTACGAAAAGCTCGCTGATCCCCGCCTCCCCGCCTGTGCACGCAAATCAGGTCATCTTCTCGAAACCTGCTGCACGATCATGGACCTCAAGGGCGTCGGGATCTCCAACGCGGCCTCCGTCTTCGGCTACATCAAACAGGCCTCCGCCATCTCGCAGAACTACTATCCTGAGCGTCTAGGAAAGCTGTACATCATCAATGCCCCCTGGGGATTCAGCACCGTTTTCAGCGTCGTCAAGGGCTTCCTGGACCCCGTGACTGTCAGCAAGATCAACGTTCTAGGTTCTGGATATGAGAAGGAGTTGCTGGCACAGGTCCCCGCAGAGAATCTGCCGAAGCAGTTTGGTGGACAGTGCGAGTGTCCTGGTGGATGTCCGTTCAGTGACATGGGGCCCTGGCAAGAGTCGGAGTGGGCTAAGCCGCCAAAATGGGCAAAGAAGGACGACAAGGGTGAGGAGGCCGAGAAGAAGGAAGAAGGAAAGGCGGAGGGAGAGGAGGAGAAAAAGGAAGATGCCGACAAGGAGAAAGCTGCCGCTGCACCCGCGGAGACTACTTCGGCTCCGGCGCAGAAAGATCAGATCTCGGCGTAGGGAATGTGAGGCGAGCATCATTCGATTGGAGTTTAGTTTCTTCAGCGCCCAAATGCCATTTGGTTGACTACATTATACCAGGAGAGGATGAAGGAAATTTAAAAAAAAAAAAAAGAAAAAGGGGGTTGGGCCTTGCGATATAGATAGAATACTCTTTCTCCCCCTTACTACCTTTTTTCTTTGGCTGCTCTCACCGCAAGAAGCACATTTGGTTGTGCTAATATAGTTTAGATGTGAATGGTGGGACATTTCTCCGGTGCTCTATCACCGTTATATATAAGTGCATCGTAATATTTTCTTTAATTGCAGTTCATATGGGGGGGTATATGGATGGCCTCTCTCATCATCGTTCGTCTTTAGCCTTCATACACGGTCGGCCAAATGTAAATCCCGGGACTCCATTAACGCCAATAACACCTGTTCCAGCCACGCCAACATTTCAGGAAACACATTTCTGAAGCCATTATGGAGAATCCAAAGGCAATAAGGACAAATCACATCTTCTCAACAACCTCTGCAGCCTGCCTCGCCCTTTCGACCTTCCCTACGGTCGCAGCGAGACCCTTACTGCTGTGCCCGTTTCCATCCTCACTGTCACTGTCATCCTTGCCCAAAGTGGCTTCACCTTGTAATCGGACCAGCGTCTTCAATCCATCGGCGTAGACCTCGCCAATCTCACCGTCACACCATCTCTCCCGCTCCCGCTCGCTGCCAAACGGTACGTCCAGGATCCACTCGGGTCGATGCTGCTGGATCTGCGCCCAATCCAGGGACGCTGCATCCTTGGAATCCAAGTCTTCGCCTCCATACAATTTGTAATCGGCATCTGCGCCGTCACCGGCGACTTGCTTGTCATCCTCCTCTAGCGCATCCCGTAGCATTTTCGCATACTTCTTCGCCGCTTTGACGGGCGCATCCCTCCGCATCTGGGCCACCGTCGTTGTGAGAGACTCCAGCTGCGCGTAGAGACTTGTGACACGGGCCGCCAGCTGCGAGTCGTACGGTTCGTATTCGACCTGTTCGCGCATGGAGAGGAGATCGGCGAGCTGTATTCCCTTTTTCCCGGCGGCGGACGTGTCAAGTCCGTTGATGCTGATGGAGGGGATGGCGGAAGTGAATGTTTTTGCGATGAATTCGTCGACAAGTCCGCGCACTCGCGCTTTCATGGGATCGTCGGAATCATTGTTGGCCGAGGGGGGGAAGTGAAGGTCGAGCTTTTGGCGGGAGAGATTGAGGGCGTTGGTGTAGAGGTAGGCGAGGTCGGCGGTGGATTGGAGCTCGATTTTGCGGTGGTGGGGGGCTTGCATCGTCTTAGTAATGAGGAGACAAGGCAGTTGGATATCAATGGCTGTCCCGCAGTGCTCTCGAGGGATCCTAGACGGGGTTATCTGTCTGTCTGTCTGCAGCCCTCCCTCCGGTCGCCGCAAGGTTCTCGCGACAAACAGATCGGCCAGATTGGGCTTAGCGCGGTTGTGGGTCGCGTGGGACGGGCAAATTATGTCATACGGCCTGCTGCTCCTTCCCTTCCTGGTCTGGGTGGCGCTGGCCGCTCTCCGACGCCGCAGAGTAGCACAGCTGCGCTCTCTCTCTCTCTCTCTCTTTTTTTTTTTTTTTAATTCCAGACGCCCTCTCGTCATGTGTTCTGGCTTGACTGAATCTTCCTGCCGTGCATGGCTGGAGGTGGATGATCCAATCCCACGCTGCACGATGACTGCTCAAACTACGAGATAGCACACCACATCCTTGGAATTGAAACGATGACAGACAACGCGAGCATCACTCTCGTTGACAATACGCTTCCCGAAGCCGAGCCCGAGACCACTCTTTCGCTGCACCCTTCCCTTAACATAAAACAACGCAGATCCCTGGGCAAGAGACTTACCCGGAACTCGGTCAGAGAGAACCTTGCGAGACGCAAATATGCCAAATGGCAGAGGGATCGCTACGACAACCAAGAAGCCGGTTCGAGCGCGGCAACCTCTCTATCGAGACTCGACTCCACCCAACCAGAACGCAGCTTGTCGATCAATCGTGCGAGCACCAAGAGCAGCTGCGCCGAAGCGGATGGCGTCGACTTGGACGTGGAGTGGGTAAATGTCGAGGGTGAGCCGCATAGCGTGGTTGATGTTCTCTACGAGAATCAGCGAGGATGGTTTTTCTTCGGCACGCCATACTATTCGGAAAAATCTCTATTGAATCTGGACCCCGCCGCCTGGCTGACGAAGAATTTCGAGGTGAGTCCGGTGGATATCACCAACGCACAACCTCCCGATCCCAATTGGGAATGGGCATGGAGGACCTGGTATATCGATATGTCGTATGATGTGGATGAGGAAGGATGGCAGTATTCGTTCTCTTTCGCGTCGAGGTTCGCATGGCATGGGACACATCCGTGGTACCATTCGTTCGTGCGCCGAAGGCGATGGTTGAGAAAAAGAGTGAGGAAAGGACCAAAGGGGTTCCAGAGGCTAGCGACTGATGATCGAAGTCACACACACTCCACGCTTGATGACTTCCTTACCTCAAGAACGGTCTCTCGAAATCTTGATCCAAGTATCAGCCTCCCAGAGAGTGCAAGCTACGTGAGCAGAATACGACAAGAGCAGGAGGAGCGTATATCCCCAGATGAGATTACAAATCCAGCCATTTTGTTGAAGGCGGTCAAAAGGGCCACATTAGATAGAGAAAAGATCGAAGCGGTCAAGGCCTTTGTGCATATGGGAAATGAAGAGCTAGTGTATTTGGAAGAAAAGGTCAGTGAGCCGTATCAACTCCTCGCTAGAGCTAATTCGTCTGACTCATTGACAGATCCTGGACATAATGTCCATGCTTGTCTTCCACACCTCCCGGCGCCAGCTGGTCGAGTTCCTCGTCAGCGCCGTTGAAGAGATATCTGAAGTCACCGGTGATGAAAGTGCAAGGCGGAGGAGGAATAATCTTGTTAGAGCTATCGACACTATCTACCGTCGCTATAACGACCTCGAATTTTGGGGAGATGTCGGCCCAGAGATAGGTGCCGTAAAGGGAAAAGAGCCAATATGTGGTTCTCACTCCTAGCGTAGATGTTGCATTATTTCTGGGGGGATGTATAAATTAAATACAACCTATTGCCATGAAGCTGAACTTCCGCACTGCAGTAGAAATCAACGAGTACTCCGTACGTACGTACGGAAGAAATGGTTACTCGGCGTTGGAATAATAGTTAACTAGTTAACGTAATCCACAAGCGAGCGAAAGATTAAATTAAGGCATCTCAACTAACTAGAATTTAACCCGAAATATCTACACTCAACAACCCCTAAATAGATTAAATTACATTGCAATAGGACTACAGCTCCTTCTTCTTGTATGGCCTAAAATATGGCAGTTTGTACACCTTAGTGGTGCCTGCAAATATAATGCAGGCTCTGAGGCAGCAGACTCAGAGAGTTGAGCAACTGACTGTTCAACAGATTGAGCAGGTGGAATAGCAAGCTCAGTAATCTCTTCCCTAGTTAGATCTCCTTTACACTGAATTTGGTGCTTAGATCGTGTATGTTTTTGCTTCTCTTTCTCATTTGCAGCAAATATATCCTGATATTCATAATAGTGGTGTTGACCATTCCATATTCACAGGCCTTGATAATTTGGTCAAATCCTTTCATTAAGCTCTGGATGAGCTCTCAAGCCCCTGCCCCATAAGATTCTTGATCTTACCCACCTGCCTATGCAACTGCTGGGGATTGCCACTTGATGTTTGTAGGATCTAGGATGACTGGGAGTTGCTAGATTGGCTAGCTGAAGAAGTAGAGATTAGAGTTGAATATCCAGCTGCTGAAGAACCTTCCTATCCTCACATTTTGCTTGCTTGTAATTATAGTGTCTGGAATAGCAGCATTTGAGCTCCATATGATGTTTAATCAGATTTGACACCCAGTTCTTGCCAACACACAGGGGAGGAGAGGTAGAATCTTGTATGGTAAGAAGATGATTAGCCATATTCTCAACAAATGCCAGTCCAGGGGGGATTCCTTGTTTAGCTAGGTCTAAGATCCATTGAACTAGCTGATCCTCTTCAGACTCAGTCAATTTGGTTGAATTTGCACATAGACTGGTTCTTGCATATCTTTCTTTCACTCAATGATATAAGGTAGTATAAGGCACATTAAATAACCATGCAGCTTCAGCAATTGAGCTAATTTCTTGCTTTTTAAGAGTAGAAATAGCAAGTTCAATCCTGCCCTCTATTTCTATAGAGGATCTTGCATTTTTATTGCGAATTGGTGGCATTCTGACGCGTTGAAGTGGATGGTTGAGGAAGTTGAAAAAATATCTTTCGCTCGCTTGCAGATTTCGCTCGCTTGTGGATTACGTTACGCCAAAGGGGTGGATTACATAAGCTGCGACCAGGCTCACGGTTGAGATCCAGAGACTTTTTCCGCGACTTCGAGGTTTGCTGCCAGTCAACAAACCCCAATCGCGAACACTTCGCCCTCCATGTTGTCTGGTAGTCGCTACTGCCTGAGAAGCAGAGTAGTAGCAGTTGCCGACAAGCTCCCCGTCTCCGCCCATGAACCCTTACTTTTCCTCTATCCCCGTTTTTTTGCGTCACAATTCGAAGGCTCCCACGGGAAACCTTTGACCACACTCCCAGTCGATGCATTGAGGACCAAAAGGCGGCCGAAACTGCTGTGCAGGAGCCAGTTGAAAGATTTTCATTGCGATACGTCTGTGAGGCAGTCGTCTCAGCTTGCAGTCCATCAGCACGGGTCGGGATTTGGGAGCACCTCTTCCTCAGCAGAGGCGTCGGAGACCCGTAGCTCACGCGGAGTTACACCCACCAATCCGGTTACACGAGGCGCACCGGCAGGGAATGAGGAGGGAAAGCCATCGGCGAATACAAGTGGCTATTCTGCCAGGTATGTTAGTCGAAGGGGGTTGTCTTATAGATCCGGGCTTGTGGATAAATCCCAGTACCGCACGAAAGAGAGAAATACTTACTCTGAGAAGCCAATGATTATGTCCGAGGGAGCTGACAGTGCGAGTAGTGAGGAGGTATCGACGACAGCATCGCCGGTTGTAATAAGTCGCTACAAGTTCGGGCCTATCAAAACTCCTAAGCCTGAGATCGATATTGACCCCGAGTTAGCCCTCGCGAAACAGGCGGACCTACTTGCCCTTGCTGTCGAAGGAAATGGACCTCAGTCGAATGGCATCGAGACAAAAAGCGAGGATCGGACTGTTGGAAAAGACCTATTGCTACAATCATATCCTTCGGAGAACGGAAACGCGACCCAGCGCAAACATGTCTCTGGAAGGGTGCGGTCAGGTCAGTATGTTGGGCTACGACCCAAAACGCCAATGAGAGGGATGGGTGTCAGATTCGCGGCATTGGCTTCCCGAACACCAAATACGGATGCGCACACACCCAAATCTCGAGTTCCCGACAACGCTTTAGCAGACATAGACCCGACGTTTATGAGTGGAAAGAGCGCTGCTTCGGGGATGGCCCCTCTCCAAATCTATGATGCTGACAATGCGTCTCGCGGAAAGCATTCTACTGGGAAACGAGCGTATGGTTCGGAGTCGCCGCAATCGATACCTCCTGGTACATATTCCAGGACAACAACCCCATCTACTAGAGATCCTAGCACTCGAGGGTCAAAGACGTCGTCTCCGCAACTAGATTGGTTGGGAATTTCAAATCTACTAAAGGCACGCGATGTAGACAAGCCGTTTGATCCACAATATTTCAAGCTTTGTCAAGAGGTCGCGGATATGCTTTTTGCTTTATCAAAGGAGGCACCAGAGACTCCCTTTATGACATTTGAGAGTCAGAAAGTCATTGAATTGCCCGAGGAGGCCGTCGTTACATTGGGAGGGGACGATGTGGAAAATTCCTGGGATATCTCAGTGGTAAGCGGTTGCCGAGTCCATGTACTCCCCAGAAAGGAGGATGACTATGGACCTATGCGCAAAGTCCGCTTGCTAGGCTCACCGAAGGCAGTCGAGATGGGAGAGAAGCAGATAATGGCCGAACTGGGATACCCTGAAGGTTCCAAACGCTCGTCTCTTCCACCGTTTGTGCGCTTCACAGATAAGCCCAAAGCCCCACGCGTACGTTCAGTATGGTCTACCCGACGAATGAGAGCCGGTGTTGAAGGCCAGATTGAACGCACTCTGCGTAAACATGGTGTATGGATGCGGTCACCTTCGCTTCTCTTCGATCGTCCGAAGAAGACCATTGATCGGGTTGATGATATACCAATGCCAGAGTCTTGGACTATCCGAACCTTCGCAGACTATGTGGAGAGTATAACCACCTTCCGGCATACCAAGTCTCCACACAGAGTAATTTACGATAATGGAGACGTCCACGAGATCATCGTCAAAAACATTCTGCTTCGGCTTTGCCAGAACCCAGAGAACAGGAAATATTTTTCTGCTAGAACAATGACCCTTGTGATAGGCTATCTCCACCACCATAAATTCTTCGAGGATATTGGAACTTTATTTCCAGTTTTTTCGGACTTCTTCACTAGTCGAACATTCAGCACATTGTTACGATCTGCTGCTGCGAATTACAACATGAAGCTCTTTAAGACCTACGTCAACATCATGAAGAATCATCACATTCGTCCGAATGAATGGTGCTGGGTCGCTTTCATTCACTCCATAGGTAGTGAACAGTTTAAAGCACACTTCCTTGACGAAATCTACAACCGAGGAATACTGAAGCACCCAACCACCATCAGGCATGCAGTCAGCGCTACGATTCGTTATAAGTTCCGCGCTTCCTTGAAAAATGGAGAACGCACATCAGAGTTCTTGACAGGAATGGCGCGGAAATTCGGGGATAATTGGTTATCAACTCTGGCAGTCAATAAAATGATACTGGAAACTACCCTGACAAAAAACCTGGAAGCACGCAACGAAATATTTCGCTATTGTTTCGAGAAACAATTGAAGCTAAATACGAACACGTTGAATAACGTCCTTCTCTACTATGTTGATACGAAGCATGCCAGAGCCGGGGTGAATTTCTTTGCGAAGTTTGTTAAGCTGTACAGGCCAAAACTAAGCCTGATGACCTGGCAGCTCCTTTGGTTCTTGGCTGTTCGACGCCGGTCTTATGCACTCTGCCGAGTGATCTGGAGATACGCCTGTCTTCAAGGTTCAGCGACTGTTGGCATTGCGAAAACGGTCATGCGATCTCTTGCCCGGCCGTTGGAACCGGACCGAGAATTGACCATCGGGCAAAGGTGGTTCATAAACCTCGGAAAGATTGTGGTTGGAGTTCTTCCCGTTCCGAAGTTTTTAACGGAGAACAATAGACTCGAGGGGCAGTATCCATCAAATCCCAAAGTGGGAGTCGTGGAACATCTGTGTACAGACGCAGAAAACGGCCCGCCCATGGAGTGGCGCGAAGAGCTAGCGAAGATTTTGGTCGAGAGGGACCTGAAGTCTGGTTCGGCCCATATTCCTTCTATTCCCTTGCCAGATCTCTTGATGCGAGCGATTGACCGGGAGATCTTCTGGACGAGAGCCACTACGGATGTTCTTCTCCAGAGAAAAAAGACCATTCCTGTCCCTATCCAACCTAAGTTCTGGGTGAAAGACCGCGTATTACAAACGGAGGAGCAGCACCAGGAGGAAATAGAGGACGCCCTTGCGCGCTCGGGATTGGAAGATATGCTTAAGTCTGATGATGATTTTCCGGATCTGGAATTCAGGCATATGATCGTCGATTATGCTTATGACAAGGAGTCGCGCTATCCACCTGCTTAAAGAGTATATTTTTTACGACCTACAGAGTACTTAATGTGCGAAATCAGCGTGTCCGAATTGTAGTGTATATAACCTTTGGTCATAGGAGCACTTTATCTTATTGGGTTGGACGCTTGTGGGGTTTCCTATGTTTATCAGTATTGAATATACACTTGTTTGGCGCATTTATTTTGGCATGGATGGCGAAAAGCGTTTACTTTTGTATCAACAATATTAGGTATCATGTATGTATGTGTGTACATCAGGCACAACAGGCGCCGAGACTCAATCGTATGAGTTTGTGGTGAGCAGGCCGTGAAACTCCAGTGTCTCGTCGCCTGGTAGCATGTCTCTCAATGTTCGTTGTCAAATTATGGATATTGTGGGGTTGTGATATTGCTCAACCGGAAAAGCAAGCATTCAGTCCATATAATAGTACCTCGATGGAGTAAAATACTCCGTTCCCAAAACAAGCAATCGCATATGGTTACCCCTTTGAACATACATCCTAGACTTGGTATGTCCTACTGCCTCATGTCTCAAGGATTCGCCATACATTCGAAGAGCGAGGAAGAAAAGTCACTCCTTCGCTCGCTGTCTGTCGTTCTGTTCGGGCGAAAGGAGCCGACGATCCTTATCAGACAATATGCCTTGCGGGGTACTCACCATCCTCATGCAAGGGCAGCCCATCATCGCCTCCGACTGCTGGATGCGGCGCATGCGGACAGCCGTACGTATCAAGCATGCTCACCCCTTCCTTCAAGTAAAGGACCAGTCGAAATGCAGAGTTGCCGTTGAGGTAGTATCTGTGTAGTTTTTTGCTGCGGAGGAAGCCAAGGCGCTCGTAGAGTTTCATGGCGGAAGTGTTTGTCGTTTCCGTTTCGAGAACGATCTACAGGGCGTCGTTAGTTTTGGTTAGGAGAACGAGCGAGCGGGTGGGCTCAGCCAATGACACTGGGGGAGGGAAAGGAAGAAAAGAAACAAAAAAAAAAAAAAAAGAAAAGAAAAGACGGAAGTTTCTTGAGAAACGCACTTCGTCCGCATTCCGCTCGATCATGGCGTCGATGGCCATGCGGACTAATTTAGTCGCGATTCCTCTCCCGCGATATTCTTCTTGCACGGCGAGCATGGCGATGTATCCCCGTAATGGAACGCCGCGGTGAGGTTCGAGCTTGGACACCACGACTCCAATTATGTTATCGTTCTGGTCCATCGCCTGGAATCATTTCATTATTGACAAAGTCACCGTTAGCTCCTCTTGCTTTCTCTCGGTGTGTATGGATTTTTTTTTTTTTTTTCTTTTCTGGGGAACAAGTGCGCGGGTCTTCTCAGGACCAACCATGAAACAGAGATCTCCCCATTGGTAGAGAAAATATCGATAGACGTAGATGCTGTAGGGTTCGGAGAGATCTTTTGATATCAATTGCCGCATGGCGGGCACGTATTCATTCTCCTTTGCGCTGTCATACTGGATGTAGTGGAAACGCGGCGCCGCAGCGTCACGGGCAACCTCTTTGGCGGCGGAGGAAGGCGTAGGCTCGGCCATTGCGAGTCATGGAGCGGTGCGGAATGGAAGTCTTGGGTCAATTGAAGAGGCTTCTCATGAGAAGGGGCCCGTGTGGAGCTGGCTTTGCGAGGTCGGTTTCATAGTGGGTTGAGCAGAGCGTATTGTTGTTTGCTTGAATTGCAAATGGATGGATGGTTTTGGGCGCAAGTCGTGGTCGGGTTTTCTTTGGGTTTTGCCTGGAATGGGTGATGGTAATGTTATTAGTCACAAGGTCGTTGTACACGTTGCCTGCCGAGAGCCCTGGAGAACCTTAACGCTCACGCCAGGACCACCCCTAACCGCCCCTAGCCTTCAGGGGGAAGATCCATGCTCTTCAGGGTATGCCCGTCCCTAACACCGCTCCCTGGACCAGAGGATGGACTGGTCCAGAGCGCCGCCTGTGCACTTTCCCGGGTGCAAACTAACATTAGCACAACGCCGGTTAACTCCCGCGCGCCCGAGACTCCCCCGGGGTTGTGTCTTTTTGACCAAGCTTGGTCTCATTATCATGTTTCTCTCTCGCTTTCTCTTGAGATGGATGCCTGAGATTCGAAATCGGATATACATTAACACAACGTCAATTACCATTCCTATGCTTCTCATGATCATGCGTCGCGTGTGTGTCGTTGCAATCGACGTTGTACGGGGACTTGGGAGCTTCAAAGTTCAGCTCGGATTCCGAGTTTGCCCCTCCCCCGCAAGTTCTCGAATGGCGTGAGCCAGGGGCCTTTCACAGTTCGCAGCAAGATCCTTGACAGTACTATGGGAGATACAACTACTGATGCTGGACCCTCCGATGGGAGCGGGGTCGGTGACGCACCCAAGCTAAGCAAATAACCAGTCAACCAATCTCCAAGCACCGTGTCAAACTTCAAGAATTGAACCTGTTCCCAGCAAGACCTGGGATTGAGATGTCATTCTCGATGATTTCAAAATAGGTACAAATGCAAGTCCTGTCGCAAAACATACAGATACAAGCACTACTGTTTCGGAAAGTCACAGCGTCCGCCCGCGTTACTGAAAGGTGGTTTGAAAACAGCATTATATGTATTTCTCAAGATGTCCGGTCGCGGTTTACTCAGAAAATGCCTTCATTATACATTGAGTCAGGTTGCCTAGCTATGATTCAGAGATGGTAAACAGATCGGGCATTGAATGTCTCATGGCCAAGTGGGACAATTCTTGGGGATGGAGGTGAGGCGGTCTCCTGAGGAAGTAAAGTAACTATCTGCTTCAAGCTCTCCACAGCTGAGCATGCACACTCACCAGGGATTCTTGCAGACCTATTTAAAGAGATATCAGTAGGAACAGCATTGCCATTCAACTCTTTTAAGGTAGGTAACTCCGGGTTTTGAAGATAATCACTTTGATCGACTTCCAGCAATGGCCTAGCTCAGACGAATTTTCGCTATTAGGGCTCTGCTGTATCTGGGCTCAGGCACTCAAGAAATAAGTTGATTTTCCAGAGAATCTAGATGACTCGACGCGTAACAGCAACAGATATTATTTGAATATTACTGAGAGTTGGAGATTGACAAGGGATACAGTGTTACCATGAGCAAGGTGGCGTTCCGTTCTGTCACTCTCAAATCAGTGTAGGGGTGAGGACAATGAGGATGAAGACAGAGCAGCAAGCCTCTTGCGCTAACTAGTTAACTCGGAAGGGGAGCATCCAGATTCCCCAATAGTTACACAACTAGCAAAGGATAGCTATCAAACAATTCCCAGTAGCCACCTATACACTCTGCTATGCCGCCATGATGGATACTTCACAGCTCCACAGATGCGTTTGTCCGGAGTGACTGGCAATTTACATGGCTCTACCTAGATGCCGAGGGCCAGAAAGTAACTCCTTGCCCCGCGCCGTTGCTCTCCACATTATGGATCGTGGGTCGACGACCAGAAGCGTGGAATTCCGGGGATTTGTTTCGCGAATACTCTGTCCTCCGTACCTAGGCTATAAATATCATCCAGCCGTGCGCCCGCCACCGAACTTGTAGTCATCATTACTGGCGCTTTTCCGTGTCGGGAGGCAAGTTCAAACTTCACGTCTATAAGGTCCAATTGGGGTACATAATCGAAACAAAGTCCATTTTCAAGCCCGCGAATAGGTTGGTAGAGTAGGAGAATTACTTATACTTTGAAAAAAAAAAAAATGGCGGCCAAAGGTACCATGAAGGCGGTCGTATTCAAGGGCCCCTACAAGGTCGAGTTGGAGGACCGACCTATCCCGCAGATTCAAAGCCCAAAGGATATCATTGTTAAGGTCACATACACAGCGCTTTGCGGCAGGTACGTCGGATGCATTTCGTATTCCTGGTTTATCCGTTCAAACTCGCAATTTGAGCGGTTAAAATCATGCATGAAATATGCTAACCCGGTTCAGTGAGCTTCATGTCTTCCGTGGCCACCAGCCGTCTGGGGCGGGATTCATCATGGGCCACGAGTACACTGGCATTGTGACAGAAGTCGGAAGTGATGTCAAGACGGTGAAACCAGGAGACAAGATTGTTAGCCCATTTACGTCGTCATGGTAGGTGGAGTCCACGCTACAATCAAAAAAAAAAAAAAAAAGGAAACGGGAGAGCAGGATCCTAACACGAACAATGTCCATCTAGCGGAGAGTGTTTTTACTGTAAACGAGGATTCTCTTCGCGCTGCGAACAGAGTCAGTTACTGGGGTCGGCGACGTTAGATGGTGGCCAGGCTGAATATGTAAGTTCAATCAGGTTAATATCTTGATAAGAAAAAAGCTATCACCAGGACTTGCACTGACGATACTCCTGCAGGTTCGAATGCCAAATGCTGATGGCACCGTAATGAAAGCACCAGAGGGAATCAACGACCATGCTTTGGTTCTGATGGCCGATATCTTCCCCACAGGGTATTTCGCAGCGAGCAACGCATTCAAGGAGTTTACCAAGGAGCAAATTTCGGAGCTGACGGTCGTCTTGATCGGTTGCGGCCCGGTCGGCCTCTGCGCTCTTATAAATGCAGAGGACTATAAGCCCAAGCACCTTCTCGCAGTTGACTCCATCCCATCACGGCTTGAACTGGCCAGGTCGCTGGGCGCGGAACCATGGAATTATCAAACTGATCGGGAGGGATTGGACAAGCGGGTAAAGGAGCTGACAGACGGTCGTGGTGCTGATGTGGTTATCGAAGTTGTCGGGTTGAGTCCCGCCCTCAAGATGGGCTTTGAGTTGCTCCGGCCTTGGGGGACGATCAGTAGCGTCGGAGTCCATAACGGAGAGGTATGTGCTCAGGATCAATTGATTTGATTGGAGGCTAACAAAGCCACGATAGATCCCATGGACCGGAAATCAAGCCTATGGAAAGAACTTGAAGGTGCAGATGGGTCGATGTCCAGTGAGATCGATCTTCCCACAGGCTCTCGATATGCTGAAGAAGAAGCAGCACCTGCTCGGGTGAGTAACAGCAACTAAAAAAAGAGAAAAAGAATATATATATATATGGCTAACGCAGCTGGACGACAGGTTTATGGCCGACAAAATCATGCCGCTGAGCCAGGCAGTTGAAGGGTATGGAATCTTCGACAAAATGCAGGTTCAAAAGGTCATTTTCGACGCCAGTCAATAGACTGAAATCGTGTACTCAAGCTGACCACCTTCAAAGCCTCCGGGAGGGCCTTTTGTTACCACTATCGGAAATGGAAATAACAGATGATATATATTATACCAGTTATGGCAATGATAACGTATTTTTTAACAATCGAACTCCTAAGTCCTGGCAGTTGATACCATAGAAATGGTGTGTCCACAGCACATTGTCTCAACAGTTAGACCCAAGGTTTGAATATCAACCCATAACTGCTATCACCACGCTTCACCGGAGCAGCATGTAGATGCCGGACTGAAAGGGCAGCATCTCAAAGGGGGACCAGAGGGATGCGGCCACCCAAGAACAAAGAAAAACAGTCATTGATCAGACAGAGATGGATGAAGATGGGTGCTGGCATTGCGACGGGGAACCGCAGCCAAGCAACAGGTGAACTCCTGGCTGGAGGGCGACGCGGTTCCCGTTGGCTCCTGAGGACAAGCGCTGTATCAGGCTCAAACCAACGCCCGGCGCCAGGTTCGTGAGAGTTTGCCGCAGCTTCGGCCGCCACAGCAAGACGCACACGACACAGTGAATCATTACATTACAATACAGCTGAGTATTAGTCATCCACAGTGGTTGGCAAGCTGTGATTGGGTGATACTTATGAAAGCGGCTTTGTTAGCGGCTCAAACAGGCTCCTGCAGCCAATAGAAATTCATGGCTTTTGCTGGAAGGTTTGCTGTGGTGGGCTTCCATTTCGGTAACAAAACACAGCTTGGTGTTTGGTGATGACTTCCTTCACAAAAGCACCAAACGGGACTCTCGCTCACCTCGCCTTCTTCTTCACACACCCTTCTTCATCCCACCTCCTCGCACGTTTTGCCCTTCCCCCCCCCCCCCCTTCGAATCCTCCCTTCTCGTCTTCTTCTTCCTCCTGCATCTCCTCCGGCTTCTCTTCCACGCTTCGCTCCGCTCTTCTCTCCCTCCTCTGACTCTCGCCTCTTTTTCGTCCCTGTGGCCACAAATTCCATCGTGCTTCACCGACTCCTTCGCCGCGAATCCTTCATATCTATCACTTCTTTCTTCTCCCGCTCATCCACCCCGGGGGCACACACGGCCTCCACCGCTTCTCTTCTCACTACCAACCGCGTAAACCTCCTCCTCTGGTTGTTTGACTGTGCGTCTTTTTTTTGTCGATTCCTACTTTACTTGAATGTATAGAACTGATGTTCCCAAAGACAGGCAACCTTCCATCCACCTTTTCTTCAACATCCAAAAATAGCAAAACCCTTATCTCCCGGACCCCTGTCCCCTTTGAACCTTCTCGCATACTCCAAAATACACCTCTGTCCTCCTAAAAATGTCTGCGACTGAACAGCAACAAGCTACTGGCGCCCCCGGCCACGAAGAGGGTCTCAGCGAATCTTTCAATCGCGTCAACCTGAGCGAACAAGGGGAAGATATCACTCCCAAGACCGAAGAAGAATATGCCCAGTCCATGTTGACCCTCCGGGCAATCGTCTCGACCAAGGAAGCTGGTGTCATTATCGGCAAGGCCGGCAAGAACGTCGCTGATCTGAGAGATGAAACCGGTGTCAAGGCTGGCGTCAGCAAGGTCGTCCAGGGCGTGCACGATCGGGTGTTAACCGTCACAGGGCCCCTTCAGGGAACCGCTAAGGCCTACGGAATGGTCGCCAAGAGTTTGCTTGAGGGTGCGCCCCAGATGGGCATGGGTGGAATCATCCAGAACAACGGCACTCATCGTAAGGCGCTCCACACACTTCACTGTCTTCCATTACTCCCGTGCACTGACACTTGAATTTTGCTTAGCTGTTCGCCTTCTCATCTCCCACAACCAGATGGGAACTATCATTGGCCGAAACGGCCTGAAAATCAAATGCATTCAAGATGCTTCTGGAGTTCGCATGGTCGCCCAGAAAGAGATGCTCCCGCAGTCGACCGAACGAATCGTTGAAGTCCAAGGAACCCCAGAGGGTATCGAAAAGGCTGTCTGGGAAATCGGCAAGTGTCTCATCGATGACTGGCAGCGTGGAACGGGAACTGTTCTCTACAACCCCGCTGTTCGAGCCAACGTTGGCGGCGCGTCGATGAACAGCGCGTTCGTTGGACCAAACCCTAATACTTATAGCGGACGTCCTTACAATCGCACCGGCAATGGAGCTGACTTCAGCGACCATCCCGGCACTTATAACAGACGACACAATTCAGATGCACCAAATCGTGGCATTCCCCTCGTAACCGAAGATGGTGAGGAGGTCCAGACCCAAAACATCAGCATTCCTTCTGATATGGTCGGATGCATTATTGGAAGAGGCGGCAGCAAAATTAGCGAGATTCGACGGAGCTCTGGTGCACGAATCTCTATCGCGAAGGCTGCGCATGATGAAACGGGCGAACGTATGTTTACCATCATGGGAAGCGCTCAAGCCAATGAAAAAGCACTCTATCTTCTTTACGAAAACCTCGAAGCTGAGAAGATGCGACGCAGCCAGCAGCCCCAGGAGTGAGGACGTTCTTGCATCTCCGACTTCTAATAAACGGAGCCATGGAAACTCTGGAATAGCGATCTTCAGTCGAGCGTTTATCACCATGTGTGCGAGCCGTCGAACCGATTCAAGTACCACGTCCACACACGATCTACGGTCTACGATCCCCTCATATGTCGTGGTATCCGCGGCTTAAAGATGCTCATTTTTGTACGTGGAACGCGTTGTCTTTCATATCATTAGTGACTGCCCGTTTGACGGGATTAATACCGATTTCACGTTCCTCACACCAACTCGCTTTCCGTCGTCCTCTCCCTTAGGCCTCCGCTCGTCTTACCACAATCGGCCGCCGATATCATATATCTGACGCTCATTCCTCTCTTCACATTTCTTCGCCCGAGTTTCTCTTTATCACGATGCATCTCTTATCCCCCACCCAACCCAAAAAAAAAAAAGTCCGTCTCATTATCCTGCCCTTTCACCCACATTTATTTGGGGACCTCCCGTCGACCCTTTGACCTGTTACAGCTTTATCTCACTTTATCCGTTATAATATGTCATTATCCCCCTTCTCCGAATCCTTGTAGCCCTTCTCATACTGGCCGGTACTTGGTCGGTATTCCCTATCCAGCTATTACTCGAACTATCTTCCATTCCTTTCCCAAATGCATCACGCGTTCCGTACCCTGCAAACCTATTCCACATTGACTCCTGAGCTCCTGACGTACCGGTTGGTGAAAGCCGGTAGGAATGATGGACTATGTGGATATTGTCGAAAAGTCCACAAACTTGAAAATTGTCTCAAATCCTTTTATCCTTCTACGGCCGTTGCATATGATATTCTAGCCACACATTTGAATAGCTCTTAAGAATGGAACGGGTCGGCCTCGGGGCTTTATGTGATCATCGAGACGTGTCCTCGTACCTGTACACATTAAACCAGCATATTATTATTTCCGAGGTGTAAGAAGCACGGTTTACTTCCCCAAACCATATATAATAGAGCGCAACGGCGAGCGTAATATGTTAGAAAAGGAGGTCTGGCACTGTCGCGTCCCAGTCAAGATCATCAAGCCAGCTCAGGAATTTCTCACTTGTAAATTGATCGTCGATACCGATACCGATTTCCGGCGCTTCGGGTGCTAGCAGCGGTTGGGCCTGTTCGGGGTTGTCACAGACTTGCTGTTGACGGCTTTGTTCACCCTCAGCACGGGTCGGATCTCGTCTTTCGTTGGCATCACCGGGAGCAGCGCCAGTGCCAGAAGCAATGTTGGCTTGCGACGTGCTTCGCGCACGGTCCACCTGATCCAGGAGCCGCAGTTGCGATTCTTGGCGTCGCTGTGGGTGTTCCTGCTCCTCCTCCTGCTGCTGCGGGCCGCTCGGCTGATAGTTCAGCGCGTCATCAAGCAATTTGCTCAGGACTTTGGTGATTTCCACGCAGACGCGGGTGGTAGGGTTGATCGGGAGAGCGGCGGTTTCAAACCAGGAGATTATCATGCCGAGGTCGCGGATTATTTGGGAGCGGGGAGGGGTGGATGAGGGCCAGGGGACGGCGGAGAGGGTGGATTGGTAGAGTTCGGTGGCGAGAACTCCGGCGGCGGGGAGGCCGTAGAAGAGGAACTGGAGACAGGTTGAGGTGGTGAGTATGGGCATACGTATATAAACGGTGGTTTACTTTCTTTCTTTTTTTTTTTTTTTTTTTTTTTCCTTCCTTTGGTTGGTGGTGAAGGGGGTGAGGGGGGGGGGGGGAATGCCGGGGACGTACGATCCAGGAGAAGTTTGTTTGGGTTTCTGTGGGTTGTTCGGGCTGTTTGAGGAGGTGGAGGACGGTGGTGAGAAGTTGCATGGAGGTGTTGAGGAGGGAGGAGGCTGCGGCGATGTTCTGCTGGCAGAGTATGCGTTGGATGTGGAAGAGACTGTGGAGATACTCGAGGTAGATGACGAGCATCGCAATACAGGAAACGGGACGGAAGGTTTTCCAGCAGTTCGCGTCGTATCGGAACTGGATAGGAATGCTGGCCCAGATATTCTGGCATTCTTGGTAGTTTTTGCTGGGTATATGATTAGTCTTATTCTTTCTCATCATAGTTGTCAAGAAGGGGGGGAGGTTGTACTAGAGAACTTCTACAGAATTATCCGTCTTCCGCCCGAGCGACAGTTCGAGGATCTTTTCTCTTTGGGCGGATATCATATACCGTATTCTTATGACGCTTGCTGAGCGAAACTTCCCGTTCTGCGTCTTGTCCGGGTTCCACCCGTCAGCGTCGAGCTTCTCAACGGCGGCATTTAGCTCTTCTCCATTCAGCATCAAAGTCTCGTCATCCAGATCCAATGGAATGGTGTTGTCGCAGTACAGATGTTGAATTCGCGGAGGTCTTCCCAAAAATGTAGCAAGATTCTTGTCCGAGCGGTATGCTGCTGCGAATATTCTCTTGCGAGTCTGAGAGAGGAAGAACGGGATCCCAGGCCCGGGAGGTTGGTGACGGTGATAACCCATTGCAAACATGTCAGATATCAGGGTACCAAAGCCTCTATACACGATATGGCCTAAAATTGTGGGTTAGCATGGTACAAAAGGATTGGAGGGTCTGACAGGATTCATACTTCTCTCATCAAGGACCATAGAAATGAGCACGCAATGGGTATATTCAAGCCATATCATAACGTCGTTGAGCTTTTCGTGCTGTCGAGATATTTCAATTGCATCATTACTCGCAGCCACCATCTGCGCGGCGAACGACGACCTGCTGAGTTCGTTCCCGTCGTCAAAGCGAATGGCCAAGTTGGTAGCGGGCGATGTCAATCCACTGATCGCACCCAACCCAGCCATGGCGAAAATAACCCCTATAAACTCCCATCTGAGATTTTCGCCAGTGAATGAGTGGCAGAACTCTTCCGCGGTTGTCTCCGTCGACAGCTGAAGCGGCTTCGCCGTGTTTTGGCTGATCCTTCGATACAGGTTTCTCTGTTTGGGGTTGGATGTTTCCTCATTCTCCATATATCTCCGCGTGAAGCGGAGGGAGTTCAGAATCAAAGGCGCTGGAATGATGGTGAACAATCCCCAATCGTAGTAGTTCTCTATGAGCCTGTCATACAGGTCGAAGGCAGAAAGCAGCCTAAAAAGTTGGGACTGGAGGGACAGATGCCTATTCTGCCAGCGGACCAGTTCCGGTGGGATAGGCTGAATGGCAATATTGGACAGCTGGGGAACAGTGTCATGAAACACTGAAAGGAAGCTGGTGGACCCAAGGTAGGCACTTTGGTCTGTCGCCAGACCACATTCAAGATTCGTGGGAGAGATGGCCGAAGCCACAGTGGGTGATTTTGTCCTGCGGGCGGGCTTTTTCCGCTTATTCGGCCTCTCCTGGGAGTCTTCACTTCCAGGACTCGGTTTCACCCGTTTGGTCAACGGCGCCGGGTGATAATAGCACTAAGCGATGGTCACGGTCGAAGTTCGAGGACCGGGGCCCTGGGGAATGCTTACCTTGGATACTATGCCGCGGCTCTCGCATCTTTGACAGATCGGAGTCGTGTGGTCGCATTTGACCTTGGAGATCCGACATGGCTCGCATGAATGCGGCTTACCGTTGCGCCGAAGCATCAACGTTGTCGGACTTGCGACGGACCCCATTGGTGAGAGACACACGGTCAAACACGATACAAATTCCACTAAAACGGCAAAATATTCGCGAAGGCAGAAAAAAAAAAAATAAAAATAAAAAATTATTACATATCGAAGACGGCCGCCCTTTCATTTGTATTGGGCGCCTGCTGGTTAAGCCGGCTTCACCATTAAATGACTTGCCTCAGATGTTGGCTGGGACAAAAGCCAAGCCGTTCACCAGCTGAAGCTAACCTCTTCAGCGTCCCCTGGTCCATGGATTGGGGGCAGGAAAGGCCTGGTACGCACATGGAGCGTTCCACGGGAGTAAAAAGATCATGGATTTGAAGATACTCTACACCTCCAAAGATAAAAAGTATGCATTATATTCTCCGATAGCAGAATGTGTAACTAATCATACAGTACATTTGAAAAAAAAAAAAAAAAAAAAACATCTCGTGCAAGCTGTCTTGAGGCACTGCGGAGGTTGAGGCTCGCTCGGCATCGTCAATCAGCAGCTTAATTTAGTTAGCTAGTTAGTGGCTTGGCGAGGATTGCTCGAGATGGGCTGAAACATTGTCGCAACGACGCTCGATCCAGACATGTTGTGTCTTGTTATCGACCGAAAAAAGCGTTTTTCGTGTCGTTGCTATGAGTGGATGGAGCGTCCTTACCATCAGTATAACATGGGAGCCCTGATGCGTCTTACTCGAAATGGGGCATCCTCAGGGCTCTCAACTTCAAAGTTCACCATCAACTCATACTTGGGTACGTCTGTCATCGCGGCCATCGACGGCAGCACAAAACGTTCAAGCAGGTACGCGCAATAGTCGCCGCCCGTCAAGTCGTCCTTGAGAAACGAAACACGCACATCTCGGAGACGAGGAAACCTGGCGAACGACCTCACGACCTCGGCCCAAGTGCGCTCGTCGAATACCTCCTCGAGGCCGTCACACTGCAGGGAGCAAGTGATCGCGAAGCGGATGTCGATCCAGATGGAGCGAACGGAGTCCAGGCGTTGGGAAGGGACACCCATAAATATCCTATTCATGTCTACCGGGGTGAAGGCCTTGAATATAGCGTCCGAATAGAACACCTCGATAGCTTCGGTGTAGCTGTTAGCTCGTCATGGTGTTAGCATGGCATCGTCAAGCGAAACAGCGTGAGATGAGCTTCTTTCTCTTACATCTGCCGGCAGGTCTGAAGCAACGCTATGGGGATGATGTCCGCCCATTGTATCCGCCGCGGGACATGCTGCTGTTGGGAGGCATGGCTACTGTGCTGATGCCCTCCCGCATGCCAGTCCACGGATCTCACAAGAAAGGGCCTCTTCACGGCTCTCCCACCAAAGGCGTATGAATATATCTGTCTGCGTATCTCCAACGGAAGCGTGAAGAAGATCGACTCGGTCTGCGGTTGATACCTTTGCTGTTGCTGCTGCTGCTGCTTTTTCCGGTGATATATGGGAAGCGGCCTGCTCTCTGGCGGAGGCAGTGTCAGCGGGTGCCTCAGCTTGTGGCTCTTGACGGTACTCTTCCAGCGTCGACAGTAGTTCTTGAGCGCTCCATAGAGCGAAAGGTAGGATAATGCATCTTTGAGGATGTTGTGCATGTTTTCCCGTGGGTTTGTCGTCCATTCTTCGCGGCGACTCCCGCCCTCTTCGATGCCCTGCTGGGATTCACAGCAATCACGTGATGCATGCTCTGCTCTAGTAACAACAGTAACTACTACATAAATACCTCGCACAGCCACGGCCGGGGGCAGCGAACAACCTGTGAGCAAAATCCCAGCTCCAGCTGCAACGATCGCCAACGAAATCAGAGTTCCTGGATCCAAACGTGTCGCTGCGCCCGTTCGAACCCGAACTCCCACCGACTGCCCACAGCTTGACGTCTGCACCCTTTTTCTCCTTTTCCCTTTTTGCTTTTTTTTTTTCTTTTCTTTTCCCTTTTTTGGCGCCATGGCCTCGCGTCAGAACGATCTCCTGAACTGGAGGTGGGAAGATCTGATATGCTTCGCCGGGAACGGCGACAACATTGAACAGATACAATTGCCGCCTCAGATGGAAGAGGCAGCAGTCCACACCTCTTTTGACCCTTCTTCCGCCAATCCACCCTTTACACCCCATCAAACATATTCACAAGCAAAGCATTTCCCCAGAAACTCAGTGATGGAGCCGATTGACCCGGCTGGCATCCCGGATTTTACACCGGATATGATACCAATGGTCTCCGGTCTCGATCTTGTCAATCATTGGGTCCAGCAGCAGCAGCAGCAGTGGTCTGAGGATTTCTTCGTCGGTGAAGACCTGGACACAGAGCCCCTGCTGGCGAAAAAGAAATTGTCTAATGCTCACGGTCTTCTAGCATCCGAGTCAAGCAGGTCAATACATGAAAACCTTGTGCGGGAACCCAACATTCCTCCCTACAAAGACCCAGTCTATGAAGCGCAGATGGCACTTTTGGGAAGCCATCAACGGAACGCGCCCGAAGGAATCACGGCCAACAGCCAAGCTCTAATCCATTCCCTTTTGAACACATGCGAGCATCAGGTGCCCCAGCATTCGCTGTTCAATGATGATATCTTCAAAGTAACCTGCGAGAAATTACAGGGTGAAAACGGTGCCAGAGTCATCCAGGATGTGAGCCGCCTCATCGTTCCTTCGGCGGAAACCCTTGCCACGTTTGGCGAAACTGGCTTGGATTTTCTCATCGAGGGCGTCAATCAACGCTGGTACAGCTGCGAGCCGTTCTACGGCCCGCCTCCCCAACCGCATTATTCCGTTGGGTTTAAACGGTCTTCCTTCACCGAGGAGCAAATAGTGAAGCTTCTACCATACATCGGTGATTGGGATTGCACGTCTCACTTCCTTGGATCCTTCAGCATGTTCTTCCCATCATTCACAGCTGAAGTCAAGTGTGGCAGCGAGGGCCTTGATGTCGCCGACAGACGCAATTTGCACAGCGCGACGATTTCACTGAGAGGGGTGACACAACTTTTTAAGCAGGTAGGGCGCGCCGCGGAGGTCAACCGAGAGATTTTGGCCTTTTCAATATCACATGACCATAAATTCGTGCGGATTTATGGTCACTACCCTGTGTTTAAGGATGGCATTGCTACTTTCTGGCGTCATTCTATTCATGAATTCTCCATCACTGCCTTGGATGGCAGAGATAAATGGACAGCCTTTCATTTTACTCGAAATCTTTACAGCATATTCATGCCTATGCACTTTAAACGGATATGCTCAGCAGTTGACCAGCTTTGGGGTGGTCTATCATTGAATCTCGACCAGCCTTTCTTTCCACTGAATATGAATGACAGGCAAAAAAACTTTACCCTAACAGACGATGATCCTTCAACAGCTACAGCTACATGTCGACCGCCTGGTATGCAGGGCGAAAGCGACAGCGAAGGAACCTGCACTGTGACAGGGGACCCTACCTCAACAACCACATCAACCAGTGAATATCCTGTACATGGTGGAAATAACGGCCAAACAAACTTCATTGTGCCAGATGTCCTTGATCCGGCGGCGTTGCCTGCTTATGAGATACCTGGTACAGAGTATTGGAGGTTTCCCGGTCTCTAAGGCAAGGCCCAAACCCCCCCCCAAGGAAACATTTGCTATTGGTAGGAGAATGATGAAATACCCTTCCCCAAGGGCCGAACGCCCAAAGTGAACATGAAATCAAGCAAGCCGAATGCACATCTAGTACGGTTCGTGGCAACAACAATGTTTGAGCCGAAAGTTTTTAAGATGGATATGTATGTATGTACAGTACTAATATCGTGTCACAGTGCCTTCACCCTATGGCCCGTCAGCCTTTTTTTATTGTTTCAAAGATTTCAAGGAAAGCCTGAGGGTCTTCCGCGCCTCCGATTTCATATTTTCCCTGAATGGTGAAATTTGGCACTCCAGATACGAATGACCTCTGAGCATCCTGCACTTCTTTGTCGACCTCTGGGCCTCCCTGGTCGCTTTCCAGCCAAGCTTTGACCTCGGCTTCGCCCAGCCCTGCCTTTACAGCCGCTTTTGTTAGCGTGTCGTGAGAGGTGATGTCCCCTTCGTTCTCAAAATACGCAGCAAACAACTCCTCGACCACACGCGTCTGCGTATCTTCTCCCCTTGTCTTTGCCAGTTGTATGAGCCGATGAGAATCCCGTGTGTTGCCTGTCCGCCCTCCGAACTTGAAGTTGATACCCTCAGCCTGCCCCACCTGCTCGAGGCGAGACTGCATCATCCGGGTCCGTTCGGGTCCGAACCGCTGGTGGTAATACGCCTGTTTGTCAATGCCGGACTTGGGTGAGTTCGGATTGAGGTAGAACGGAAACCAGGAGATTGAGAAGGTGTCGTTGGATTCTGGATGGGCCGCGCGGTACAGCTTGATGGCCTTTTCAAGCCTCTTTTTGCCAACATAGCACCACTGCAAGACATTTGGTAATAAGTACATTAGTTTAGTTAGAAGCGGGATGTAGAATCACAAATTCTGCGGGGGGGCGCACGCATACCGGGCAAACGGTGTCTGATACGATTTTGATGCTGAAGTTAGTCATTGTAGCTCACTCTCTCGCTCTCAACCAACCAGCAATTCCCTTTGTCTTCTCCGCCGTTTGAATAAATACGAGCAAGTTTGCAGGATTGCAGGTCCTTTTTCAAGCTCAGCTTGGTTCTCATCGCTGTGATGAGATTGCTTACCAATCCAGAGCTCTCTCTTCCCCACTTCCACAACCCCACGATCGCCACCAAGCGCGAGTTTGGGTGCCGGCGGACTTAAACGCGGAATTTAAACCTTTTTGTCCGACCCAGTTCCTGAAATCTAGTTCTACCATGCGGCCAAAAATGAAAGCTTGGTTAAAACCATGTGCTAGTCTTAAAATCCAAATCTATACCTGAGTGGTAGAATAGACAGACAAATATGGGTTTGGGAGTGAATTTAGTTAGAATTCCATCATCCAGGCTACTACATCAACATCAACATCAACCGCTATGGTTTCGGGAAAAAAAAAAAAAAAAAGGAAAGGAAAAGAAAAGCAAGATAACTACTCAATCTGCGACTAATAGTAATAAGGCATGATAGCCTTCTCATCCAGGACAGACTGTAATAGTGAGACCCATTTTCCCCATTTTACGAGCAGTATGATGCCCCTTTGTCCTGACCACCAAAATCCAATCCGGGGTAATTCAACTGGGCTTTACCATACAGGTCTCTTGCTGGTAAGCTGCTCCATAGCGTTTTCTCCACGCCTGTCCGTGATTATGGCAATAGGCGACTATGTGATGACAGTTCGCGTGTGAGCTGCGTTGGGTGGAGATTGAAGCCGTTAGCTAGATTTCATGGTTTCACGATGAAAATATGGGCCCATATAACTCACAGTCCCGTTTATGATTAAACTAGAAAAGCGCTGCAATGACCGGCTTTGCATCCTTCGCATAAATGCTCATTGTGCGGACCTTTGCTTCTGCCAAAGGCCCTCGGCATCTCCATATGTATTCCAGACCATTTTTTGAGACGGTATGCAACTCTTTCCGCATATGATCCATCTAAGCGGGGCCTACTAAGAGAGTTGCAGCTCTTGCAGCGCTGATGATATACCCTCGCATTGTATTTTGCTCCAGGGTACATTCGGATGGTGATGGGAATTTTCTTGCTCGACCATCCCTTCGAGCTGCATTTGGGGTTGTGGCATGTAAATCGACCCATGATATGCGAATCGTATTCCTTAGAGCAGCCTTGAGGGTTATCGCCTTCACGGAAGTCGAAATAAAGGTTTTCTTCTTCCAATAGGCATGAGACATCATCGTGAAGTGATGGATACATGGACCATTTTTTTGGAGGCATGTCGTGTGCGGCCGGGAAAGGAACCAGAAACAGTGAATAGGACCAGCAGTGGGTAATAGAAGGGCATCAGAAGTCAGAAAAAAACAGGCAGAGGACGGTCGCCGGGGTAGGCCATTGTATAAAGAGCCAAGTACTGACTCTGAAGGCACGACAGCCACACTCCTCCCATTGCGTAGCTGTCCTCGAAGGCACGGGAAGGAATTGGATATGTGCCAGGAGATAGAACAGAGACGGGAAACATGTCGCCGTCTTCTTGGACGGATCAACTACCCGCCCACAAAAATCAGCTTGCTTGATGGAAGTCCTTTGATGTTCAGATCATCATAGATGCTCGACCCCGCTGCACTGGCGAGGGGCCATGGCAGCAGAGGTATTCCGTACTCGAACACGGAAGCGCCAAATCATATCTGGGGGGTCGAACAGGCGGGCGACACTTGTTTGTGCCAAATTGGCTGCCGTGCTGCATCTTGCTGCACCCAACACAGTTCTTTTTCCAGCGGGGATCAATGTCTCCTGGTTAACTTTTGCTGGGAAAAGAAAAGTTGCAGGACCCCAGTACTCCACAGCCGGGAGAGGAATCCTGTGGATGAAGCTTCTGATGATTGCTTCAAGTGACAGATACATATGTAGTATGTTCAATTGGTGGAACGATGTGAGTTCCTCAATCTGCCTACCTCTGCTTGGGCTCCAAAAGCTGGTTAGCGAGTTGCTCAGCATTTCTCAAATACTTGCATAACAGTGTAGTGAACAACTCCGTCGGAAAATTACACAAACTATCCCGCGACTTGATACCCTTCAGTTGGTATCCTGATCACATTGGATAGAGGCGCATGGGAGAAGGCAGATCAATCGCGGCACAGGCAGACTACAGGCAGAGATCCCTTTTGCTCGACCTTGGCAACGCGGCATCCGGGAAATTTTAGCCGGGAAAGCCTCTTCTCCAGGCTCCTCTGATGGCCTCCACGCACGGATGATTTAAAGCAGCCTGAATCCAGCTCGAATCTGGAGCGACTCCTGAGGACTGGGAGATGGAACGGAGTTTGGAGATACTACGGAGTAGAAATGCTATCTCCGCAATCTCGTCGAGCGCCCGAGCAAATGCGCGCCCTTGTCAGATTCTAGTCATCCTGTCAACTCGCGATGACGTTTTTCACACCCACTCAAACCTCAATTTCCGCCGTCAATAGCCTCACAGAGCGGATCTCCTCCGCCCATGCATCCAGATATATATAGCGACTTCCCGGCTTCTCGGGGGGGAGGGGATTTGAGATGCTCCAAAAGTGTGAACTATTGAATTGCCACTCAGACACAGACGATCAACATGGCCAGAATTCTTTTGACCGGTACGCATGCTGCCCCGCGCATCGGTTTTGCGATCGATCGATTGCTAACCTTCGCGGTCTACAGGCGGAAGTGGCTTTATTGCCGCCCATGTTCTTGATACCCTCCTTGAGCGTGGCCATTCGGTCGTGACGACGGTCAGGTCGGAAGAAAAAGCTCAGAGAATTAGAGATGCGCATCCAGGCGTTCCCAAGGCGAAACTTGACTTTGTGATCGTGCCCGATATTGCGAAGCCTGACGGTATAGATCTCTCCAAGGGGAAAATTGGGGAAGAGTTTTGCTGATATATGTTCAATTGGCAGCATTCGACAAGGCCGTTGTTTCAGACCCTCCGTTCGATACTGTTATTCATACCGCTAGCCCATTCCATTTCCGGGCTACCGACGCCCAAGAGCAGCTTTTGAAGCCTGGTATGCGGCTCTTTCTTTTTAGTTGCTTCGGCAGCGTCTGTTGGGAGAGTGTCTAATGGCTTCTACAGCTATTAACGGAACCGTTGGAATCCTTCGTGCAATTAAAAACAGTGCTCCGACCGTCAAGAGAGTGGTAGTCACGTCTTCCTTTGCAGCCATCCTCGACCAAGCGAAGCCACCAACATATGTGTATTCAGAGGTAAAGTTGCCCTCACACAAACATCCTACCTGCAGTCCGTGTACTAATGAAATGCTAACAGGCTGACTTCAATCCGACTACGGAGGAAGACGCTACAAAAAATCCCTTCTTGGGTTACCGCGCGAGCAAAGCCCTTGCCGTACGTTTCTTCCATCTTACTTGATAAGGAGAATTCCAATTGACTAACCGAAACCTCTACAGGAGAAAGCGGCCTGGGACTTTATAGAAAAGGAGAAGCCGAATTTCACTCTTGCAACAGTATGACAACCCCCTGCCTTTTCTAATTTGTAACTTGGGACATATGTTTACCGTCATCATGATGCAGTGCAACCCGCCGCTTGTCATAGGACCCTTGGTCCACTATCTTAGCTCTCTCGACGCCATCAACACCTCCTGCGAACGATTCCGCGACCTTATAACCGGCGCAGCCAAGGAGCACTGTCCGCCGACTGTCAGTCCTCTCTGGGTCGACGTACGGGACATTGCGCTTGCCCACGCCCTGGCAGCCGAGAAGCCAGAGGCTGCCAATCAACGATTCTTCACCGTTGCGGGGGAACTCAGCAACAGGGAGATTGCGGAGATTATATGGAATGAGTTCCCGGAGCTGCGAGATAGGTTACCGCAGGGCGATGCGTTGAAGTCGGGTGAGAATCCGCCAGAGGGGGTGTTCGGGTTCGACAACCGCAAATCGAAAGAGGTTTTGGGATTAACGTATCGGCCTTTGAAGGAGGCTGTTGTTGACGCGGTTAAAAGTATTCTACCGTTGGTGAAGTAATTTAATGGCGGGCTTTTTTCGGATAGAGAGTCTCCTTTGGCCTCAATTTGGAGTGGGCATAGAGTCTGTATTGCATTTCTTGACCTTCAATGACATATAGCTACCCGGTCTATTATAATTTGAATGCAGAAGAACGCCAATTGCTTCTCCTTCATCACAAGACAGGATAAAGTCCTGCGTTTTCCTCAAACCCTTGGTCGGGTTCACCAAACAAAATGCTCATTTTTCTTAGCACGCAACAGACATCCCTTGTCGTTTTTGACCTTTTTTTTTTCCCATTCGGATGCGACTTTCTTTCTCTTCAACTGCCGATTTACTCTGATGGCCCTCCATTCCGGAAGCTCTGCCGCCACCGTTCCCGAGTCCAGGATCGGTATTTTGGCTGGCGAAACCGATAAGCTATGAAAGCAGATATTAATAGCTTGGGAGGCCATTACCGGCCAGTGTCCTCGCGATTTCCGTCTTCACTCTCCCTGTCGTCTCCACGGGATAGTGACGGGTGGAGATGATATGGTGTCGGCCATTGGATGATAAGACTGAAATACCCTCTGGGGCCAGGGGAGGCGGGCATGGGAGCCACATCGCCTTCCAGATCCATGTAATAATACAAATCGTATTCACAACACAATCCTTGCCTGCATGCTGAGTTGCCCTTGCGTGTCTTCAACTCGCGTGGGTATTGAGCCATGGGGGGATGGAAACCGCATTTACCCCCTGAGGGATGGCGATGGTATCAACAATCCATTTGCTGGGCACCATATTCTCCAGTGGTGTTGCCACCGTAAAACAAAGAAATAGCTCCAACATATTAATCCCTCTCTTTTTTTTTTTTTTTTTTTTTTTTTGATTTGGAGGCTCGAGTTCTGCGTATGGACGCAGATGGTGAGATCTTCGAGAAGAGGAATATCATTCCAATAAAGGACGGGTTCTGGACCACTTTTAGCCTTTGCGCATGCAACACGTAGGGCTGCAAGCGACTCGTCCAACTTTTACCCCCTATTCTTCTGAGATCTCCATTGCAATTTGACAATGGACTGCGTAGCAGAGGCTACGAAGGGGCATAAGCGCAGGTCCAAGGCCACACACACACAGGCCCTAGATCTCTGACCAAGCCATCGGTACTTGTGGTTGTGACTCGTCAAATTGGCAAATTTCTCATCCTTGAAGTGGAGGTCTCACACTTCAGCGTTCGTCGTCACCGTGGGTTTCAACGTCCCGCAATTGAATCGTAGATGGGAAACCGGGTACGCAGCTCGCCTCCCAGCCATTTCCGAACGATGATCAGTCCCTTCTCACAGTCTGCGGCTTGTCGTCGTCGTCGATCGTGGTCGAGGCGGGCGTCTGCAGGACACGGAACGTTCCAATGTTATTCTTCGAATTTCACTTCAGTCGGGGGGGAGACACGCATGGTCATTGGCGCATTGCTGGGCAGCATTCGCCATTATCACGGATGGACCACGAATTTCATATGTATGTATTTTTGCCATGTTCTCCCACCCTCCCCGCGCCCTGGCGGTGTGTGCGTTGCTCTCTTCTCAGGGACTGCTGCACGGCACGGCGACGGGAGGCTTCGGCTTCGGCCTTGGCGTCACTTGCCACGTGACTGGAAACAGGAAACGCAGACTTCTGATTGGCCGGAGCTTAAAAGTTTGCACGGTTTGCATCTCCTGCGGCTGATTCGGCGACAATCCAGGCGCCGCACGGCTTGAGCGAGATTTGGGGATTTCTCACGTCCAGTGGCATGGATATCGAAGCACTCAGCACTCAGACGGAGCATTGCCATTGACTGGACGTTGTATGTCCCAATGGGCCTCTTTCTCTCTCGCCTGTCAGCACTTGGGTCGAGTTCGCTGGTGGAAAAGACAAAACGCCCCAGCCATCGCTTATGCTCAGTTGGCCCGGGGGACGCTGGAAAGCCCCGCTGACACTCAACACTAGAGAAACTCTCCTCAAACGTCCCTTGCATGCCGCTTCGTATACGCGGACCACCCACGCATGACACGTTTGCCAACTTTTCTCTTCTGCAGTTCCAAGGTAGAATGCACCTGCAGGAGGAACTGAAGCACAGTCTCCGCTCACACACACATACACACACTCTCGCTTGCAGACTCTGTCTCGCTCTCATCGCCACAGAAATCTCATTCTGAGGCCTCAATTTATCCTCTTTTTAAGCTCCCAATAGATCACCAACTGTGGAGACCTTATCCCCTTGGTCTGGGAATCCTGGTTCCCCCCTAGCGGCCCAGGAGTTTAATTTGTTTTGAGATCCTTGGAAAGCCCCGACCCCTTGGAAAGGAACTTTAAGCACGGCACATGCAGCCACCACTAGTTACCCAAGGACTGACACGGATGGGGACTTGCAGACACAACAGCCGCATGGCCCAGCAGAGACACCTCATCAGCGTACGGCAGACCAGAGAAGTTGTTTGTGATGATTTTCCTGATCCGCTTCAGAGCGCAGGTGAAGTAACAGTTATGCTTACAAAATGCACACAGGAGAGATTGCTTAAAAAAAAAAAAGGAAAAGAACAATAGATGTTTGCCCGACCAAAGAAAGGGGTTCGGCTGTGTTGTGACCGGAGGCGTTTGCTATTGAAGAACAACAACCCGAACGGCTGTTCGAGGCGGTTTGACCCCTCCTTGTATTGAGGAGCTAAAACTCCGACTTAAAGAAGTCCGGCCGCACGTCGTACTCCGTACTCCGTATTGGAGCGGGGAATTCTCGACTGCCACCTGATAGGGAGTACATAGAGCTACTTCTGACACGTGCAAAAGTGTCCAAGAGCTTCTGTGGGAATTTTAATTGCCGGGGGGTGGCAAGCTTGGAGATTGCGGTTCCTGGCGCACTTGGCTCATTTGAAATTTGGATGTGCACCTATCCCTGAGATTCTGAGAGTCCCTTTGCAACTTCAACTCTGCATTCCCTGGCACGATGCCAGGGTGCACAATCAAGTGCCTGGATAACCGCTTTTACACACGTAGGATGTACTCTGCAGTCTCCCGTACATGATTGACGAGCTTCCAAAACGGTCGAGACGTGCTAAAGCTGGTCTGACGACCCTGCCGGCCAATCAACAGATCCTTATTCTGTAATAGCCAATGGAGCAGCTTACCCTCTGGCGTCTCCACAATATTATGCCAAAACGATGGGCACTTTTTTTGCCAAACGTTCCTCGATTTACGCTTCGTGTTCGCCTAGACGGGAACAGGCAATCGTCTCCATCATCTATTGACGGAAAGAGAACCCAAGGCGATCCAGACAACTGCAACGCCGGCTTTCATAAAGGTACTGGCCTCGCCCATCCCCTTAGATAACCCTCCCCAGAGCTTGCAGAGGGCTCCTCGGGTTCACCTTTCCATTCACTTTTCATCATCGAGAGTCATCATTAAGTTCAAATCATTACCTGGTGTGCAACTGGCGGGACATTGCAGCGAATATGGACACGAACAGATGATCAAACCCCGACTTGCAGATTAAATCGTCGTCGCCATGCGAGAGCGCTTCGCATTCACGATTCGGGATGAGGGAGAGAAACGAGGGCGCCCTGACCATGATCCGGATGGATTGGTGCTGGAGGCGTGGGCGCAGGGTTTCATGGTGGGAACCTTGGTCTTCATGGCCGCAATCACCATCGCTAATATGCGGCGGCGCATGTTGCTTCACAAACTCATTTTAGCAGAGGTATAGACTTAACAAAGATGAAAACTTTTCACCTCTCGCCATCTTCTCTGTGCGCGGGATGGTCTTTTTTTTTTTTTTTTATCGCCATGCAGTGAAGGCTTTTTGGGATTGAATGCATGCTGACTTTTGTACGATGACGGGTAGTTGCTCCTGGGCATCGGCCACGGAACCTTTATCTTTTTCCACGAACCAGTATACGGCTGGTATCTCTCTTGCACTGCGATTGGCTTGAACATGTCCTGGACCCTTCACAATATCATTGCCTGGTTGAAAAACAGGCCGTTTATGAGCCGGAGAGTGTCCATGATATATATCGGAACTGTTATCCTCGCCCAACCTTATTGGGTGTTGGAGATATACGCGAATTTCGCCTTTTTCAATAATATTAATGATTTATTTTTAAGGACCCGCCCTTGGGAGCCTCTTTTCCGGTGAGATATCCTTTTCTCCTGATATTGGCAGGCGGTAAGCGCGAAACATTTGCTGAATGATTTGCTTCTGACAGAGATCCCTGGTGGATATATACAACATGTAATCTTTTCTGGGTTATCAAATCCCAGTACGACTTTGGAATCTCCGAGCTATTACGGAACGGCCCGCGATTTGGCATCATGCTGATTGCTATGTGCATTTCCATTATCTTCATCATTTTCGACACCCTAAGCGTGCTACGCGTGCTTAAGGGGGCTTTGCCCACGGGCATCAATCCGTTCTGGAAAGTAAGCTTAAATCATCTCACTCACCCAAATCCCAACAAAATATCGCAAATGCTTACTCTTTTTTTTTTTCTTTTCTCTATAGCTATCCTTTGTCTTCAAATGTCTTTGCGATGCCGTGGTGCTAGACGACTTCAAGACCGCGCTCGATCGGCTTCGAGATTATTGGCTGGCGAAGAACGGGGTGGAAGTGGAGGGGACCGAGCGACAGTCAAAGAGCAACGCAGCGGCCACTCCGGTGAACAGATCAAGATTCTGGCGAAACTCTGCCGGAATCATAGAACCGCTTGAGCTGAAGCGGCAGCAAAAAGATGACACGAACTGTAGCAGTTCGGGACTGAGTCAAGAAAACCAAGTCACGCCCTTTGGGCATTTATGAATGCGCTTGATTGGGTTTTACGGCTGTATGTGCATGATTTTTATTGCTTTTTAATTGGTTTTCTTTTTTCTTTTTTCCTTTTTTTTTTTTTTGGTGTATATACCATGAGATACCAGCAATAGCTTTTGTGCGTTCAAAAAAAGAGGAGAAATATTTAATAATTGATATTGATAGATTTTCGAAGGCTCGCTGACTAAGAAAGATAAGTTGGCTATGGCGGTTGATAGTTGATCCGGCCCGTATCATTTTTGGGCACCTCCAACAGGCAGTCAAGCGCACACCAACGTCCATCATTTGATAACCTCAGCCCAAAGATCAAAAGAGCCCGTGAAAGGAATGTAGGGCACCTGCTCGAGAAGCGCTTGGCTTTTGACGATGCTTCATTTGCGGCTAACGGGCAGCTTGCCCGCTTCTGCTGCCTTACCCGGACAAATCAGCCCAATTATTGAGCAGCAGCAGCAACGGTATGGACAACTGCTTACCCGACTGCAAGGGCCATAGAGCGCTTAAAGCTCGCGGAGAGTGGCCCAATTCTCAGAGATACCCGCCGGCCCAAAGATCACCTCCTCCTTTGGCGTTCCGGGAGTGAATCGGAAGCGGACGTACTTGGTTCCACGGAATCCATACACCTCAACGTCGGTGTTGCTGTTCGAATTTGGAATAAAGGCGTCCATCGTGTCAAACCCAGCGTCACGGAGAATTTTCCATTCATTTGTGATCTTCGTGGGTCCGAAGACGACTTCCTCCTTTGGGGTGCCGGGGGTGTATCTCACGCGATGTACTGGGTCCCGCTGAAGAAGTAGGCTTCTTCCTCATACTCTTCTTTCTTCGTGGATGGAATGGGGATGACGGCATCGACCTTCTCGAATCCGGCGTCACGGAGAGACTTCCATTCGTCGACGATCTTTGCGGGGCCGAAGATCTTGGATTCCTGCGGAGTACCGGGAACGAAGCTGAAACGGACATAGCGGTTTCCGCTGAAAGCATATACCTTCTGTGGGTCGTTGGTGCTTGGGAGCATTGCATCCACGGAGGTAAAGCCGGCGTCGCGGATGATTTTCCATTCGTCAGTGATTTTGGCGGGTCCGAAGACTTTGCGCTCCTCGGGGGTTCCGGGCTTCCACCACATGCGGAGGTAGCGCTGGCCCTTGAAGAAGTATCCCTCGCCCTGGTGCCCGGGGACACGGAGCGCGGCGTTGATACTGACGGACATTGTGAACGAAAAGGTTATTCAAAACTTTAACAAATGTATACACGGTAGAATGCAGCAGGTTCTGAAGCTCGATGGAAATGGTTGCAGTGAGGATATACAAGAATGAAAGCTCCAACGTTGAGAGACAGCGATGCCACAGGCCTTTATATCTCTGGGGATTGAACCTTTCCCCTCATTTACATCGCAATGCCACACCACCTTGAGGGATATCTATTATGAAGATTGGTTGAATCTCAAATGGGTAGGCGATTGTTGCCGTAGGTGATTGCTGCATTCTGAGGGGTAAAACAGGGCTAAGTGAACGTTTACGGTATCTAGTTTTAGCAATCATCAACCATCGTGACTGATATTAGCCCCCAAACAAGCAAAATTGTCCGAGCGCCCAATTACCTCTTCGACCAGTGGCACGGCCCAACTTCAGCGACACTGGCGAGCGTCTGAGTATAGGAATGGGAAAAGCAAGACTGGGGACTTCATCATACCCTAGGGCAGGGAAACGAACTAGCGATTTCGGATGTGTTCTCAATCGGGCCGGAAACCCCAGCGATGGTAGCATATACACTTATCAAAATGCATAGCTTTTCAAGTTCTTCTCGAATGCAGTTTCCCTGATTCTCGGTCCCTCTCCATTCTGAACCCTCTTTGGACTATAAGTCAAACCCAGGGCTGCTCAGTTCGTTCAGGGTATCCCATCCAGTGCAGGGAGGAGGCTGCATCCTTCCGTCTGACTGAAGCTGCCCGCCCTCGCAGACATCTTCTGATAATACACACCTATTCTGCCCATTGACTGCTCTCAGGCCGTGTAGCACCTCCGCAGGCCTGTTAGGATCTTCCTTGGATTCGGCTTGAGATGGGCATTAATGCATTTAGATCATCATCTAGGCCTTTTTCTGAACTCGTCATTTTTGCAAACATTATGCATACCACCCACCTTCCGGATACCAATTGTTGCTTGTGGGGACGATCGATGGCTGGCGGTCATGGACAATTGCCTTTTCAACCTTGGGGAAATCTTCAAGTTGGCCATGATCCCTTCCGATAACTAGTTAGGTGTCCTTGGCCTCAAGTTCGTATTTTCGCTCCGCATTGATATTGTCCACTGCATCCACCCCGCCTGGGACCCGCGCAGCCAAAACACCCCCGCTGACCATCCGAAATGAAACCCCTCAGGAAACGGCATGGAAGGCTACTGAACCAAAAAAAGCCAGCAGACCAGGCCGGACAAGCAACTGGAGAGTCGGGCTAAGCTCTTCGCTGGTTCGCGACCTGCTTACAAATTTTGTGATCGTGTCTGGTCACCCTGGGCGCCTCCAGGGATGCTTGTTTAGCCTTCACCAAGCTCATTGGTAAGAGAGGCCCTTGCGCACTGTTAGCATCAAATAGTCAATTCTTGACTGGCCATGATTCTTATCCAAGCGAAGACCAATCGGAGTAACTGGAACTACGTGCCCTACCTTGATATTTATATTGCTTGCGTGAGAGGATGGAACGGATGGATGCACTCCTTGCTTCTGCCACACCTAAATGTACGTCTATGCGATGGTAATATCTTTCCTCGACGACAGCTTTGTTCAATTTGAGGGATATTTGCGCCCGGTTCTGCCATCATTTTATTTTTATTTTTTTAATAAAGACTATACTGTGACTCCTTGTGCACATGATCGGTATCATCCATGCAAGACCAAGTCACCGTGCCCATAGTGCAATTGATTGTCCTAATTATATACAGCCTCGATCTAGGCTGCTTGGATGCTCACACAGCTGTTGCAGCTGGGCCCGCTAGAACCTTGACATGCCACATCATCCTCGACAGGAAATACTATTCGATAGTCTCGGTGAAGGCGAGATTGTCTTCCTTATCCGTAATGCGCAGGAGGAGACGTTCCGGATTCTCCAAGAGGCCTTTCTGAACCCAACGGGGAGCCAAAAGGCTTACGAGGGTGGTTCAGCTATTTGATCCTGGGAGCTTTGATGCTAGTTGGTTCGGACTTCAATCGTTAGAAACCATCCCAAAGAAAAATCAGGCAAGCAAACTCGGAATGAGTGTCTCCACTGCTGGACAGCGCCGGTAATGTGTGGTTAGCAGTGTCAATAGCCCACATATATATACATCTTCTAACACCTTCCCCTTGTGCCTTATTTTGTGGGACACTCGGTACGAATGCTATCGTCAATATTAGCGGAGAGAGGTTCGCTGCGACCTGATTTGCTTCTTCAGCGCCGGCACATCTTAACAGAGACCCGGTTATATTTTCTTGGAGGACGCTGATAGTTGTTCCGAGTTCAGTTGACACCCTTAAAGCTCTCGGGAATCATGTTGCCTTCAGAGCTATAATATACGCCTGGTTGTATATTCAAGTTGCGCTTTTATGTCTTTCACGTCGGGCCTTTTCTTTGGGGGGGGGGATCTCCAATGTCAGAGCAATCTTTTCAGAGACGCAAGTTGATTTGGGTGGGGGATTAGTTTCCAGTGCATGCCAATTTTCAGCGATTACGACGACGGTTTGACGGCTGGACAAGGCCTGCCTGGAATCATTTTGGCACAAAATGCGTGCTCGGGTCAGGGTGTCTGGATTCTTGCGGATGCGGGAAGGTCTCCGCCTCGGGAAACATGGGGTGAATGATGAGTCAAATCATTACTTTCATTCTCAGGGTCTGGTAGAGCTCTAGCAAGGCCCAGTGTTTTTTTGTTATCGTTCACACTGGCGTTTGGCTTTGGTGTCAAACGGCCACGGGAGTTGTCACGTCGAGAATCCCCTACACATGCACACAGCCGAAGTTTCAATGAGATTCGGGTTTGTGACCAAAGGTCTCGCCATTGAAAGAAACCGGAAGCCTTACCCCGTTTGAGGGAGTCGATCATTGCTGAATATGATGGTCACAATCCAGTGCCAGTTCTTTTTATCCCAACTATTCCGTTGCGAGCCTTTCGTGGCCTTGACCTTGCCCGGCAACAGGTAGCATGTAAATTCAATGGTTGAGATGCTTCCAGGCTCGGCAATCGGGGGGGAGGTTTTTGAAACGCCCTTGTCCGTCTTGCTTGTATGTGCTTTGCGAGTGGCGTGAACCGTGAACCGCGAACCGCGGTTTTTGACGAAAAGAAAAGCCCTTTCGGGCAAGCTGGAAATCGGCGCGGGTCCATATCAACGCATTGGAGCCCACATCGTATAATTGTAGGCGCTCCGGCTATGCGTCGCCTGATCCCGCCATAGTTCTTTCAGAGGGCCAAAGTGCACGGATAGCTTCTCCGCCCCCGGGTAAGCGGAGGAGTCACCCACGCCAAGGCGAAATCGAGATTTGCTCAACATCCATCCCGGCCCCAGTGCCTTGAGTCAACCCACATATACAGTAATGATTCCAAAGACGGGTCCGATTCGCCGTGTCCGCTGGCAAGGCGCGAGAGCGGGGGATCGCTCGCTCGCCTAAATTTCCAGATGTTTCGCATTTTTCTTTTCCTTCCTTTTTTCGCATTTTTTTTCTTTTTTTTTTTTTTTTTTTTGGTTTTACAAAGGCGCTTCATCCGAGGCCAGAGACTGACAGCTTCGGTGTGGGGTGCCCAATCAGATTGACCGCGATGATAAGCCGGCGACGATATAAACATCGCGAAGGATGGCGCTTTCAGGCTCGACATCGACTCGGAAACCATCTCCAGGGCATCTCTGTTGATTGAGATTGTTGTTTGCATTAAAGTTTATTTATTTTATTTTGTTTTTTGCGCCAAAATGCATCTTCGAGCGGTCCACGCAGAGGAGAACATCGCGGTGCTCCAGCAGCTCGTCCGCGAGAACCCGCTGGGCATACTGACGACCGCGATCCAGTCACCGCTCCACCCGCTCATCCAGTCGAGCCACATCCCGTTCGTCATCGACGTCCCGGAGACGGAGGACGGCGGCACCCCGTCGAATGGCACACTTCGCGGCCACATCGCGAGGCAGAACCCGCAGGCGAAGGTGCTGATGGAGGCCCTTGCGGCCAGGAAGGAGCAAGGCCACGATGGGCTGGAGCTGCCGGACGAGGTGCTGGTGCTGTTCAACGGGCCGCACCACCACTACGTGACCCCGAAGTTCTACACGGAGACCAAGCCGGTGTCGGGAAAGGTGGTTCCGACGTGGAACTACTCGGCGGTGCAGGCGTACGGCAAGATCAAGGTGTTCTGCGACTCCAAGGCAGAGGAGACGAACGCTTTCCTGCAGAGACAGGTCGAGGATCTGACGCGGCTGACCGAGTCGTCGATCATGGGCTACACGGGGGAAGGCGGACGGCCGGCGGCGTGGGAGGTGGCGGACGCGCCGGCGCCGTACGTTGAGATACTGAGGAAGGGCATCATCGGGATCGAGATCAAGGTCGATCGGCTGCAGGGCAAGTTCAAGATGAGCCAGGAGATGAGCAAGGGCGACCGGGAAGGGGTCGTCAGGGGCTTTGACGCTCTGGGGACGGAGGCGGGAAAGGGGATGGCACAGACGGTCAGGGAGCGTGGAGACCTGAAGGATCGACAGAAGGAATCATGATCTAGTTAAGTTGACTACTTGGGCTGGTTATGTACTCCTGGTGAGTGTCTGCTACTATCTTAGATCGCTATGAACCTAGACAAGGAAGATAATATACCAAATAAGAATCTATGAACTAGACAAGGAAGATAATATATCAAATGAGAATTTAAAAAAAGGAAGATAATATATCAAATAAGAATTTTTAAAAAAAAAAAAAAAACAAGACAAGATGCAAGTCCAAGTCTTTCGAAGACCAGAACGAGATCAGCCACAAACTCTCGCGGGAGCCAGAGAGTGTAGGTTATCAGTGAAGTGAACAAAAATATCTAACCAGGCGGCTGGCTTTTTGTTGCCTTTTTTTTTTTTTTTCCCTCTTAAATTGCTATTGTGCAAGCATCGAATGGGTTTGCTTTGAGAAGCCTGCCACGGTTTGGGGGGGCGGTGTTTCTGTTGTTTATTCTGTCGTGAGACTTCAGACAACCAAAGCAGATCAATATCCAGACCCCCGTTGGCCTGTCTAAACAAATAGTAGTCTCTCAAGGTGAATGAAGCATGCAGAGGAACGAGGAAAGACAAAGAGGCATAAAGGGATGTCAAGCCGTGCTGGTGTTTGGACTGTGCCGCTTCGTCGTCGCTTTGATGTGTGTTCTTTGAGGAGAAAATGTTTGGTTAAATACTTCTCTCTTTCTTCTTATTTTATTTTATTTTATTTTATTTTTTTTTCCCCTTTCTGCAGTGAACCGGCAGAATATGAACTAAAAGGCGCTTCCAGCCTTGAGAGAGAGAGAGAAAAAACAAAAAAAAAAAAGAAAGGAATTCCAGGAGAATGCTGATATAGACTGTAAAATAAGACAACATTTCCACCGCAGAATTAACCACCAGCAAAGAAGTCTTCTTCTTCCAGCCGGTAAGTTCGAGTTTGTCTTCTCTTAGTTGGCCATACATAGCGAGATTGAAGGGCTGGACGATGGATCAGGGCCTCCCAATCACAGCCGGCCACCGCAGCCCGCCTGTTTGAAAGTCAATTCCGTCTCTCAAAGCATCTCTCTCTCTCTATTTCTCTCTCTATAGTTATTCCTCTCTCTCTATTTCTATTTCTATCTATTTCTTAGTTCTCTGAGAGCGAGAGAGGTTGTTTGTGCGGGATTGACTGAGCGAGGGGGTTCTGCTGGCAACTTAACACATACGAGGCATGACGGGGTCTAGGCCGTGCTGCTGCTGAACCAGCCAGCGTCATACACTTCTGCTTCGTGCCTTTTGGATCTGCAACAACTTTCATCGCTCGCATCACGGATCGCAAAAAAAAAAAAAAAAAACAAAAAAACCCCCCAAATCGTCATGCGCCTGGACGCGGCCTCCGCCGTCACCACTCTGCCCTCGCCACCCCAGAAGAAGAACAAGAACAACAACAACAACAACACCACCACCACCACCACCACCACCACCACCAACACCGCCATCCGGACATGCTCTCGCAGTCGCAGCCAGACTGACCCGTCGGCCAGACATCATCATCATCATCATCATCCCCCAGGACCCTTCGTCAGAGACCGCCGCTCCGTCGACTTCGCGTCCCCAACACACAGACACAAACCCGCCTCCCTCCAGTTCAACCCAGCCTCTCCCCTCAGCTCCGAGAGCTTCTCCAACCCGGCGCTCGCCAGCTTCTCGCCTCGCAAGGTCGCCGCCCTCAAGTCGGGTGCCCGAGCAGGGGTTGTGTCCTCCTCCTCCACATCCACGTCCAACACCACCACCTCTTCCTCTTTCTTCTTCTCCACGTCCAACACCGCCTCTTCCTCGTTCTTCTCCTCCTCCTCTTCCATCCCAAAGCTACTCCTGCAGACCCCCCGGGCCGCCCGTGACCTGGATCTGCAGTCCCAGTCGTCCTCCGCCGCCCACTTCAACTCGCCCCTGTCGCCCGGAACCCTCCCCAGCGCCGCATCGTCCACCGTCTCCCCGTCCGAGAGCCTCCGTCCGCCGTCTACGATCGACTCCCGAACGTCGTATCAGAAGCGCGCCCCGGCGTCTCGGAGCAGCCTGGGCATTGAAACCGCGTCCGGGCCGCCTCCTGCGCTAAGCACCCAACGCAGTCTTGCCCAGGAACGACACACCACGCTGTCATCATCTCTCGAGTATCCCAACAGATCCCGATCCTTTGGCCTGGCCTCCTCCTCCTCCTCCACTCGAGATTCTGGCTCCAAACTGAATAGTTCCTCCGCCTCCACCTCCGTCGATGTCGGCATGAGACCCGAACAGTCGCCCACTTCGATCCTGAAACGGTCGTCGCTCCCGACCCGGACCGTCTATTCGTCTTACCAGAGCGATCGGCCCAGGAGCACGCTCGCCTCGCAGGCGAACGAGAGCCCCAACGATGGCGACAATGATGATGGTGATGATGATGATGATGACCTTACCGCGAGACTTGACACCAATGCCGATGCGAGTTCCAAGGACTCCGACGATAGCAGACAGAAAAACGAAGATGTCTTCTTGAACATTGCAAAATCCTCGTCGAGCCGCCGTGACTCGGCAAGGGGTTCAGAGCGACAGAGAGTAAGCCAGACGTTTTTTGTTTCTTTTCCTCCCCCCTCTCCAGCACTCCCGTCAGTCCTCATGTTTATATTTATTTATTTTATTTATTTTCTTCTTCTTCCTCTTCCTATATTTGGCTAATTTACTCTCTAGTCGAAATTTGGGCTCACTGGCCTGTCTTCGCGATTACGAACGAAAGAAGATACGCCCCCTCCCGATCGAAACTTATACGATTCCCAGGATGTATCTCCGCTCAACGGCCACACCACCGGCATCCCTAGATCTGCCGCATCTTCCCATCCTCTGGATGACTCGAGTCGTCTTAAGTACCTTGGATCCACCGCCCGATCGACAATTGGACTGCCCCGGAGCAGATTTGGTCGCAGCACAACCCGTGAATTGTCGCCGGAGCCACCGCAGCAACGCCCAAGTGAGCGGCGTGGTTCAGCTCAGGATACCTTTCAGCTGCGAGCTCACCGACAGTCAAACATCCCAGGTGGAAGAGGCTACCGCGCGCTATCCAACTCCGACGGCACAGATCCAGCCAAACTGGACGTCGAGCGATCGCGATACGACGGTACTGAGTCGACACTGTCAACGACTGCGCCTTCCACAGTCTGGGATGAATTGGACGACCTGAAGTCAAGGATCCGGAAGTTAGAGCTGACCGGGAAACTCCCCACGTCTTCAGCCGCTGCTATGTCATCGGTATCGGGCGAGAGGCCGCGGACCGCCACCACCACCGTCACCACGATTTCGTCCTCTCCAAAACATGGGCGAAGGACCAGTGCGTCTCCCAACAATTCCGGTGACGCCGCGACGGCCGATGCTCAGATGCAAACGCTGCTCCGCACCGGACTGACCAAGGTGAAGCCGGCGGTGAGCCCGGAGATCTATTCTGCGCTCGAGGCCACCGCGAACGATGCTTTGACCCTTTCCTCCATGTTTGGCTCGAACGCCCAGCAATTGGCCAGCACCATGTCTGTGGTTGGCACGGCTACCGGCTCTGACCGGCAGTTCAAGAGAAAAGTCGACAGCATGTGTCGAAGCCTCACCGAGCTTTGTATCGCATTGGCTGATCAAAAATTGATCGCGGCGTCGAAGAACCGCCCCGGAAGCAGAGATGCGACCTCCAGCGTGCCACAAGTGAATGGTGCCGACACCACACCCAATACCACCACTACGACCAATTTTCGGCGAAGTGCAAGTCATGAGCCAGAGGACGTTGGACGGCAAGCTGGCTCTCTAGGACGAACGCTGACGAGCAGCCGGTTGGAAGGGCGTCGTTCAAGCATGCTCAACCTTTCCACTACCGGTTCTACGGTGCGAAGCTCGCAGGAAGCCTCTGATTCCCTGGTTACTTTAAAGCCATCAACGCCCGTCAGCCGAATCGGGCGCTCGTCAACAACAGCAACCTTGCGCAACAGACGGCAGGATGAGGAAGACACGCACGATAAGTCGTCGATAGTGAGCCGTACCCTATCATCACGAGTATTCACGGATATCCCCGAGCCGAAACCTCGACATTCCCTCATCCACCGATCCTCTCGCGAATTCAGCCCCTCGCATGACCAGCAGACGCATCAAGACCAGCAATTACCCCCTCAACGCACTATCCAGGTTCGAAACACTCCATCCAATCAATCCGGAATACCCCTTCGCCGAACCTTCCTCTCAACGGGATCCCACCTCTCCACGACAAGTCACCTCAACATTCAGCCTGGCTACCGCAGATACGGCAGCTCGGTCATAAACACCGGCCTGACGCATCAGGCCGAGCGAGGAGGAGGAGGAGGAGGAGGGGCAGCAGGTGCAGGAGCTCCTGATCAAGGCGAAACGGTGAGCTCGCCGCTAACTGCCACGGCGACGACACCCACCACCAGGACGGCGTCACACTTCAGCAGCATGCAGCAACTCCGGCCGCGGACTAATAGCTTTGGAACGAGGCGGCTGAGCCTACGACGTACGCTGGACGGGGGCAGTGTTGCCAATGCGGGTTAAAATTGCTCGATTAGAGTCCGGCACATACATGCACAGTTATATCCTTTTGGCGACGACGGCCTATTCGAAACTTCGGGAGATCGAATTAAATTACCCCTTCCTTTTTTTTTTTTTTTTTTTTTTTTTTTTTTTTTTTTTGGCCCATTGTTATGACAAAACCATGCGTTGCAACTTTAGCGAGTTATGAATCTTTTTTTTTTTTTTTCCTCCCTGTTTTTCCCTCAAAGAGAGCCCCCATGACAAGCATAAGATGCTTTGACTATCTCAACCTTTTGGGCGATTTTCGTTGTTACCAAGATGCATTTTCGGAACATCCTCCCCTTGTCCATGGAGTGTGAATCCAAGGGAGAGCGAGCGAGCAGCTCCTTGGAAATTATGCTGTGTTTGGCAGTTCCTATCCTTATTTTTCTTTTCTTTTCTTTTCTTTTCTTTTGGCTCTGTTTCTGCGCTTCTACGTACATATATAACCCTCCGTTTTTCTTTTT